TGAATGAATAAATAAATCTATGAATAAATAATTAAAACATTTTAATAGTGCTTTTTATAATTAAAACATCTTAACCATGCAGGTAAACATAGGTAAACTGCACGTTTCTACGGGTAATGACCTCTTTACTGTTAAACTAATTATGTCTTTTTTCTTTTGATAAGAATCGTCTCGGAACAATACAATAATCTGCTGTGCACGATAAATTTTTAATGCGCACTTTTATATTGATTCACTTGAAACTATACATCTTATATATATATATATATATATATATATATATATATATATATATATATATATATATATATATATATATATATATAAGATCATTACCTAAATATGCAATATATACATCGTCGATGTAAATAAAATCCAAACCAAACACGGAAGGGGGAGTCTCACTATGGTCGTTTAGGGCGGAAGGCTCATTATATAGTCATTGCCCCCCCCCCCCCAGAGGAAGTCTCACTATATAGCCAGACTTCCGGGGGAGGACTCACTATGGGGGAAGTCTTACTATATGACACCGATAGCAGTGGGGGGGGGGGGGGGAGGGGCTGGCCACCAAACATTTTTCTAGCCATAACTTTTTACTACTGAAAATGTTCAATGAAAGTCTGATTCCCCCCCCCCCTCCGACTTTTTGTTGCAGTTTAGTCAAATAAGGGCAATGTACGTAGTGATGTATGAGTAAAATTTGGTATTGAAAGAAGTTGGACCCCACCCACCCCACCCCACCCCACCACCAATAAAATTTTCGAGTTTGAAGAATTTTCCTCTTTTTTTGTTTGTTTGTTTGTATGTTTGTTTTTTGCTTGTCAAGATTTTTAGGTAAGTTATTTTTTTTCTTTGCCTGCCCCTTTCAAAATCAATGCTACGTCTCTAAGTTTTATCTGTATTCGCTATAAAAATTGCCAATATTTATATTCATGTATTTATATTTTGAAAATCTCAATATTTTAGATTATTTTTGGCGATTTTTTATTTCCAATTTGCTAAGATGGGTAGGCAATATCAAGCCGACATTTTACGCATTTTTTGCCAAACGAGACATCGACAAAATAATTTTTTGAGTTATTCTAATGTCAAACACTGTGTGCTTACTAGAGATATTTACTTCTTTATTGAAAAGTGCTATTTCTATACAAAAAAAAATACATATTTTCATAAAAACCGGGGGAAGTTTCTAGTATGCCCCGGTCTAGCCTGGTGCCGGCCACGCCTACCCATGACGTTCCGCACTACTTTGCAGAGCATTATGGGTTGACCGAAACCAGACTAGCCCCGGTCCCCAGAATCAGGCGAATGCGCATGAACAGTTATTATTCTGAAAGAAAGAAATGTCAGTTCAGTGGAAGAATATATAGGGGTCCTGAAAAACAACTCAATTTATAAGGGTAATTTGGGTATACTAGTAATTATCAAAATATTTAATATTTTTTATATCAATAAAACTGAAATTCAATCATCCAACAAAAAACTTGAATAGAGTTATATTTTTCAGGTGACAGAAAATACACAATTATTTTGGAGTTTTCCTCATTGGTCCGGTTTTAATGACCCAGATTTTCTTAAAACATGTTATTTAAAGCAACAAAAACACATTTGAAAGAAGAAATGCTTATAAATAGTTAACATATAATGTTTAACACCAGAATAATTTATAAATTTATTAGCTTTTAGTAAAAAAAAAAAAACAAAAAAAAAAAAAAAAAAACACTTAAAATGCCAGCTTGATACTGCCTTCCCATTTTACCAACTTGGAAATCAAATATCTTCTAGAAAATCTAAGATATTGAGCATTTCGGGGCAATTTAACGCGTATACAAATAAACCTATATCTAAGATAACTTGAAAGGGTTCGATTGATAAAGTATTAAGGCAGAAAATTGAAAAATCACGAATAACCCCGGCCCGGGTTTGCGTACCTAATTTTACCAACACTCGCAGCGAACACCCTGCCTCCTAGCGTTATAATGCCGCATTAAATTCACACTACTTGTATTCGTCTTCGTTGAATGTGCTTCATGGTTTGCGTGAATGAATTTACATTTGTAATAGAAATTATCATAATTATCTTTTAAAGAAACTGTATCAATTTAAAAGAAAGAAGAACGAATTTACAAGAATAAAGCAACATAGAAGTAAGGACAAAATGAAGAATGAAAAAAGTTCAAAGTAAAATGTAATAAAGACGAATATGAAAACAATAAAGTGACATGTAGTAATAATAATAACAAAGAATAAAGAAGAAGGCAGAATAAGAATAAAAGCAAGATAAATAGACTTATGGCGGTAATTCCCTTCCATACGCACTTACCCAGAGTACACCCGATAGATCGGACGCAATTCATAGCGCTCCGGATTTCTTTGTTCACAGTTGTTTATAAACTTCAAATTAAACATGTAATACAGTAAATATTAAGTGTTTGGTAGTTTAGTAGTAGTGCTAGTTGTTTTCGTTTCTCTATTTCCTTTGTTTTTATGACTTCTTATCTTTTTTCTTTGTCCTTTCCATCCGTGACCTTGTATCTGCTTAGTAGATCCGACACTTAGGATATACAGTGTTGTTGGTTTTTAGTGCTTTATATATATATATATATATATATATATATATATATATATATATATATATATATATATATATATATATATATATATATATATATATATATGTGTGTGTGTGTGTGTGTGTGTGTGTGTGTGTGTGTGTGTGTGTGTGTATATATATATGAAATATGAAACATAATTGCTGCATAAAACTTCCCGGAAGCAATTTTAGTGAGATGTCAAATGGAGTTATACTGAAAAAAGAGCCAATCCAAGACTGTGCTTAAACATTCAGGAATGCATTTAAAAGCCTATAATTGTGGAAATCGATACAATGGTATTTATTAAATCGATTTTTAAGAGTCTTTGAATTTATTTAATAATTTCCTGATATTAATTTTGATGTTATGATTTTGAGCTGTACAATACAACTATGTTTGCCGATGGTATTATTCTGTACATAAAAAACTAATAGATCATTTGAGTGAAAACAGAAAAGTTAAACCGAAGATGCCCACCCTGGAGAAGATGCTAGACCAATTACAAAATAAAACATTTTTAGCAAGAAAAAAGAAATGTTTTACAAATATCTATGCAACCCTACTCCATGTAGCAATATCAAAAAGGGTCATTTTGAATTCATTGTCTGTAATAGTAGTAAACAAATGGGTAACTACAAGGCAGGAGAAAACATAATTTGATCTTTATCAAACCATGATATTATTAGGGGTTCTATGCATTTCAGAGGATATCATTTTACAAAGTTTGATTTCTGTCAAGGATAAGGTTCACAAGATATTGACGGGACAATATGTTCCTATGTCTAATTTGCCTTTGACCTTTGACGTTATGACGTCCAAATCAACAGGGGTCATCTACTCCCTAGGGGAACCATTGTACCATTCTTATTCTTGATTGTTTGACTTTTGACCTCGCGACCTCAAAATCAAAATCTTTAGAATCAGTATGTAAAGTTTTATGTCTGTCAAGCAAAGGGTTCATAAACAATGTACCGGTACTCCTTATGATGAATCAGTGTACCAAGTTTTATGTCAGTCGAATAAATTGATCGGACAACACTTGGTCTACGAACCAACAGACAGATCGGCCAACCGATCGACATATTGCTTAAAAATATCCAAACGTTTTTAGGAGGGGGGCAATAATATAATTATTCATATATAATCCTGGATTTTATTCAAAATCTGAAGTATAATTACATTATAACCTTGTATCGTCAATTCTCATTATATCGCGGGTTCCATTGTATCGTGGTATATTCCAAAAATTATGATATATAGCTCATATCCTTTTTGTTGATGGACTATCTATCTGCCGTCTGAATGTTGACTTTTGTGATGATTAAAAATCATGGAACATCCGTTTGAATTTTTTTTATTTAGATAAAACGGAATTTTACAGATTTCAATTCCCGTTTTTATTTTATTTAGACCATTAAATGTATATCCTAGTAAATCCCATAATGAAGTTCATATTTTGAAAGTCTTAAATTTGTATTATTTTTTTAGTTTTCATGAAGATTTACATCGTAGATTTAAAAATAAATATTGTTCTTTGTGACAGCGCCAGGCTTCCATGTTTTCAGAACCGCGATACAATGAGACCCTCCAATTTATGAGGTAAATAAGACTTCCTGTTTTAAAATAGACCACAAATTTAACGAAGCAAGCTTGGGAAATAATAAGCAACGAAAAGTTAGGTTATTGTTAGGTTTATGAATAGCGTTTGATGAAAAGTTAAAGTAAGAATTTGGAATGACTTTTTCAAGCAAAAAATAAGTACCGCGATATAATGAGATACCAGTATATATAGATATTACTTATGTAATGAATTATTGTAATAAATAAAGGGATGAGTGTGTGTGTTGTGGTGGGTGGTGGTAAAACTTTTAAGAGATATTTCCAAGTCTAAAAGAAGAATATTTTCATCTGTCATACTTGTAAGACATTTCATTCACATTTATAAAAAAAAGTTCATGCATTGAAAAAGAATGAAAAGTTTTGATTTAATTCTTTTGTTATAACTAATCTATCTATCTATCTATCTATCTATCTATCTATCTATCTATCTATCTATCTATCTATCTATCTATCTATCTATCTATATCTATATCTATATATATATATATATATTCAAAATAAGTGATTAATTTATATTTTCAGAACATAACATGGAAGATACCAATTTTTTCCTTGTGTTATACGATTTTGAATAGCATAGATAAATATAGGTTACTCGATTTCAGTCTCATACCTACATACATATTGAAGCAAAATTACTGATCTTAATTTGCCGGAATGGAGACTCTTCCCGGTCTCGATTACCTTTTCTTTCCCTTGTCATCTACTTCCTTGTGTCGCTTTTATCAGTTTTAAACATTTTAAGCGTCGCTCCGTTTGGCAAATATATGCACAAATATTTGCTTCAATGATAAGGTTGTAAGGTTGTTACAGCACATGATGCAAAGTGCAATTAATTCATGATCTTCTATAACTCAGAACAAAATGGAGGGAGACGATGAGATTCGCGGCCATTTTGATTCCGTTACACGTTTTGGAAAGGATGGCGAGATGGGATCCTACCTACTGATGTCCTTATTGATCGGTATATTGGTAGTACCAATTATCGAATATGGACAAAAAGAAGAATCCGATATTGGTGCTGTAGACGTTGTCATTGGCATTAACATAACAGTTAGATTCTTAGGGGCTACGGCTCTTATTTTTGCCTTTGTGTCGATTCACCATCACGAAAGGGATTGGATTAGTGAAAAATCTTCTTCTCCAGTTATCAAAACGAAACTGGGATTCTTGTTCATTTTTGGATTAGCAAAAATTATTTTCACCATTATTTATGTCACATTCTATCTGAAATGCAGAAATATGATTTCATCGGAATTGACAAATGTGATAGCTGCTGAAGGCTTTACAAACATAATATTTATTATTTTACAATTAATTTTTTTCATGTATGTGGGCCAATATTCGTTCATCAGCAGACCGACAGTTAGATATGTTGCTTCACTTATTGCAATGGGGAACTTTACGGATTTATTGGTTTTTATGACACTCAGTGTTAATGGAAACAAGGACCTTATATTTGACAAAAACAATACAGCTACCGTCAACTGCACCGGGTACAGTCCAAATGTTGTAGAAAATCTTATATCAGTATCTAAAGAGTTCAGATCTCCGATTGCAGTTCAGTTTTCAATTCTGGCAATTACTCTTGCCTTCAGCATGAAACCAGACACCGAAAAGTTTTTTAACTCGGACAAAATTCGCCTACAGTTCTCGTGGAAAACTCCAAAGCGTTTAGCAAAGATCATGGTAGTGGTGGTTTTAATGAATGTTCCTCTATTGGTGTGTGCCCCTTTTAACTTCGTGTTTCCAGATAGCAAATCACAATCCAAAATATGGCTTAGCTTAATGTTGGCTCAAAAGTCTGCAATATTTGGATGTTTATTAGGAATTAATTACCAGATATTTAAAAAACTGAAAGTATATGTAAAAAATGTGGCCCTGAATGCAAACGAAACTGTGCTTCTAGTCAGTACCGTGGGCGTAGTTTCCTATCTGGCAATACAAACGTTTCTTCAACCGAATTTTGACAGTATTTTGACATCGCTTGCAGTCATCAGTCTATTATCCATTCTTTATCAAGTTACTATAATTTTATTCGGCAGGAGAATGGTCCTTGTTGGAAATGATATATACGACATCTATGCCCTACAACAACTGGTTGTAATCCTTGTCTGCAACAATATGTCTGTATGGTTTAATGATTTTCTGTACGGATTATGGGATATGTCTAATGATAATGTGTTAAGACATAGTCTTTTTCAGTACATCGCTATGATACTTTATCCTTTAATTGCTTACTACAGATTTCAGTCGGCGATGGAGCTCATGGGGTTGTATCGTCATCTTTCTTGATATTGGATTTGAGATAATTAATGCTTTGTTTAAAGGTTAATGACTGGTTTTTGTGGAACAATATTAATGTAACTATTAGGGATATTACCTTAGTGGTAATCTACAGGAAACCTAAATTGATACTTCTAACTGTTAAGTACCATGTTTAAGTACTATTTCTATATATAGTTTAGTCTTCATCGCTTACTGTAGTGTATATTTCCGGATTTGTATTATATAACCAACAAGGTTGTTTGTTTTTTGTTGTAAAATATGTTCTATGTACATGTAGCTTGTAATAAAATGACTGTTTCCGGCTAATTGTGTGTCTCTGTGAACTCTACCAAATGCATCCCTGATACTCAACACATAGCGACTACGAAATGTAATGTTATTAAGAATTATTTTTGACATTCTTTGTAAAGTATTTTTTTCAAACCTTTATTTTGAATTGACTTGCTTGATTTACTCAAATTTTCTCAACTAGGAAACAACCTCGGGAAAATATATAATTTTCAAAAAGCAGCCGAGTAAACCTCACAGAAATTTGTCGGTGTTCTGAAGACCTGTTTGAGTCCAAAACTAATTGTTGTAGTATAATATGAAGAAAACGAACAATAATCAAGTTCATAAGTCCATTGAAAGAATAAAGATTTGGAGCAGAGCACACACGGACCTCTTTAAATATCAGAAGAGGGATCAGGGAGGAGTAAGCATTCCCTGTCGACCGGTCACATCCGCCGTGTGCTCCTTGTCATGATCGGACAAACAGAAAAATCCGTAGAAAATTCAGTGTGAAAAAATTGCCTAATAACAATCTGTATGAAAAACATCAGTCAATATTCGATTTAATGATTTTATTTGCTGACAAGATCATTTTATAGACCATAGAGTTTGTGAAATGTTAACTGTTGATATTTTCAACTAGACTGTTGATATTTTTGTTTCATCAACTTCTTTATCAATAGCTTGTCTCGTTTAAGAAATTGATACATACGTAGAGCATGCTCTTGCGTATCGAATCAACTGGGAGACAAAAACTACATATTTAGGTGAGTGAGTAGCTCCGTTTCCATAAAAGGGACAAAAGACCCCAGAAGAGAGTACATCTATGAAAGACTATATCATCCAATTATGTAAGCTGTCAGAATATTGCATTGGATAACTTTGGATGATACACTGATACAGCATTTGGTTTGTGAAATGCACTTTAAGAATACAGAGAAGTTATTTTCTATTGACATTGGTCTTGCCAACCATGATGGGAATTGTTAGAAGCCATGTCTGGTGGTCAGTCATTGATGAGTGAGCAAAGAAAATTCATCTACGGGAAGTCATTGGCAAAGAATTCATGTTACCTTCATAAGCTTATTCTTGGGATCAATGTTTCTGACAGTCGTAGAAACACATCATCCACATACATGTATCATTATCATTCTAAATGGCCTAAATCTAGAAAAAGAAGAAAAGACTGCATCAACCCATACCAAATGTTTTGGCTCGAAATCACGATAGATTAGGAGAGTAAAGGAAATTAAAAATGAGCAAATTTCATACACATGTATCAGTTTTAACGGCTTTAGTTTTGGCGACCATTTCGTAAAGGAAGACTGCAAGAAGGGATTCATAAATAGATACCTGACAAAGATTTAGTGAGAAGATTATCATGATTTTTTCCGGATTTGTGTTATGTTACTCAATATATTTATGTTATGGTGTAAATTGTCAAAATTAAACAGCTAGAGGCTTGTTTTGAAATCTCTGAGAAAGTATCCAAAATGCACAATACTTATCACGACTCTGCACTTAACTCAATAATTGCTGGTTTAATTAAGGTTTAGTACAAAGTCATATATTTACATATATAAAATCGTTACCCTTTTATCCTGTCCATACCTGTAATTGAATAGTTTTCTTTCCTATCCCACATTCTTCATTCAGTCGCCCGCGTGGCGCAGTGGTTAGAGCGTCTGCTCTAGAGTCGCGGCGTAAGGAGTTGATCCTTATGTCGCGAGTTCGAATCCCACTGTGGGACGTGGAGACTGGTCCTTCCGATGAGACCGTATAAACCGAGGTCTCGTGTCGCAGTAGGTGCTAGCACGAAAAATATCCCTCACTGCTCAATGGCCGTAAATGCCGAGTATAGGACAAAATTTGCAGCTATCCACCGGCAAGTGGTGGCGTCTCCATATGAGTAAAAATTTCTCGAGAGGTACGTTAAACAACATATATACAAACAAACAAAACAAATCATTCCAACGACTCATGAAATGTATTTGTATACATAAAGATTTTACAAAAAACAAGCTGCGAATAACCAGAATGTTTCCTCCCATTACAGAGAATTTGTGGATATAATTAAATTTGCATTTTTAAACAAGGAAGATCAAAGTCTTGATAATTTGATTTAAAGAATATAAACAAAAGAAATTACTGTAAACATGAATTTTTGCCCTAATATTGAATAGAACTATTTTAGCGATGCAATATTGTTTACGTTGCTGACGGAATGAGGATAAACCATTAGAGTATATTTAGATAAAAGGAATCTCTTATGTTTTGTGATTGAATATGATTTTTATACAACGAGTTGTGTGTTTTCCATCGATGTGTCAGGATTGAAAATGCACACATTTTAGGATAAAATCATTTCCAAATAAAAAACATTGGATCCTTTTTGTAATACATGTACTGGTATATATTTTTTTCTATGGACTCCAATTGCGAGGTAGTACTCTGGTAAGCGTCATTTCATATATAATAACGGAACATGTTTAAGTTACATTGACGAGCATGGTACTGAAAGGGTTTTAGCTTTCAAATCAAAAGTATCAACTGCAAACTTCGCAATTGCAAGCAACAGCAAATATCACCGCCAACTGACCCCAACAGTGCAAAATTAAAGTTGAAAAAAGAGTAAGCAACTTCAATTTTATGAATTTTTTTTTTTAAAAATCCAAGTTTTCTCAACCCCCCCTTTTCGTTTCCATGGAAACAGCAGCAAAATTTGGAAAATTTTAACAAGAGACATCATGACTTGGTGATTATCATTTCTATGATGTTTCATTGGTTCTGTCCAAGCCATCTACAAGTTGAACATCTGTCGACTAAATTATAGGTGGAACAATATAAATTCGTTCGGGGATATATATATATATATATATATATATATATATATATATATATATATATATATATATATATATATATATATATATATATATATATATCTTCACTGTTTCGCCAAGTATATGTTATCTGTGTTCTCAAGAAACGAAGGAGGGAACCTTTGTAAGAGATATATTAAGATAAACGGATTAGGTTCAAGGTATTACAGACTTACTGAAATATGTATTTCTTAAATATAACAACACTTACAATATGCATTGGACTTTGCTTCGTAAGTAATACTTCAATATTTATTAATGCGTGATTTGTAAACTTGCATAAAAAATTTTGTTTAATTTCTAATACATTTTCTATATATCAAAATATTGTTTTATCGCTTTGATAAACGGGTTATGTTATACCAAAGCAGACGTTTGTGATCAAGGAAAATGTTCATCAACAACGAATGTGTGACGTAGCTACTGATTGTCATGACAACGAATGTTGTGTTTCGAACGTCCAACCAATCGGAAAACGACAAACAAGCCATCGTGGACACTGTGTTCCAATGGGAGAAGTCGGAGATGGTAGAGTTATTCTAATGGCATGTTTATAATCACATGTTAAACTGGGGGAAAGGAAAATTCTGGTTTAAAGGTCGCCTGCTGTCTGTTTGGCATCAATTATTTATAAGAATCTTCTCCTGAACAATTGAAAAAAATAAATAGAATCATATCAAAACGATTGACATTAATTGATCGAAGATTGTTCAGATGGAGATTGATTGATTGATTGTATATTGTTTTACGTCCCATTCGAGAATTTTTCACTCATATAGAGACGTCACCATATACCGGTGAAGGGCTTCAAATTTTGACCTTTACTCGGCACTCAGGGCCATTGAGCAGAGAGGGATCTTTATCGTGCCAACGCCTGCCGTGACACGGGGCCTCGGTTTTTAAGGTCTCATCCGAAAGACCCGCAACTTTCACTCCAAAGTGCCGAGCGCATGGCGAAGGAACAGTTGCTACCTATTTTTTATCGACTTAGGTCTGTCGCGGCCGAGATTCGAACTCACGACCTCCCGATCACGGAGCGAGCGCTCTACCGACTGAGCTACCGTGAACGGTGTTCAGATGGAGAAGAACGGGGATTACTTAAGCTTTGAATCATTATTTTTTGAAAAATATAGTCTCATAAGACCTCCGAACATTAACTGACAAGATCGGAAATATGCAACTTACGCCTTTTCCAGCTGTTACAGTCAAAACATTTGATGATAGACGATGAAATGGGTGGGTACAATGCGACACGGACGTCTGAGAAAACATTGGATTGAAATTCTAGTTTGAAATTCATTTTTTATTCACCCTAGCTGTTTTCAAACGAATAGTGTTAATATATGACCCAGAAGACATATAATTTCGATTTCCAAATACATGTGCATGTAGTTTGAATATCATATTTATCAGAGTTTTCTATCCAATACTTTTTAGGACAGGCTACAGTTATAGATATTTTTTTTTCAGGGGACGGTCATTTGATGCTAGAAGGGGAAGGGGGTGGTGGCAAATTTTATTGAGTCAGATTATGATGTTAATGCCTTCACATATCAGAATATAATAATTTATTTCTAGGTTGACGAGAGATATTATTTTCTTCTTCACTGAAAAATGTTTGACAAGCAAAAACGGTGAAAAGAGTGAGGGGGTGAGGGTGGGTTGGGGGTTCCAAACTCAAAAAGTATCTTATTTATATTCAGTAGCTTTCATCCCCTCCCAACAAACAGGAATCAAATGGCCGTCCGCTTTTTATCTCTTTGAAAGCATGGACAAAAAATTCTATTTATATAAAGGACAAGATAGGTTATGACCCCTTTTTGGCCCCTGATTGGTGGTGTCTCCAGGAGCGATGCAATAGTTTATCATTACAAACCTGTTATCATCCCTCTTACAAAATGAGTATTGAATCTAAGTTATGGGGTACACAAAGGTCACAGGAAGGTCACAAAATATGTCATTTTCCGAATTTTCTCATTTTTATGCAAATTTCCATCAATTTTATAGCACATTTTGTTTCAGAAAACACAGAGCACAAGCTTATTTATCTACCAAATTTATATATTTCATGCACTGATATCAGATGCCTCTTGTGTATAAAAATCTCAGATAGGCAAGCTTGTGAAGTTCCCGAAGTGAAAAATATCTCAAATTTGAGGAAATTCCATAAGAATTGAGGAAATTCGGTAAAATGTCCAACTTTGGCACCCTCTTGTAGCCTCCCTGTACTCTTTGAATCAAATATATGGCTGGTTTTAAAACAAGCAACATTTAAAGTTTTTAACTTCAAAGTGTACCAATTTTAACTATGTTTTGATTTTTACATTAAATAAGGGACCAAATTCGGCCGCTACCATACCTTGTTCTTTCAAACTATGCCGAAATTGAAATTAATGTTCGTGTGGATCAATCAGTAACACTTGGTTTATGAGCGTAAATGAAGTGGATTGAAAATGAATTTCAAACTATAATTTTAATCTGATGTTTTCTCAGACATCCGTGTCAAATAGTACCCGCCCATTTTATTGTCTATCATCAAATTTTTGACTGAAACAGATGGTAATAAGCTGCATATTTCCAATCTTGCCAGTTAATGTTCCGCGGTCTTAACAACTGCAACGGTGTATGCAAACAAACTGACTGACGCGCGTAAGGATTGCAGCTATAAGACTACATCTTTAAAGAAAATAATAATTCAGTACTTAATTTATATTTACATTTTCAATCTTTGCTCTGTCTGCAAATGGGATTCATATTTCAAAATTCCTTCGGATAAGTAACAATTAATGGAAGAGCCATTGCAACAGCATTCAATGTGTGGGCGTGAATTTTGATTTTTGCTTATGACGTTGCACTTGCTTCAACGTAAAAATTGTAAACTTTAACTTTTGACCCCCCACCCCCACCCCTCGGTCCGTGTTATGGTTTTTAATGCCGTAGATCTCTTTCCACACAGTTAGTAAAAAGTGTTTATACAAAAGAATGCATATAAGTAATGCTGAAATTACAAAGTAGTAATTATGGCGAATAAAAAAATCTTTTGGAACAACTAAATGCATACATGTATATTGCGGTTTTTAGTATGAGAAAAATGAGACACAATATAGGAAGAGACTGTTTCACAAAAATAAAATTTTCTCAAAAAGCGAGAATCAAAATAAACACATTTATATAAACTTTGTTAGAAGCAAGTGAGTCTGATTTTGTTTTGTTTTCGAAAGCAACAGATTTGTTACACCCTTATAAATACATATATCTTTCTATATATTTATTACAAATAAAAAGTCCAACAAAGTAAATGTTTTTTTCATCGGTCTAACAATTCCATTGTTGTCCGGTCTGTCAGTCTAACATAAGAATTATTAGACCGCAACGTCACTGCTACGTCACAGGCAATTGTCGTTCAATTTCGGCGACACGGAAATAACCGAAGTTCAGTGCTGCAAGAGTTGTAGTTTGCGAGAAAGATGGCGTCACAGAATTGATTTCCACCACAGGGGAGACTCAGGGGATGATGATACCAATGCTGCTCGCATATATGAACAACCTGGTATATAGATTATTCTTGTTATTATTCCAAATATTAAAAAAACATTTTAATCAATCTATTTTGGAAAAACCATATAAGCACTATATTATTTTTCAAAACTATTTTAGGAAACCCCAACTGTCCAGAGGCAAGCTTTAAAAAAATACATTAAAAAACTGTTCCGGAATGCAAGTCATTGTGGCAAAGACCAAAATCCCTGCCAACATCATTTAACCCTGATAATCTTGACCTGTGGTATGACAATATGGTTGTGGGCAAGAATACACTTGGGAAATTTATGCAGATAATCAGCAGAGAGGCAAAACTCGCCACAATATACACTAATCATTCGATTAGAGCCACATGTATTACAATCTTGGACGAATCAGGATATCATGGGGATATCAAAGCACAATTCTGAGACAAGTCTGAAACGTTATTCCTCAAAATTGAGCGAAAAACGTATAAGAGAAATGTCAGATGCTTTGAGCAGGAAAATACATGTGTCAAAATTTCATGGTTCAGAAGTATATCCATCAAGGCCTTCATCATCAAGTGTTCAACCCATCACATATTCATTTGGACCTTCATCTTCTATGACTGTTCAAACAATCTCAAATACAGGCCCCGGGGCCACGAACGAAATCCTACAACCATCGTTGGAGTCCATCGACTGGCTTGGTGATATTGATGATGAGGCACTGGCAGCAGTTCTAGATGACCCTACCATCTTTGCAAATGTTTCAGAATTTCCAAAGTCTGCAGTGTCCACTGCAATGGCCTATAACTTTCATGGCTGTACTGTTACAATTAACAATTATTCATCCAGTACAGGGGCTCAGTCATAAATAACCTGTGATATATTCCCTGTGATAAATGATTGTGATAACCAAAGTGATTATTAAACTTTGATTAAAGAAAATGATTATTTCTGTTATTTAATTAAATAATTTCTCTGTTATAATAATTACATAATTAATTTTTTCATTCTTTGTTAATTTTTTTTTTATTGTTTAAGCCAAAATGTGCTTATGAAGTTATTGTTTATAAACTGATTAAATCTATTCTAAAATCTTTGCTTTAGTGTTTTAATATGTATTTATCTTATGTGAAGGGTATAACAAAAGAGTTATAGACTGGGATTCGGGCAACATATGATTTGTTGGACCTGAAGGTGAAAATGTTGCTCTCGGCCTTCGGCCACGGGCAACATTTTCACCTTCAGATCCAACAAATCATATGTTGCCCTCATACCCAGTCAATAACTGTACAGTAATGATGTATCATTAATATTATCAGCGACGTATATAGGTCCCTGGTATTATTATGCATACATGTAAAGTCGAGCCCAAGTAATCTGGACAACAATATTTCGGACGATTCACCTTCCGATCGAAATTTGATTGGAGCAGACTTTACATTTTATATCTTCCAATTATAAAAGGCATTACTCAGTAATCCGGATTCTTCATTAATCTTGACAATTTGTTTTCAATTTGGATCATTTATTCTTTCATGGCGGTGTGTATACAGACAAAATTGTTATATTGAAAAAGAATTTTTGTCACAAATGCATCCATGGTTCAAAAATTGTTAAATGAATAAATATACATCATTATGACCATTACCGTATCAAAAATATTAAATATCTAAAAAAAAAAAATTCTCACAACATTTGCGCACGTGTGAACTGTTTCTATACGATCCCTGCTGCTTATCATTGTTTAATCCTTGTGAATCTTTTAACACCTTGTAAATAACTCTGTAGTTGAGTCTCCGAAAAAGCTAAACTGTGCAGTTCCTATGATTAATTATAAACGTAATCTGAAGAACCTTTTCGTCCCATCTTCTGCCCGCTGAAGGTCAGCGACCTCTGAACATTAACGTATAATATATGTTATCTGCAATCTCCATATAAATACTTACGGTGTTCTATGAATGTTTTAAAGCTTGAATATTTTACAGGGTGTCTGGTGAGATTTGGCAACACAACTTCCAGGCCTACAGAATTGGTACTTGCGTGCCCTTGTTCACCAGGTCTATATTGTCATGGCGATCATAAATATGAAATACCCCTTGGAGAAATCGGTATACGTTTGAAATACTAGATACTTTTATTACAGTCATTGTTGACATGAACAGGAAATAAATCGTGCGAAATGTTTTTTTAGTTAATGAGAATTTCCTTATTTTTGTAGGTCATTGTGCTGCTCAATAGACTGCCCCGATAAATCAGCTTAAAACTACCTTTAGGAAAATTGAAATGAAGAAATCTTCAAGATAAATGATGATGTTTTCATAATTAAGGAACAGGCTTCAATAAAGCTGCTTACATGTACATAATGATAGATATTTTTCGATTTAATATTCTGGTAAACATATTTGCATTATAATTTTTACTGTACATGTACATATCATCCATGATGGGAAAAATTAAACCTTATTTAAGTTGAGGGAATTTATTTTCATTGTGTTATCTTTTTATTACTTGGGATCAGTTAGGTAAGTAAAACAATATCGTGGGAGAAAAACATTTTCTTCCCTTGTTTGGACATATTTTGTTAACTCAGTTTTTTATTTTCAAATACGCAATATTCCCCTGTACTTGTAAATATAAAAAGAAAATAATACATCATTTTCATCTAGTAGATATAGAAAATGAATGTCACGTTTTTGGAGGAGCTTTTTGTCAAAATTGGTTTGTATACAAGAAAAGATAAGACAAGTCTTACTCAAACAATTCAAACTTTAAAACAAACACATCTTATCTATCAATATATGTCTATATGGATAGATATCAAAAAACCCCTGTCAAGAGACGGAATCGAGTAAACCCTAATCCATCTTAGCCTTCAAATTCACCGATCAATCATCTACTGGTTCCATTAAATGCCTCGATTGTTTATTTTTGATAGGAAGTCATGGAATTCCTGTCAACTAAATCGGAAATTAAATTTTTCTGTTGTACAGATAGAAATTATGAAACACACTTGACTTAGCAATATTTATTACAGGTCAAACAGATAGGCGAATTTCATTGACCTCCTGTTTTCAACACTGTACATGTCATACGACACCACTGCACATAATCTTTGAATCCTTTTTGTTGGTTCGTGTACGGTTTGATTCATAGACTAAACATCAGAAAATAAATATTTTCATTTAATTTTCCTGCAGTAGTACTATACTGTTATTCATAACTAAGTTACCTCTTTTAGTTTATTCAGGCACGTGGATTCTAAACAATTATATACAAAAATTCTCGATTCCTACGATTTATACGGATGCAAAATACATTTAGATTACTGTATCTCTTATTTAAAACTAACTGCTTCATGGTTTCCTAAACTATTATATTCTCATAAATATCCAAACCCATTGTCCCTAACTATTTTGCCATACACTGATGCAGAATGCTTTGCAGTTCGTGGTCTATTTGGATCATCAAAGTTAACATGATATAGACCAAATTTCTGCGTATAGCCACTGTTCCACTCCATATTATCCATCAAGGCCCACGCCATATATCCTCTGACGTCACATCCGTCCCTTCTTATTGCTGAAACAAATAGAAAATTCCAAAAACGCGTCATAAACTGCGTTAATTTTAAAGAAACAGACATTAAAGAATATTTGATTATCTGATATCGTTATACTTTAGAGAATATTTTTAAATTCAAAAAAAAAAAAAAAAAAAAAAAAAAAAAAAAAAAAAAAACCTTTTTTTTTACCTTTTAGAACCTCGTTGATGTAGTAAGTATAATATCTAGACCTTGATAAGTCCTTCATTTCCCCTTTATCAGAGACACCATTTTCTGTGACATACACAGGGGGGTTACCATAGCGATCCTTGATCCACTTCAACAACCGACGAATTCCCCAGGGATTCACGCGTAACCAATCAGATTCGGTCCTGATTGAAAAGGATAGCTTTATGTATCTTGTATTACCATCATAAAAATGGAAGCAACTGAAAGGCTTTATGGAGAAAGGTACTTCTAACGAATAATGGGATGGGAAAAATACTGCTATTGAAGTAAGATTAAAAATCCAACTCGACAAAAAATTGCAACATCTAAATTTTGTTATCTTAACACACCTATCAAAACTGAATAGAATCAGGGGGAAAAGAGAAACAGAAGTCACGGAGCTTCATATGACATTAAAATCTAATAACACACCAACTTACTTGTTCCAGCACGGATCTTCTGAAGTGTCGATGTCTTGGTCACTTTCATAGCTATGCCAGTTAATGTCCCGAATTTCCTCACGAACAAGATTAGTTGTGTAATGATTTAGCCCAAGGAAATCATATGCACCTAGAGCATTCAAATGCACCATCAATATACATAACTCCTGATATTAAGCATTTGTTTTTACCTGACTTTTAGACTCATTCTTTAACACGATTAATGTTTATATACATGCATTGATGAATCAAGATGTTGATAAGAAAAAGAAATTGATTATCACGTAATTTTTTTTCATACTTTATCATATCAGTAAAGGATAAAGTTCATGACGAGAGATGCGCCGTGTACCTCTATTCTGTTGGATCTCATCAGGAGTAAATTCTGGCAGACGAGATTTGGGATAACCTTGCCGTCTGCTCTTATCTGCAACTTTTCTTTTCATGACAGATGGATAATCTCCATTACCAAAGAAAGGGTTGGCAAACCATCCAAGTTTGAACTGTAGAGCTCGCTCGGCGGCGTATCGACTGGTGGTACTGTCAGTCTGGGGTTCTTTCCAATCACAGTCCAAGGTTATTCCAACTTGTCCTAGAATGAATTTCAGTTCATTTCAAATTACTGAGAGCTATGTTTCAAACAAGCAATGATGAGCATATTCTTTTAGCTCGTTTTCAAATGGGACGAAAAAAGTGCGCACATGTCTTTTATTCTAGCCTACTTTTTTGAAGAACATCTTATTCTGAGGCAAAGATTTTCCGTATAGTTCTTCCATTTCTGTACAACAACTTTGGAAGACATTATTTCCTCTCATTTGCTACTATACATTAATGACATATAAACCTTGCTGAATGGCTTTAAATGTGCTCTCGTAAGTACGGTAGGCCCGGGTGTGAGATCGGATGATATTGTGGGCCACTACATAGACACCAGTGTCTGGACTGTACACCCCAGGAGCGAACACAGCGATACCGTATCCCAACCAGGATACCACAAACGCCTCATTAAATGTTATCCACAATTTGACCTATTGATAGGAATCAAAATCAATGTTAAATACGCGAAATAGGAAATAAAAATGGAGTAAACCCAGTAGGCTGGAGAGTATTAAATTAACATATAAAAAACGAACAAATCAAATTGAAACTTCAGTCTTATCCATTTAAATAAGTTTCTAAATAAGATGTGCAATTTGAAACAGGAAATGTCTAACAGTAAAATCTGATTCATTAAAAATACTGCTGCAAATCTTACTCGGTCACCAAAGGAAGAGAAGCAGAGTCTAGCGTAGTCGTTAAAATAGTCGATGATTTTATCGTTCTGCCATCCTCCAATGTCTTGTAGAGCCTGTGGCAGGTCCCAATGATACAACGTCACCATTGGCTCTATATGATTGGCTAAAAGTTCATCAATCAGATTATTATAATATTCTATGCCCTTGCTGTTAATTGTGTGAAGTGTTCCGTCTGCCATTACACGACTCCAGGCGATAGAGAACCGGTAATGAGACACGCCCAGACGGACGAGCATCTGTACATCTTCTTTATACTTATGATAACTATCACATGCAATATCTCCTGTCTGCTGGTAAGCTATTTCACCTTTGTGTGACTTAACATCCCAAATACTTGGCCCCTTTCCTGTAAAAATTAGCCAAAATTATATATTTATCAATGTTCAACTTGATTAGATTATTGAAATATGGTGAAAGTTTTAATATAAAAAAATAAATAAAAAAGAAAGCATACCAAAGGCTGAAAAAAGCAACAAATCTTTGATATTTTTTAATGAGTAAAAACATAATAAATTCGATTGTTGCTTCTTACGAACCGTCCGAGTTCCATCCGCCCTCAATTTGATAAGCTGAAGTCGCTGCACCCCAGGCAAACCCGTGAGGAAACTGTCCTCTGATAAAATCATCACGATCTTCCAAATCTAACAAGTTAAGAAAAAGTGATAAAACGTTCCTATACATGTAAGTGTAGGATGAAAACTGAGGGTAAAATAAGGAAAAGAAAATTCGGAAAGGCATGGTACCTTGCTTGATGTAATATGAAGTCTCCGATGTCTTCCAGGCTGTTGAAAATATTTTGATATTGATGTTTATGTTTCAAATCTTTTCAGAATAAAATCCTTTAATTCATTATCAGAACATTTCTGTAGTAACTAAGGTAAAATGATCAGTTTTGCTGAAGCATGTTTTGTAAATTGATATTAATTTAAAATCCAGAGATTTGTCGTACCTACATGTACAGAAAATCTCTCATGATAAGTTTGCTTTTTATTCCTAATGTAAATATATTTTAAATCAAGAATAATAAATCGAGGACACTTTTTTTTCTTGTTGATAGACTACGGCATTCTTTTTTTTTCTAAAAAAAAAAGAAAAAAGAAAAGTAGAATAACCTACAGGCGGGAAATCCTTTATGACTAATTACGTCCCTGTAGAAATTTGCCGAAGCCTTAGGAGTTCTGTCACGACCGTCTCTTTCAAAGTCAACTTTGTAAAGTCCGTACTTTTTTGTGTAACCAGCTCCCCACTCGAAATTGTCGAGTAAAGACCAAACAAAGTAGCCTTTTACATTCACCTTATCCAGTGCATATGCTGAAATGTAAATGAATGGGTAGACAGTTCTAAAGAAAATAATGTCTATCATATGAATAAAAATACAATATCTCTTAAAAATACTTACAAGTAAGAACTTGGTCGATGTAATTTCTGAGGTAATTCACCCTGGTCTGATCTAACAGTGTTCCACAGTCACCAACCCCGTTTTCAGTGACGTAGATAATTGGGTGGTTGTACGTAGCATTTATGTACTTTAGAAGTTCTCGAATTCCTTCTGGGTATATTTTCTTCTCCTTTGGTCTTCAATGAAATACATTTAGATGTCTTGAATTAATATAGCCAATTTTCGTACCAACAAAACTTAAAAATATACTTGTATACGAAATTGTGATGTCAAATCGTACGATTTTTATTAACAAGATACGCGAAACCTGGTTACTAGATCGTTTTTTTCAGACCTCTAATCATTTTATATCTAGGAATATATTATAAACATGTATATCATCATTACAAGTTTTATTCAATCCATCATTATGTCAAATGCTGACTGACGTTTTTCATATTAATTGTTAGGCAGCCATTATTTAAACACTGAATGGTCTACGGATTTTTTCTGCTTGCCTGATGATAACATTGAGCACACGGCGGGTGTGACCGGTCGACAAAGGATGCTTACTCCTCCATGGCACCTGATCCTACCTCTGATGTTTTAAGAAGTCAATGTTTGCTCTAATCCCGATTTGTATTGTTTCAATGGACTTTTGAGCTTGCTTACTGTTCGTTATCACTATATCTTATTTGTCATATACTAATATGTGTAAATCAGAGGAAAGGCATATTAAACTTTATTCACAATAACATATACAAAATATATATTAAAAATATATTTGATAATAATTAATCGTTTATGAAGGAGAAGCATTCACCTATCCCATAATTGTTCGCTTTTTTCGGGTTATATATCGTAGGTTTCTAAGTTTTTGTCTGATGGTTTTTATAGTATATTCATTGTCCCACGTACCGTTGCATCTTATTATTAAAATTCGGGTCTTCAAAACTCAATATCCCTTGGTTATCAAAGCCATTAATTAGATAACTGTGGATCCGAAACTAATCAAAACACACCGATAGTTTTTGTGGATTGAGACTTAAGTTAACGGTAAATAAATCGGGGAATATATTATAAAGTACACATTAATAAACAAAGTAACATTTTTTCTAACATGTAAAATTATACATCCGAGTAACCGAGTAACCATGCGAATGTTAACCGAGTACTCATTGACAACACTAATATATAATAGAATCCCCTAATGATTCTTTTAAATCAATTCTAGTTGTTTACAGTCATCATTATTTAATATTTCGTAAAAGTAAAATTTCAGGTACTTTTGAATGGACTTATTTCTATATTTGTACTATTACCCATCCCATGTTGGATCAAACGACTCCTTTACGCCGAGATCTTTAACATAGCTGTCACCACTTATCGTGGATGGACTGTCTTCAACAAGTTTGGTGGTATAGTGGTTGATTCCAAAGAAGTCGGATGAACCTGTTTGTTAAAATGTATTTTGCATTTTCATGTACCTTATTTCAAGCAAGTTTATTATAATTAGACAATACATCGCATTGTGCATTGGTACATTTTTAATTCTTTTCACCTTTAATATCGCTTCTCTCAGCAGGGGTTATTGTTTTAAGACGGATTCCTGCTCTGGCTTTCATTTCTGCTGGATAATCTCCATTTCCGAAAATTGGATTTGCAAACCAACCAAGCATAAATTCTATAGCCCTTTTTGCGGCTTGTTCGTCAGCAGGTTTGTTCGTTTTTTGCATTTTCCAGTCTGAATTTAGAGCAATTCCTATTTTACCTCTCTGAGAGGAAGCAAAGTCCCTTTTATAAAGCCTGTAAACACTAGCGTGCGCTAAAAGTAAGTTGTGTCCAACAGTGTAGGGTTTAGTTCCAGGCTCTTTAATTCCAGGAGCTTGACTTCCGGTTCCATATCCGTACCAAGCGATATCATAGGGCTCGTTGATTGTGATCCACATCTTGACCTGTAGTTTGGTATCAATATTTATATAGCTCAATACGGCCACCCCCTTTTTAATTAAGATTGTTACTTTTTGAGATGAAATATATTTGCAAATACATCCGATTATTTATACTGAAACACAAAAAATGTTATGTTTTAATTACATGTACCTACATGCATTCTATACACTTCAGAAGTTATGGAAAAAAAAGTTTTACCTGGGAACCCAGTTGTTGAAACATCAACTTTGAATATTCTTTAAAACGGGTAATGGTAGTAGAATTCTCCCATCCGCCTATACAAAATTTTTTTTAAAAGTTTGTATTATTGTTTATTCTGAGTTAATCAACAACAACAAAAAAGGAAGCATGCTCTTTAGATCGTTTATAATAGTGATAATCACAATGAAAAGATTTTGAGTAGTTAAAATTATAATAGGAGACGATATTAATGTCTTTTATGAGTAAGTATTGAGAAAATATGAAGTGCTGGTACCATGATCTTGTAGACTCTGTGGTAGATCCCAGTGGTAGAGGGTAACCACGGGTTCTATATTGTTGTCTTTAAGTTCTTTTATTAGATTTTTATAGAAGTTGATTCCTTCCTCATTCCTAGGACTTAAGGTACCGCTTGGCAAGACTCGACTCCAAGAAATGGAGAATCTATAGTGCGTAACCTAGGAAAATAATTACAAGTTAGAAGAAATATTTTCCTTCAGCTGAAGTACATGTACCTAACGCACCAGCAGGCTTGTTCACGTGCTGAAAGAATCAGTTGTTCATTGCATGTCAATTGAGTAAACACGAATAACTGATTTATTGAATAAAAGTTTCTAGGGTGAAAAATTTGAAACAAGTACCGTGATTTACATCTTTAATCGTTCAAAGCAAATTTTGGACGGAGTTGATGGCAATATATATCGATTATGTGAGCACTCAATTTTGATAGAAAATGTAAAGAGTTGTGACATAAGATGCTAAATCATGATTTGAAATGGGCTAGCGGAGAATCTTCTACTTTAGAATTACGACATAATAGACTCTCTGTATCAGACTGCTCTCCCTATTAACAGTTTCTTACCCCTAATTGTTTCAATAACTGGACATCTTCTTTGTATTTATTATAAGAGTCGCTGGCCTTATCTCCGTTTGATCCATCAACGATGTTTCCGGAAGTTTTAGAGAACGTGTCCCAGATACTTTTTCCTCGGCCTCAAAATGAAAAAGGGTATACACGAAGTTTGATTTACAAAAACTGATTCATTTTAGCAAAATGAAAGTAGGAAAAATAAAAAAAAATAATTACAAAAAATATCTTGACAAAATCCTTTCTAAGATTTGTCTTTGCAATTCCTTCCTTAATACATTGTACGTAATTATCAACTTTAAACGCAGATTACATAACATGTTAAAATCGTCTTGATAGCTTTATTTTAATTAAAATTATAAGACAGTTTTTCCCCCACACTTTCACAACAGTTAAACAGTGCGTTTTGATCATTTAATCATCAATGATTGCAAAACCATAATACTTTCGCCTCTAATACATTTGTGTTGAAGCCAAGAAATGTTTCGTAATACTTTGGACCAAAATCCAATATGATAATTGTATAGAAATGAAAATTATAGGAAACTTTACAAATGAAAATAATTCAAAATAAAAATTTACGATCATAAAAAACAAAAAAATTATGACATACACAATTGAAAAAAAATTGTATTTTGTTTATAAATGATAAATTAACAAAATCGAGAACTATCGATAATTGCAATGTTTGATATGCCATATCGAACAATACCATTCAACTCATTTTGAAATTAATTCTGATTTTAAGTATAGGTAATATTTTTCTTCTTTACTTTTTAGTTCTTAACTAATATTGGTCACTAGTATTTTATCTCGATTTGATCTATTAAAAATGTAAAGATGCCATAACATTTTGCGTTGTTAAAATTCACAAGTTCTTTCGGGGATTCATAATGAACAGCACCGATTCTCTTCTTTTTCTTTGAAAATATTATCAACAGACATGATATTGCAGAAAAAGAATAACATTGAATTTATTTTGGCACATAACAGTTACTTTATTTTGTTCACCTACCGTCCTTATTCCAAGATCCTTCAGTCTGGTAAGCTGAAGTTGATGCACCCCATGCGAAGTCATTTGGGAATACTCCATGATAAAAAGTTAATGTCTTTTGAATGCATAAGCCAAAAACTGTCATAAGAAATACATTTCCTAACGCCATATCTTAAAGTTGCAGTTGTTCACGTACTTGATTCTTTTGAATTTGACTGGAAAATCAACAACTCTCCAAAATGTCTTTGTATTCCTACGCTAGGACATTTGTTCCTGTTCTTCAGTCAGATAGCGAAATAAAGTCCCTACCAAGTCCTGTCTGGACATATATATGAAGAATCTTAAGAATACAGAAAAGGGAAAACTTTAAATCCCTCGAAAGTCTTATCGATTCCTTGGAGTGACCAATTTGAAAGTTTTCTGCCCACTGTCCTGTTTTATCTCCAAAAGCGCCTTACCTTGCAGAAAAGATTCACTAAGTGGGACAGTGCCACCCTGTCATTTAAGAAGGGTCAAAGATTTCGTAACCAAGAAATTTAAAAATTCATTCAGATCATCATTATATATAGTATATGAAAATGCGTCTTGGTTTGTGAGGACTTTTTTTAGTTCATCATGTTGTTAGTAATAACAGGAATTGGACTTTTGTTATTTTTACAGTACTCTCCCAGGTCCCTCTGCAGTGGTAAGATGTTTAAGATGTTATTTTTACCTAGTCTGTATGCGTTTGATCTAACAAGAACATGTCTTTGTAGCAATTGCTCTGGATATAAAATAATACCAAATAACTAAAATGAAATGAACAATAAAATGTAGATGAAATTGCACTATTTCACTGAAGAGATTGAAAGAAAATTATATCAAAGGTAACGATTTCGCATGTCAAGATGCATGCGTTTTTGTGTTCTTGAAAGATTTAATGTAATATGTAGAGTTATAGAAATAGTTTATTCTATTTTAAAATGGGTTTTCAATAAATAATTATTTAAATCTAAAGGAATGTGTTTATATTTAATAGACTGTATTTCACAGTTTAACATAGGAAGAACTTGAATATCGATATTGTCCCAGGAACAAAATATCCATAGTCCGAAAATTAATATTTCTTTAAATGACTCATATTAAATTTTCAACTTTTGACAAATAATTTGCGATCGGCATTGATTTTACACCCAAAGAATTCTGACTGTTTATTCAAATGAAAAATTACATTATAACTTTATTGTCAAAAGTAGTTTTTATAATTAAAGTGCTCATTAAAAATGTTTCAAGACTTTTGGTTCCATACATATTGTGAGGCTTCTCTGGCCCTATGGTTATTTACAAAACAAACAGAAAATCACAGGGAGTTGATTGAATATCTAATGAATCCTTCTTAATTGATTACATTATTGACAAAATTAAAGTTCATTTGACAGAAAATGTAGTTTTTATACAAATTAGCATATATATATGCAAACTGTATTTTACTGGAACATTGAAATACCAATTGCAAACTTTCATCATTCTAGTGGTTATTTGCAAAATTGTAAGTACTATTAAATAATACGATTTTTCTATAAAGGTCATAAAACACAAATAATCAACATTTATGAAGGGAAGATGCCTCCTTTACATTATGCGCAATAACTTGCGCAGTTGTCACAAAAATTTAAACTTACGACTGATTTTTCGGATTATCTCCTAATCAAGAAATCGAGATTACATATTCGAACCTTCCAATTAAAAATTTTAGTTATAGCCTTCCTGAAATTTGAAGAAGCTCATTTTTTCCCCCAAATAATAAATATAAAATATTTTTCCTTTCTTATCATCAGAAAAGCACTTACTACCTAATGATACTAGTTCCCTTTAATCTATACAGTGTACCACAACGCATCTGCCAGGTATTTGACACTAGCAATTTAAATCTTATTAAAACTTTAGACGTTCAGTTCAAGAGTTCTGTTATTTGTAGAAATAGACCTTACGACGAGTAACTCGGTGTCTGAAATAAAATTGCAGTATTTACAGAATACAATGAATATACTTTAACAGACTGCAGATTATGCACTTTTATAATCATACACGAAAATATATATCAAACATATACGTATAGAACGGTTATTAATAACTACTACTAATCAATATTAAAATGCTAGCAATAATAGCAACTTAACCCTTAGTACATGTAGTATTTATAACACATCAACGCATAGATGTACAGATTGCCATAAAATCAAAGTTTTTTTTTTTATTTTATTTATTTTTTTTTTTATTTTAGATATTTGTAATCACATTTTTTTTTTTGCTTCATCAGCGGAAGTCATTCCAGAGGATGATGGGATATATTATGGACAGTTCCCGGATGACTTTATCTGGAGCGCAGCCACGGCTGCCTACCAAGTAGAGGGGGCCTGGAATGAAGATGGTAAGAGCGGAGTTAATTCGTTCGAAAGTAACAAAACTTAATGTCATCACTGAAATATCCTATGTTTCAGAAAAAAAAAATTAAGCGGTCTTTCCCGTTTTAGAATGATTTAACTGAAACTTTCCTAGAGAAGCTAAACTTTGAAGATTATCTTGTGAAAATTTCTAATAAAATGAAACTAAAATTAACTTATTAGTAGTAATATATGAGGAATAATAAATGCTCCTCATTGCTTCTCTTCTCTTCTTCAGGAAGAGGTCCTAGTATATGGGACACCTTTTCACACATAAAAGGAAAGATAGAAAATAATGACACTGGCGATGTGGCATGCGACAGTTATCATAACTTTCAACAGGACGTAGAGCTTCTTAAAGAACTAGGGGTACGGAACTTCTGAATATATATAATTGTATATACATATTGTAGTTGGAAGAACTGTATGTAACTCAGTAAATGTATTTTTTCCAAAGAAATAAGAATTTGTACTCTTTTTTGTATTCCATTTTTTTCTGTAACACTTTTATGTTGTGGACTTATCAGTTACTTAAAAAGACATAAATAAGAATTAGCTCTCCAATACTATCAATACTATCATTAAACCGTGTTTGTTTTCTTTTTTGAAGGTTTCCCACTACAGGTTCTCCATATCCTGGTCTCGTATTTACCCATTAGGAACCACAGAGATGTTGAATCAAAGAGGGGTGGAGTATTATCACAGATTGATTGACGCCCTAAAAGCCGCCAAGATAGAACCCATGGTGACACTCTATCACTGGGATTTACCACAAACCCTGGAGGACAAAGGAGGCTGGCTCAACGAGTCCATTGTTCAACATTTTCAAAATTTTGCTGAACTTTGTTTCAAGGAATATGGTCCAAAGGTAAGTAGCAATCTTCTTGAGAAAAGTATTCAACAGCGTCATACACGTGGTAAATTAAAGAGGAAAGATTGCAATTATTGTTTACTAGTTTACAAAAACCTTAATCCTTAGTATATTTTTAGGTTAAACTCTGGATCACATTCAATGAACCCTGGATTATTTCCTGGAAAGGATACGGAAGTGGAGATTTTGCACCTGGAAAAAGCGACAGTCCCGGAACTTACCCCTACATTGCAGCACACAACATTCTGAAAGCACACGCAAAAGCTTATAGAAAATACGAAACAAAGTACAAGAAGCAATACAATGGTAAGCAAAGAAATTGAAGTTTATCATAGTTACTTTGAAATGAGGTAAAAATGATATTTCAAAACTACACGTATTTATATTTATTATCAATAGGTACAGTCGGTATAGTGCTTAACATTCACTGGGCTGAACCAATGGACCCTAATAACCCCAGTCACTTAGCAGCCTCTGAGAGAATGATGCAGTTTGATTTTGGATGGTTTGCAAATCCTGTGTTTATAAACGGCTCATATCCTGAAGTGATGGTGGAGAATGTAGCCAGGAGAAGCCAAGCTCAGGGTCTAAAGTCAAGACTTCCGAAGTTCACTTCACAGGAGCAGAAAGAGATAAATGGTTACAATATCCACAGTATTGCAAACTTTACATCTTTCTGATCTCCTTAGATTTGTTAGAAATTTCAATATCATTGTACGATTTCGCTTCTAGGTTCCGCTGATTTTGTTGGAATAAATTTCTACACATCGTCAAGAGTATTTCCTTTCCAATTTCCTGTGGATGATGTGAGCTACCAAACGGACAAAGATGCAGACTTTGATCTGGACCCTAACTGGCCTGGGTAACATTCCAGTTTTAAGGTTAAATTGAGGTTTTCTTTCATTCTCATTTCAATAAAATTTAAGAAGACAATGTTATAAAAGCGTTCAATTTTGTAGATCGGGGTCAATTTGGTTAAAGGTTACACCCTTTGCTATCCGAAAGCAGTTGAAATGGATAAAAGATCGCTATAACAACATTCCTGTATATGTAACAGAAAATGGGGTATCAGACAGAAATGGTTCACTGGTGGATATTCATAGAATAAATTATTATAGAGCATATATCAACGAGGTTTTGAAAGGTACATGAATATGTTATTAAGTTTGTTCTATCGTGTGGTCTTGAGCACTATAATATTCCAGACTCTCAATGGTTTTGAAAGTGAAGTAAATATAGTAGTCTAAATATTTCACCAAATACTTTTAACGAATATATTAGGGACACTATTTATACAAGCAATATAAGCATTGCTACATGTTTCCTTTCTTCTTTTCGTAGCGATCAAAGATGGTTGTAATGTCTTGGGATATACAGCATGGTCTCTTCTTGATAATTTCGAGTGGAACAAAGGATATGCAGAAAAATTTGGACTGCACTATGTAGACTTCAACGACCCCAAACGGAAACGCACCCCAAAAGCCTCTGCAAGATTTTACAAACAGGTTATTGCAGAGAATGGATTCAGGCCCGGATACCCTGGGATAGGAGGGCGGGGACTTGCCCCAGAACACGAGAGTGGGATCTATTACGACACTTTTCCCGACGGATTCGTGTGGAGTTCCGCCACTGCAGCCTATCAAGTAGAAGGGGCTTGGAATGAAAATGGTATACATTTTTTGTAATTAAGCAATGTTTTTATCTTTCTATTAAAGTAAAGAAATTTAATGAAAATGAGAAAAGAAACCATAGCGGAGATAATTAATTTACTTATGCAATATTGTTAATACATGTAACAACTAATTACATTTATTCATATTTACCGACATGAATTTCGATGTCGAAAAAATAAACAAAAAGAAATCTGTTAAGGGAACCATTTTGCACCTTGAAGTATTTTTTCTCAATATCTAAACTAAAGATGGCTGATTATTTAGACTAAATGTCTTGTTTAAACAAATTTTCTTCTAAGGAATTCTTGTACGTAATTTTTTCAAACACCTTTTCATTTTCATCCAGGGGTAACTGAGGAATCTTAGGTCGGTTAAAAAGTAGATCAAGCCCGAAGTATATTTGCACGATTCTTGGTTACAAAGTTCTGTAAATAAGAGTTTTTTTTTCGAACTTGTTGGTATCCACATCTGTGCCTATTTTATGGCCGATTCAATGAATGTCCTCAAAAAGATAAAAGAAAGTTCTTTTTTAGTGCGCATAAATTTTGCATTGATGAAGCTTCAGGTAATAAATCATTTTTAGAAAATGACATCAATCTAAAACACAGGAGTTTTTGGAAAAAAATCAACACGAATATCTATTAAAATAAAATCATGAAATATGAATTCAAATGCACGATATAAATTTTCCTTTGCATGAGAATTGAACATTCTAGATACCTTTCGCAACGATAGGAAAATATACAATCAAAGTGCATACACGTGCATCTTTCCATCATGTCTTTGTGTTTACATTCAATTTCTTATAAATCATCTGATCGTTTTAAGAGATTTAAACAATGAGCTCATTGTTTAAGGTATCCTCCACAAGTTACCAATGTGAGCCAATGATAAAGTTCGACTGCAGATAAATGTTTTTTGGTCTTTTTGTGTTCCCCTTAAAAATACATAAAGATTTGTAGAGCTGGTAGTGGTGTTAAATTTAACCCATATAAGATAAAAAGAAATATAATCTAATAACTTTATACAATTCAATTTGCACACTTTAGGAAAAGGACCGAGTATCTGGGATGTTAAAGCTCACGAAAAAGATTACATCAACAACAATGAAAACGGTGACGTGGCCTGTGATAGCTATCATAAATACAAAGAGGACGTTCGTCTGCTGAAAAACTTAGGGGTAATTAGGAATAATATCATATTTAATGTAAAAAAAAAGTCATTTTGCGACGAATACATTTATAACGAACTCCGTCTCAATGAGTAATCAAACTTGTTTGTCTATTTCATACATTCATCAATTTAAAGTTTTCACAGGGATAAATACATTTTTAAAACTAGTCATTGTTTAGAAAGTAAAATATGTATATTAAGTACAGAATCATTTGAATGAGATTTAATTAAACCCAATACTAAAATTAGATACCAATAAATGAGATGGCCCAAGTTTGATATAAAATGTTAATAAAAACTGGAATCTATTTAAAACGTTGAAAGATTTCAGTGTGTCAATTGTCGTTTTAATAATTGAAAAAAGATATTGCCATGATGACATAATTAGTCCCCAATAATAATCAAAAACCTAAATATTTTTCTGCTAGTAATGGAAGAATGCTTAATTTTCCCCTAAGGTCTCACACTACCGATTCTCCATTTCTTGGCCAAGAGTATTTCCCAACGGCACGAAAGAAAGTAAAAATCCAATGGGCGTGAAGTATTATCACAACCTGATAGACGAACTGCTAAAAGCTGGCATAAAACCAATGATCACGCTCTACCACTGGGATCTGCCTCAGGCTCTGGAAGAAAAAGAGGGAGGATGGATGAACGAATCTATCGTGAACCGCTTCCGAGACTATGCTGACTTCTGCTTCAGTGAATATGGAAAGAAAGTGAAGTTGTGGATAACATTTAACGAACCTTGGATAGTATCCTGGCTAGGATATGGTGTGGCGAGTTTTGCCCCAAACAAATACGGACCGGGAACAAATACGTATATTGTTTCACACAATCTTATCAAATCCCATGTAGCAGTATACCATCGGTATAATAGTACATACAAGGCGACACAAAATGGTTATGTATATTTTTATCATTTCAGCTGTATATTTTGTATTATGTATATTTTTATCATTTTAGCTGGAACTAATATTTAAAAGCAATTATCTTTTTTTTAAATGAATTGATGAAAAGAAGATTTCTTTATTGTGTGACATTACTTTTTTCTTCCTTTTCATATAGGAATCGTTGGAATAACTCTAAACGTTGGTTGGGCCGAACCGGAAGATCCCTACAATCCCGAACACCTGAAGGCCTCCGAAAGGGATATTCTTTTTAATTATGGATGGTTTGCTCATCCCATTGTTCATGGCAACTATCCACAAGTCATGATTGACAGGATCAGAGAAAAGAGCGCGATACAACATCTAAATGAGAGTAGACTTCCAGAATTTACACAGGAGGAACAAGAAAAAATGAAAGGTTCATATACCTTTGGAAATTATGACATTAATAAAACTACTTTGTCAAATCATCCTATTAGACTAAAGATCTAGATTATTTTTTTTCTTATATATTTAACTACATATACAAGAATTATTTTTGTGTGACGTCACATAGCGTTTTTGAGATTATACACAACTTTAGATCTAAAGAATTTATCACTGTCTTGTCACTCGTGAAATTAGTTATATGAAGGATTTTTTGAGAAGTATATTTTAGATAAGTACTCATATAGCATGACTAACAATGGCAAAGAAAAGTGGAAGTAAGTGTGCATCTTACTGAACAACGGTACAATGAACTTGACCATTTTGCACTTAAATTGCAACTTAGGTTAATCAATTTAACCTTTATCATATTTTACCAGATGTAATAATGGCAATAAATATAATATTATTTTACTCAAAATATTTTGAATAATATTTATTTATTGGACAAATCAAGCAAATTAATGCGCATAAATCATTGTGTGACTTTTTTGCACTAAATAAGTATCCTTTTGGGTTTTAAAAATCTAAAGCAATAAAATATTTGTATCCAGCTTTTTCTGACCTTAGTGCTGATCAGTTATATTTATTATGTACCCAACTGTTTGTCACTCAGTTTTACCGTTGAATTTATGCAATCACGTGACGGTGTGATCTGACGTTCCGGATCACCACACTATGGTTTTCTGAATCCATATCACCCCTCTCTGAAACTGATGACGTAGTACACAGGTAAATGACGTTTTTATTCTCGCGCATCAAAAAGTTCCTTGACAAAATGGTTTGTTTAATGTATAGAAGTTATGTAATTGATCCAAAAAGTTTACTCTTATTATATTTTGCTAGTTGTAGAGAGGTATATAATAAATTTATCTTTATAACAGTAACTTGATCCGAAGAGCCGTATCACGTCTCGTTAACAGGCGCGGATCATCAGATCAAACTCGACGCTTCGCGTCTCGTTTGATCTGATGGTCCGCGCCTGTCAACTTGACGTGATAGGCTCTTCGGTTCAAGTTACTGTTATAATAATATATATGTATCGTGTAGTTTGAATCAATTAAAAGAAAAATACATAACCAGTTATGTAAATTTTTGTCAACATATGCGATTTTCAGACAAAAACTGTGTGAATTTTATGTTGATGTCTTCAATACATCTTCAATTTTTGGCAAAATCTGTTGAGGAAATGTTTAAAATTTATTCTAAAAATATTAATTGAAACCTATTCTGAAAAATTCCTAGAGTAAATTAACGGAAAAATGCTCTGAGTAAAAATATGTAGGGCTAAAGTTCCAAGATATTTAACTTAACAAATGTGTAGATTTGAAGAATTTTCTATTAAATATCCTTCCTCCACAAGAAATAATCCCCCTTAAATTTTGTTTCTTTATGATTTTGTGACCACTTTTTAAATTGAATGTTTTATAATTTGCATTATTTAAATCAAATATGTTTTAAAAATTGAATTGTAACAAATAGTTTTGATATGAATGGTTCTGACTGAACTTTTCCTAAAAGCTGACGAGTGACATACCTTAACAATAGAAATATTTTGGAAAATATATCAGGTTCACTAAAGATTTACTTGCTAATTTATCATTATTTAATTGTAAATAGGTGCTACAGATTTCTTGGGTCTGAACTTCTACACATCTAGCATCGTGTATCCAAAGGACGACAGAGATGACGTCAGCTATGACGCAGACAAAGGAACTGGGGCTAAAGCTGACCCCTCTTGGATCGGGTATGTGGGATATCGCCGCTTACAAATCAAAGCACCTCTTCGGAGAAAGGTCTAGAATTTGAAGTGTGCCTACATACTTCTAGTCTGTGAAATATATATATTTTTCAAATAACAGTGGGGAATATTTGTTAAGAGAAAAATCAATCCAGAGTACATTTTAAAAAAAAATGGGGATTTTAAATTGTCCTCGATTTAATGACATGTTTATAAACACAAGCTTTTTTCATATGAAACTAACCGCTCGCTCCGTAATCGGGAGGTCGTGAGTTCGAATCTCGGCCGCGACTGACCTAAGTCGATAAAAAAAATGGCTAGCAGCTGTTCCTTCGCCATGCACTTTGCACTTTGAAGTGAAAGTTGCGGGTCCTTCGGATGATACCTTAAAAACCGAGGCCCCGTGTCACGGCAGGCGTTGGCACGATAAAGATCCTCTCTGCTCAATGGCCCTGAGTGCCGAGTAAAGGTGAAAATTTGAAGCCCTTCGCCTGTATATGGTGACATCTCTATATGAGTGAAAAATTCTCGAATGGGACGTTAAACAAAAGACAATCAATCAATCATATGAAACTAATAAATTCAGAATATCTACATGACTTGGTAAAAGACAATGTTTTTTTTTTAATAATTTTAGATTTAGAGAGATCAGACTTTCTCAGAGGTATACAGAATCACCGTAAACGACGTTCTACTGTAGCGTCGAACGTGCAAAGCCTAATTGCCGTATCTTTCTTTTAAGGTCCGGGTCTGGCTGGTTGAAAGTTACTCCTTTTGGCTTGCGAAAAATGCTGAATTGGATAAAGGAGCACTACAAGAATCTGCCAGTATACGTCACTGAGAACGGAATCTCGGACAAAAACGGATCACTCACTGATTTTCATCGGATACATTATTATAGGACTTATATTAATGAAATGCTGAAAGGTATTAATCAAAAACTGTCGTAAGATGCATTTAAAAGTTGTGCAAAAAAAATGCTTGCAAGTATAATGAAAGGGAATGTGTTAAGGGATTTCAGAATATCATATTTTATTTGAAAGCAATCAAGCTGGATGGCTGCAATGTTAAGGGATACACCGCTTGGTCTTTGATGGATAATTTGGAATGGCGTGCTGGATACTCGGAACGTTTCGGACTTCACTACGTTGATTTTAATGATAAAAACAGAACCAGAACTCCGAAAGCGTCAGCGCGATTTTACAAGCAAGTTATAGCTGAAAATGGATTCAAACCGGGGTATTCCAGCATTGGAGGCCGTGGCACAGCACCAGCCTTAGAAAATGAATTTTATTACGACACGTTTCCTGATGGTTTTATCTGGAGCTCAGCAACTGCTGCATATCAGGTGGAGGGGGGATGGAACGAAGATGGTACATAAAATATCAGAATAATTTTAACTTGCAAATTAAAGTTATCGAATTCTAGCATTATGAAAATGCTAAATCCAATAAATTCATGAATTTAGAACTTATTTGTAAGATTACAAAAATGGCAAACTTCTGCAGATTAAATTCTTGTATAAAAGCAACAAATATCTTGGTTTTCTTGATTAACATTCGTATTTTAAATGATACACAGGTCGAGGGCCAAGTATCTGGGATACATTTGCTCATCAACCTAATGTTATGGACAAGAACGCGACAGGTGATAAAGCTTGTGACAGCTATCATAAATATGAAGAGGATGTCCAGTTGCTAAAAAATATGGGGGTAAAAAAATTTCGAAACATCTATGGCAAGAAAACTAGTAATTAAAATTCTTTACAGTCATAACATATAAAGCGTTAAACTTATATTCCTGCAAAGTCAGGGGAAACATTGTATAAATTATATCATTTTCTTTGGTCCATTGAAGGTTTCACACTACCGATTTTCTATCTCCTGGTCCAGAGTTCTTCCAGATGGAACAACGTCCTATGTTAACGAATTGGGAGTACGGTATTATAACAACCTGATAAACGAGTTATTAAGGAACAATATCCAGCCAATGGTGACGCTGTATCACTGGGATTTACCACAGGCTCTGGAGGATAAGGGAGGGTGGCTGAATGGTACAATGGTAGACTATTTCCGGGCTTACGCTGAATTTTGTTTCCAAAGGTTTGGGGATAGGGTAAGAATAAATCATTGAAAAAATTCTTAAAATAAAAGCATGTAGCTATGAGTTTTATGCCATAAGCAATAGAAAGTTTGATGGACTATACTCGTTGTTGTCTTTTTTAATACCGGAAGTTCCATAAAGATGTCACATATTTAAATTCATCTCTTTAGCCGGAAAGTCAGTTTTGAAAGAAAATCCAATAATATATTAATCTTGTGTAAATCTGTATTTGAAGGTAAAATTATGGATATCTTTCAACGAGCCTTGGATTGTGTCCTGGCTAGGATACGGTGTATCAACTTTTGCCCCCGCTAAGTGGGGTCCAGGCACCAATACTTATATCGTATCTCACAACCTAATAAAGGCTCACGCAAAAGCATTCCACACGTACAATGATACTTATAGGGCTAGTCAAAAAGGTGAGCACTTCATTGTTCAAGGTACATACATTCCCTCAAATTAAGGAATCTCTAAAGACTGCTCACTGAAGAATTCTAATTCCATTCTATTTCTATGCAGTTAGAGTAATTTGCCCTTTAATGTAGAAAAGAATGAGCGGAAATTACAATTAAAGACAAAATTTAAAATAGATTATTCTTAACATTATATTAGACCAATGTAATGTAAAATAATTGAAATCATCATAATTATTTGCATGAATTTTACCAATGTAAGTAAATAACAGTGAATTCGGTTCACTAATACTTCGTTTTCTTTGAAAATTCTTCTTGTAAACAGATATCAAGTACACTATGCTGAAAAACTCAATATGGACATCTTTATTTGATACAATTTTTCCATAGCGTAAAAATCATTTTTTCTTATTTGTGTAATGCTTCCTTGAGGGAATATTTATTAAGAAATGGGAATTCATATTTTATTCTTGTTCCGAGATTATATTGATGTCATTCATATCATATATCTATAGGTCAGTTTGGAATCACGTTGAATGTTGGTTGGTCGGAGCCCGATGACCCATTCAATCCCGATCATTTGGCTGCATCAGAAAGGGCATTACAATTCGACTTTGGTTGGTTCGCACATCCAATAGTTATTAATGGAAATTATCCAAAAGTGATGATTGATAAAGTGGCCTATAAAAGCAATGTTCAGAACTTTACAAATACTCGATTAACTCCATTCACTGACGAGGAACAACGCATGATTAAGGGTAAATAACGTTAACATAGATATTACATGAAGTGTGTTACTAAACTACTAGTGCAGTTTTATAGAGAGTTGAGATGTTAAGAACATGTATTTTTGGTGTCATTCATTATATTTCTAGATGCTTTTCTCAGGTACGACAGACTTTTTGGGGTTGAATTTCTACACTTCATCAGTGGTATATCCAGAAGATAAAGGCTTTACAGATATCAGTTATGATGCAGATAAAGATGTCGGTGGGAGACAGGAATCTAGCTGGCTAGGGTAACATTTTTATATAGAATTCTAAAAAATGGGGGAAAATTTAACATAGATAATATTTGGAACACATGTATTGAAAGCAAAGTATTGAAAGCAACTCTTTTTTCATAAGGGCCAAAACAAGTTTTGACTCCCTTTCTCGTTGAAATGAGGATATAGTCCGTCTAATATAATTAAAGATAAAAAAAATTATAAGCTGATTTCCTTTATTAAGGTCCGGATCAGGATGGTTGAAGGTTACACCTTTCGGCTTGCGTAAAATTCTGAACTGGATCAGAAATACGTATAATAACATGCCAGTGTACGTGACAGAAAACGGTGTTTCTGACCGAAACGGATCACTGGTGGACTATCATAGGATACATTATTATAGATCATACATAAATGAAATGCTAAAAGGTAACATTATCAGTATTTTGTACTGAGACTATTTAAAAAAACATTCAGTATTATGCAGTATATTTGTAGATCATAATGAGAAATTTTAAATGTCAATTGGGAAATATTATATGAATTGAATATTTACAGCTGTCAAACTGGATAACTGTAATGTCAAAGGATACACTGCCTGGTCTCTCATGGACAACTTAGAATGGCGGGCAGGCTACTCGGAGAAATTCGGTCTACATTACGTTAACTTCAGTGACCCGAACAGAAGTAGGACAGGAAAACTTTCCGCTGAATTTTATAGACAAGTTGTGAACAGCAACGGGTTTCTGGAGGATTCTCTCACATCTCCAGAAAACGGAAATAAACTGGGTGTTTACCGCGAGCTTAAATACGCTGATGACTTTTACAAAGGCAAATTTCCCCAGGATTTTATGTGGGGTGTGGCGACTGCTGCAACTCAAATAGAGGGAGCAAAAAATAAAGATGGTCAGTTCGGCTTCGCGATTATCCGATTAAATATCATATCTTGAAGTGGTGTTGACTAATATTTATTGATATTCTTTAAATCTAAAACTTTGTTTGTTTAGGTAAAGGTGTCAGCCTATTTGACTATGCTTTGGAAGAAGCAACAAGGAATGATCTATTGACTAAGGAAAATTGGCCAGACACTGCATGCGACAGTTATACTAAATTTTTGGATGATGTCAGCTTATTAGTACAGCTAAAAGTAAATCACCTCTAAGTAAATGCTTGACAAATATGACAAAGTTAATTATAATATGAAATTCATAACACGTAACTTTTCTATGAAAACTTTAGGTATCGCATTATCGTTTTTCAATATCCTGGAGCCGTGTTTTACCAGACGGTTCTGCAGACAATGTCAACCAGTTGGGAATTGAGTACTACAATAACTTAATTGACGCCTTGGTGGATGCTGGTATTGTTCCCATGGTTACCATGTACCACTCTGATATGCCATTTGTCTTTTTTAAAAATGGAGGCTGGAAAAATGATAGTATGATTGACAACTTTGAAAAATACGCAATGATTCTCTTCCGTGAATTCGGAGATCGAGTGAGTAAGGGTAAAAGTTAAAATTTTTAATGTAAATGTGACTCGTGCTCTAAAAGAAAAAAAACATTTAAAAATGTATTTACACGAATCGGAAACCATTCTTTAATTGTCAGAAATGCCCATTAAAATTTTTGCAAACGATTAAAATTTGTACTTCCTCTCTTTATTAGGTCACCTGAGTCACTCAGGTCACCTATTGCTATCTGTTCTCGTCCGTCGGCGTGCGTCGTGCGGTGTGCGTCGTGTGTTAACATTTGAACATTTTTAGCTTTTTCTCTGAAACCGCTTAACCAATTTCAACCAAATTTGGCATATAGAACGTATGGGTGAAGGGAAACAAAAATTTTGAATTTCAGGGTCCCTGCCCCCCTTGGGCCTGAGGGGTGGGGCTAAAACCACTGAAAATAATGCATCTTTAAAAATCTTCTTTACTCCTGGACATCAAGCAGTCAAACTGTTGGCATCATAGTAATAAGCATTGAGCCCTCTACCAAAATTGTGAAATTTATGGCCCCAGGGTCAGGGGTTCTGGTGCTAGGGTGGGCTATATAAATCATATAGTGAAAGTGCATTATTTCTTTGAAAATCTTCTTCTCTGCCCCTTAGTTATGAAGAGGAAGAGTGCCTCTTCCAAAATTGTGAAATTCATGGCCCCTGGGTCAGGGGTTCTGGTGTTGGGTGGGGGCCTCTATTGATTATATAGTGAAAATGCATTAATTCTTTGAAAACTTTTCTGCTCCTGGGTATTAAATAAAGTGACTAAGTACATAGTTATGATGAGCAAGAGTGCCTCTTCCAAAATTGTGAATTTCATGGCCCCATGGTAAGGGATTCTGGTGTTATGGGGGGGGGGGGCTCTATTGATTATATAGGGTAAAGGCATGAATTCTTTCAAAATCTCCTTCTCTGCTCCTGGGTATTTTTCAACCAAAGGAAGTGCATGTTTTTGATAAGGAAGAATGCCTCTTCCAAAATTGTGAAATTCATGGCCCCTGGTTCAGGGGTGCTGGTGGGGAGAGAGAGAGAGAGAGAGAGAGAGAGAGAGAGAGAGAGCTCTTGATTACATGTATAAAGTGAAAATGCATAATTTTTTTCAATTTTTTTTTTATCTACTACTGGTTATGAACTAAAGAAACAAGTGTATAGTTATGATGAGAAAGGGTGCTTCTTCCAGAATTATGAGTTCGTGACCAATGGGTCAGATGTTCTGGTGTAAGGATGGGGCTTTATTTATTTAATAATATGGTGAAAATGCATTTCTTTGAAAATCGTCTATGCTTCTCTGGATGTTCAAGGCAAACAGAGTAAAAGTTTTAATATGCAAGGATATTTTTACCAGAATTTTAAACACCTGGACCATTTAGTCAATTTTTTCTGGTCCTGGCCAGGGCTCTATTAACTTGTATTCTACTGAGCAAAGTTATTCCCCTTTGCCATTCACCTTTGATAATTAATCAATTTACATAATGTATTTGAAAGCTTAATAGAATAAGAGAATTATGCAAGAAAATTTATTGTATAATAAAAAAAAAGTACTTTCATAGTTTTAATGACTTGGAAATAATAGATGAATAAAAATGAGACAAAAATAACTTATCTTTTTAAATGTTCTTCAACAGCCAAGAGAGGCCATCGTGAGAAGGAATAATATGGGGTTTAAATAGACATTTTGTTAATAGTCTGCATGGGAATAGTGATAAATGGGGGAGGGGGGGCAGATAGATACTAGACCAATTATTTTGTTGATGTTAATTATACTATTTTTCTTGCTGTTGGGCAACAAAGCTTCATTTATCAGTTTATGGATCCTCTACATTGTTGTATTGTACTCAGGTGACCGTTAAGGCCCTTGGGCCTCTTGTTTGAAATATTATCAATTCGTTTCAGAGTATGAAATTATGTTTCTATTTTTATTAAATTTCCAATTTTCTCTTGTCATAGGTTAAACATTGGATTACAGTAAACGACCCATACAGTTTAGCCTCCGCCAGTGTACAGCCGTATCAAGTTGCCCACAATCTGATCAAGGCCCATGCAAGAGCATACCGTCTTTACGAAAAGGATTTCCGCACAAAACAAGAAGGTGAGAAAACTCAATATGATTATAAAGATTTGCAAATTATAAATATTGTGAAAATCGATAAAGGTTCGTATGCACATGGAATAAAATGATGTCGTTTGGCATTTACAAAATCGCGGATTTACGATTTCTTGTATATGTTTTCTTCTCTATGGTATTTTATTAGGGGTGTTTATTTCGCGCAAATATAGATTCTGTCTACTTTGTACCTGTGCTTGTATATATTAAGAACCTTTAACGTATCAATTGTTCATTTTTTCCTGAATTAGCGGCTTCACTGGGAGCGCAAATATTGCGGAAATGAATACCAAGATTTTTTTTCAAACAATCAGACCTTTCAAATATATTGTGTTCGCTCAAATTGATTGTCAGTCATTTTGTAACTTTTGTTTTGTGTTTACTTGCCTATCCCTTGTATTCATAGCATAAGTAAATAAATAGTATAAAGGAGTGTATTTCCAGGAAAAATCGGGATTTCATTGAAAAACAGTTGGTTTGAACCCAAACGACCAACACATCCGGCCGACATCGACGCTCACAGAAGGAAAATGGAGCACACCCTAGGGTTATTTGCATACCCAATATTTGTCAATGGTGAATATTCGCCATTCCTTCGAAGGATGATTGAGAGAAACACCTCTAAGGATGCAGCTGGAAGCATTCTCCCATTATTTAGTGACGCCGAGAAGATGGCAGTTAAAGGTGAAGTCTGTTTTTGTTTAGTAAATTGAAAGCTGAGCGTTAAATTTTATTCTTGTAATAACGACTTCATGATTCTTTTCTTCTTCAGGTTCTGCGGACTTTTTCGGTCTGAACTTTTATTCGACATATTATGTATCAAGTTCCACAGAAGTTGAGAAGGGATTTGCAATAGATACAGACACTGTCACATCTGTTGATCCTTCTTGGTCACAGTAAGTCTTATGAATCCTTGACATCTAATGTCAACTCACTTCGCAACATACTTATGTCTATTTCACTTTAATGTATTTTAATGTTACTAACGTCTTGCAAAATTAAAATAAAGGTTAAATAATATTTATTAACATTTTAGGACAATCTTTGGAAATTATGGATCCGCTCCATATGGCCTTCGCAAAATGTTGAATTGGATTAAGGACAATTACAACAACATCCCAGTGTACATAACAGAAAACGGCTACCCTGATGAGACGGGCATTTTGAATGACTATGACAGGGCAAAGATTCTTTCGCAATATATTAGCGAAGTCCTTAAAGGCAATTTTATAATTTTGTTCTAAGTTTAGTCATATTTAATCATTAAAATATTTAGTAAGAAATTAATATTTTGCATATGGATTTCAGCAATTAACCTGGATGACTGCAATGTTCAAGGGTACACTGTTTGGTCCTTAATGGATAATGTTGACTGGACATTTGGAACTAAGGCTAAATTTGGATTGTATCATGTAGACTTTAGTGACCCGCAGTTACCTCGAACACCGAAGTTATCTGCTAAAGTTTACTCACAAATAATAGAACAGAATGGATTAATGACCGACTCAATCATTCAACAGCAAAATCAAACGGTTATAGTCGACCACGCTGAGAGCGACCCCTATCGTCAACTTCTTTATGAGGATGAGATGTATTATGGGGTGTTCCCTGACGGATTTGCTTGGAGCTCAGCCACAGCTTCCTATCAGGTTGAAGGGGCTTGGAATGAAGATGGTAATAAGACATTAGACTGATATCGGTTTTAGTTTTACATTTTCGCACGTTGAAATACCACTTATTTCGCTGTTATTTTAGGAAAAGGACCAAGTATTTGGGATACGTATTCTCACGCTGGGTACGTCGATAATAAGGACACGGGTGATGTTGCTTGTGATAGCTATCATAAATATCTAGAGGATGTTCAACTCATCAAAAATTTAAAGGTTAGAAAAACAGACTTTTATTAATTCTGCCCAAATTATATAGTCTTCAATGTTTTCTTACGATATCTCGGTTAAAAAGGTGTATAAATGTTTTAAGACTAGGTTTAGATTTTTAAAAAATAACAACTTTCTCTTTGTATGTAGACAAGTCACTACAGGTTCTCAATTTCTTGGCCACGTATTCTTCCTGATGGAACAACGAACACCATCAACCGTCTTGGTATTCAATACTACAACAATTTAATCGACGCTCTCATGGATGCTGGAATAGTTCCTATGGTTACATTGTATCATTGGGATCTACCTCAAGCATTAATGAGAAACGGTGGATGGCAAGAAGAAAAAACGATAGATCATTTTGCTGAATATGCAAGGCTTTGTTATACCTATTTTGGTGACAGGGTGAGGATTCTATTATAGTAATTTGTAACAGATGTATAAAAGAACATCATTTTTTACCTTTAATATTCATTATAAATTTTAAATGTAGAAGCAAGGTTTAGTTAATGCATTGCTTATAAGCGCAAATTATTACATGTATTCTACAGGTCAAGTTTTGGATAACCTTCAATGAACCTTGGGTTGTATCTCATCTCGGCTACGAAACCGGTGAAATGGCACCTAGGATTGTAGGAAAAGGAGACAAATCATATGTTGTTGCTCACAATTTAATAAAAGCACATGCAAAGGCTTATAGAATATACGACGAAGAGTTTAAAAGTAGTCAGAAAGGTAATTATAGAAATATGGAGACTGTTCCATTTCTTAATTGCTTACTTACTCTGTTATCACATTTGCATAATCAAAAATTTTTTTTCCACTATATTTAGGTGAAGTTGGAATAACCCTAAATACTGAGTGGGTATTTCCTAAAAACAACAGTGATCCCAATGACAGGACCGCCTCTGAAAGAGCAATTAATTTTGAATTTGGTTGGTTCCTTAACCCTGTTATAAAAGGAGATTATCCTGAGGTTATGAGGGAGCAGGTCGACAGAAAAAGCAAGGATCAAAATCTTTCCAAGAGTCGCCTGCCAGTTTTCTCTGAAAAAGAAAAAGAATTCATAAGAGGTACAATATACATGTATTTATCACAACAAAAGAGTGTTTATATATCTCTTATTTTAAATATCCATTTTCATATTCATCTGAAAAATGAAAATTGGCATACATTTTACACACGACACGTTTTCAGGTACTTATGATTTCATTGGTATGAATTTCTACTCGTCAAGTATTGGAACACATAAAGTGACCACTGATCAGAGCTACAATGGAGACCAGGATGTAGAGAAATACCAAGATCCATCTTGGCTAGGGTAAAGGCAAATGGTTTGAAATGAAAGAGTTAGCAATATCAAGAAGGACTAAATCATTAATATCTATACAATGTAATTGTTATAAGTCGTTTAGCTGTTTACGTAACTGTATAACATACGTGTACTTTTTAAATAAGCAATTGAATTAAAACTTATATTCATGATGACTCTTAGCGAGATACAAGTAAGACAGAAAATAATGAGCATCTATTGTCTCTTCACATATTAATATCAATCTCAGCCGCGACTGACCTACATGTAAGTCGATAAAAATAGGTACATGTAGCAACTGTTCCTTCGCCAAGCGCTCGGCACTTTGAATTGAAAGTTGTGGGCACTTCGGAACTTAAAAACCGAGACCCTGTGTCACGGCAGGCGTTGGCACGATAAAGATCCCTCACTGCTCAATGGCCATGAGTGCCGAGTAAAGGTCTAAATTTGAAGCCCTTCACCGGTATATGGTGACGTCTCTATAAGAATGAAAAATTCTCGAATGGGACGTAAAACAACATACAATCAATCAGTATCATATCAATATCTCAACATTTAATGAGAGTACCATATCATGTGTTAAAATCTTTCATTTAAAAAAGTCCCACTGATATTTTAACCCCCAAAAGTCCATATTGTATTTATCTAAGAAATATACATTTTTCAGAAATTACCCGATTATATTACTCCAGTTGTTTGTATTTTACAGAAATTGGAAACGTGTCATGACGTATCGATTTACGAAAACTGAAGTTGGCTTTTAACAAACTTTGAACATATTTCATACTAAAAAATCATTAAATTTTAGAATTGTTCCCTTCACAGGAAATTCCCCCTTGAAAGTTTATGTTCTGATTTCTTCCTATTTTGAATATTTTCTAGCTCGGGATCGTCATGGTTGAAAGTTACACCAGTTGGAATTCGTCGGATGCTGAACTGGGTGAAATATACATATGGAGATATTCCAATCTATATCACAGAAAATGGTGTGTCGGATAGAAACGGATCACTTCAGGATGATCATAGAATATCCTATTACAAACAATATATTAATAATGTTTTGAAAGGTAAATATAATCAATAAACAAAATATCAATACTGACAGACTTCAGAAATATTCATGAAGACATTGTAAATAATTTACATTTTTTTCTTCTCAGCAATACGATTAGATGACATAAATGTGAAGGGATACACAGCATGGTCACTCATGGATAATTTTGAATGGGCTAGGGGGTATTCGGAACGTTTTGGTCTTCATTATGTTGATTTTAAAGATCCAAAGAGACCAAGAATTCCGAAAGCGAGTGCGTTGTATTACAAGAAAATCATCACCGACAATGGCTTTGTAAAAGATGAGCCAACCATGATACAGAATTCTACCACAGCATTTCCAGAAAATGATCCCTATCGGGAGCTAAGCTATGAAAATGAAATGTTATATGGGATGTTCCCCACAGATTTTGCTTGGAGTTCAGCAACAGCTGCTTATCAGATAGAAGGGGCCTGGAATGAGGACGGTACCTATATACAACATTCTCTCATACTTCGAGTTTCCTATAATAATATCACTTCAAATTCTAGAGCTTATTACTACTGAGTAAATGAAATATGTACTAAAAAGTATATTCATCATCGCAATATTTACTTATAGGTAAGGGTCTCGGTATTTGGGATGTATTTTCTCACCAGCCTGGTAATGTGGACAATAACGATACGGGTGATATGGCATGTGACAGTTACCATAAATATCTGGAAGATATTCAGCTCATCAAAAATTCGAAGGTGGAGAAACAAGTTATTTTGATTATACTTTCCTGTAAATATTCATCAATGACGAAACAAACTTGAAATGGCATAGTACTTGAGCACAAAAAAACTTGGTAAATATTTCAATTACACATTACTGTAAATCAAAAATGTTTCTATTTTCAGACAACACATTACCGATTTTCCATATCTTGGCCACGAGTTTTACCAGACGGAACAACCAAAACTATTAACCGCCTGGGGATTCTGTATTACAACAACTTAATCGATGCTTTAGTTGATGCTGGTATTGTACCAATGGTGACACTCTATCACTGGGATCTTCCACAAGCTCTGATGAAGTATGGAGGCTGGCAGGGAGAAAAGACCGCAGAACTATTCGCTGAATACGCTAGACTTTGTTTTACCCTTTTTGGAGACAGGGTATTTAAAAAAAAATTCAAAATAAAATTTACAAAAGATTGACTATTGGCAAGCACTCTCTTTTCATGTCAGATTTATATAATTCCAGAATTTAAGGCTAATATTTGTAGACTATGTACTTACAATCGTAGTGCCTTCATAATATGACTTTTTTTTTTTGGTAAAAATGAATATGAATACATGAGTCTACAAATTTCTAATTCACAATATAGGGAAAAAAATTACATTATTCTACACTGAACTAAAATCCTTTCTCTAGGTTAAGTTTTGGATTACACTAAATGAACCATTTGTCGTATCCAACCATGGGTATGAAATCGGTGTCATGGCACCCGGCTTGACAGGAAAGGGCGATCGAATATATGCTGCGGGACATAACCTTATCAAAGCTCATGCCAAAGCATATAGGATCTACGAAAAGGATTTCAAGAAAACACAGAAGGGTACTTATTGTCAACATGGTTATCGTATAAAAATTGAACGGATTTCAATGGTTTTCACATTATTTAACTGGACAAAATTAAAATTTTCAGGGATAATTGGAATTACCCTAAATACGGACTGGCAGGTCCCCAAAAATCCATCCGACCCAAAGGACAGAGCTGCATCAAATCGTGCGATTAATTTCATGTTTGGATGGTTCCTAAATCCTGTAATCACAGGTGACTATCCACAAGTTATGAGGGACCAAGTGGATAGAAAAAGCAGAGAACAAGGCATTACACCAAGCAGGCTCCCTGCTTTCACGCCGCATGAGAAGTTATTCATTAAAGGCACGTTTTGAATCATGCATTAACTCAGTGCTTTTCCTTTTCTATAATATTGAGTCACATCAAGTAATTCTCTCGATTTTTTTAGGCACGTACGACTTTCTTGGAATGAATTTTTACACGTCGAACCTAGTGCGAAGCATAGCTGCTACAAAACAGAGTTATGTTGGTGACCAGGATGCAGAATTCACGAAAGACCCATCATGGCTTGGGCAAGTTTGATTTGGAAATTGTCTGTGAATTTGTATTGGTAATTGTGTGTGCATGCCATGCTGAAATTTTGAAAAAAAAATAACATGCAAATTAATTCCTCTCCAAATGATGTATTCTAGATCTGGTTCAGATTGGTTAAAGGTGACTCCAGTTGGTATTCGGCGTATGTTAAATTGGATAAAGTTTACATACGGGGACTTCCCAATCTACATAACAGAGAATGGAGTGTCTGACCGAAATGGTTCTCTACAAGATGATCACAGAATCTTTTATTATAAGCATTACATCAACAATGTTTTCAAAGGTATGTAGATATATGCAGTATAAAAGTATGAGGCAAAAAATTAAAATAATTACAATATCATATGCCTCTAATTCATTTAGGGAAATTGAAAGAAGTGAGATATTGTTATCATTTTGTGTTGTTTTGTTTTAAATAATTGTCTACTTTTATTTGCATCTGAGCTATACAACTTGATGGCGTAAACGTGAAAGGATATACTGCTTGGTCTTTAATGGATAACTTCGAATGGGCACGAGGATACTCGGAACGTTTCGGGCTTCATTATGTTAACTTTTCCGACCCTCTGAGACCAAGAACTCCAAAAGCAAGTGCGCGTTACTTCACAAAACTTATAACAGACAATGGTTTTGTGAGAGACAATCCCTCTACCCCAAGCACTTCATCTCCGACTAATACACATAGGCCTACAGTGCAAGTAAACGTTTGTAATCCGACCTCATCAGGCACATACTGCAGTTGTGTTCTTGCCCTCTTTATAAGTTTTGTAGAATTTTTGTTTTTCATAGTGAGACAAGTATGATATACTTAAATGCCTAGTTAAACTTCTCTTTGTATATACATATATGTAATGTATAGAAATCATTCATCAAGTGTTTAGGTTATAATTGTTACTTTATATCATTACAACATTGATTTTGTATATGCTAATAAAATGTACTGCTGAAATAATTGTAATTTAACATCTTTCACCGATCTGTTCATCTATAAAATACATCATTTTTTATGAAAAATGTCATGCATAGAAGACTCAAATATTCATCAGACTTCTGCAAGACATTGAAATTAAGATTGTCTTTTTTTTCTTTTTTGCTTTGAGATTCATTGTTAAACTGATGCACATTGTCTTTCATTTGGCATCAGGTAATAATATTAAACATATTAATCTGTTTTAATAACTTCAGGCACATGATATTGTTTAAAAGGAATTCAAGAGGTAGATTCCTCACCATTTTATAACATACACAGTTTGAAAGCAGAAATGTGTACATTTTTACTTCCTTTCTCATTGAAGTCAGTATTCTTATATCAAGAATATCAAAAAAAATCTAAACCCAACTGCTTCTTTATGAAATTGAACTTCCTATACGACATACTTTAATTCTTGTTGTAACACACCATTTAATTGGATAGAAAATCTAGTTTATATCTAGCTTAAATTCAATATTTCGGATTTCCAACGTCTCGGCATGAGCATCACTGAAGAGACATAATATGTCGAAATACGCATCTGGTGCATCAAAATTGGTACCGTATGTGATTAACATGCTATAACTTGGTTTGGCTACGTTACAATTATATGACTTATGTCAAAAACGTTATCACTCCGCTGGAAGTTACACTTACATTTTATACAGTATGAAGGCAGTTTTGAAAGAAAATTATATTATTTTTTACAGTTAATGTTAGAAAATTAAATTATAAATAACTTATTTAATAACTAATCAAGTTATACTTGTGTAACAGGAGTTGGAACAGTTTCTGCATTTTTATAAGCCGCTTCGCTATTTCTAAAGAGTAAACTTTCAATCCAGGTTATACACTATAACTTCAGTATCTATTAAATCTCTTCCTTAAATAACTAACTATAATAAAACTATAGAAAAAATAGTAAGAATATGCTACAACCATTATATTTACTTGTGAAAAGAATTTTGAATTAGAAGAAAGACTTCAAAGTTATTTTAGTTTCAGACCCATTTCACTTTGACTATAAAAATCTATCATTTCAGTAGATCGTTCTTTAGTTATTTTTCTATCTATTCTTAAATATTTTGAAAAAAAGGAGACTTGCATTGTATGTGTACAGATATTTTTTTTTTACTGAAGCATCTTCGATGAAATACTGAATTAAATTTTTCTTACATTTCCAGTTGTGTTATATATGTTTTTTTTCCATACACGAAAAGTCAATAGCGCTAGCGCTATGAAAAAAAATCTTGATTTCAGCCACTCGATTATAATATCAAATTACATGTAATTCAGCATACCCGTGAAATACATGCCACTGAAATTTTCATGCGAAATGAACAGTTTTCTCGTATTTTGGTTTGTATATTTGTATATTTGTTTGTTTTTGGTGTTGGATGATTATTTGATTTTCTTAAGTACAGATTCCGCTTTTATGAATGAATGATATATTGTATCAAGACGTACTGGGTATTTACTTTTGGTAAGTCTTATCGTATATTTAATCTGTAAAGATCCGTATTCTATGTTGAAATCTCCAGTTGCTCATTCATTTCCCATACATTTATCAAACATCAAACACGTGACAAATTTACACTGTGTGTTGGTTTTGGATTGCATAATTGCTGTGATTTATGATTTAATTTTTTTCAAATTTCAAGTTTAAGGATCGGCTAGTAATTTTTTTTAATTTTACGATTAAATTTGAAATATTTACAGGAATACACATCCCATTGAAAACTGAAGTGTATGTTTCTTATATATATTGTTGAATTGTATTAATACAAGCAGTATTTTCCGTTACGAAACTCTGCAACATATAAATCACGATGTATTAATTTGTCAATGTCTTATCTCCCCGTAGATCGTGATATGGAAACTATGGAATTTAGAATTTAATCCAAGACAAACTTTGATCAAATGATTATAAAAGTATCTCTTAATACAATAAAAAAGGCTTAACATACTTTAAAAATATCTAAAATATACCAACACTTTAATTGACGTCGGGTGCATTTTTTGGACACCAGAATATAACATTTTGTAAAGCATAACTAACAAACTATCTGTTTGATGGTGGTGTGTCTGCTTTTTCTTTACCTGTGTTCTAGATATTTTGTAAAATAAACTCGTCTCCGGTAGTTTTAAGGTTATAATCAGGCGCACTCGGGACGAGGTCGATCGTATCTTTACCAGCTCATACATTAATGGCAGGAGCAATGCACGTGGGACACTTTTCTCTTTATTATATCCTGAATATTTTTTTCAGTCAAGGTAAGAAAATTCCTATCGTGTCAAAAGTTTAAAAAAAATATACTTTTTATCAAGCATAAAGAATTACAATGACCACAATTCCAATTCATTACTTCAGAATTGTATATTAGTACGTAAAGTAATTTTCCCAGTTGCAAATGAAAAATGGTAAAATCTGCATTTTCATTTACGAAAATTTAATAAAATGCTGAATTTATGCTTAAACGAATTTTATAAGACGCACATTTTCAGAACAAATTCACAAACGCCACGAGCTATGTTTTGACGTCGTAAATGTCGCGCCGACAACTGATTTGTGAAATTTGTTTACCTGAGAGGGAAATGTTGTTTATAGAGATATTTCATTGAAATTCTCATGTGTTATTAAAAAAAAATGTTGATCATGATGTATGCCAATTTTTAACTTTATAATATTAGTGACACAAAAGATATTGTAAATGTTCACGTATTTCTGGGACAACCCTCTTTCACTGTCCATGTCTATAGATACATGTACATGTAGTTTTCGACTAGCCTGAATTAAGCAAGAGTTATTTCCCGTTGGCCGCCATATTGGAGGTCCAACTAGCGAATTTTCCTCTTTGAGCAACAAATTTTAAACTTGTATTACAGTAATATAAGAGCAAAAATATTTTAACTACTTAAATTACGAATTAAAGGTCATATGAAACGATTCTTAACACTAGGATTTTACTTTTTAAACATAAAGACTGGTATGAAAGAATGTCAAATCACGTTTAGTTAAAAAAATTTTGCCTTTGCTTAACTGAAAAATGAAGGCCTAAACTTGTCCACTTGATAAATTTGTTACCCGCTTATCGTTCTTGAGTTTGTGTTTTTATTACGTCACAAAGACCCATTGATGTAAATAACGCATTAGATCTAGTGTAATTTACCGTATTTTATTGAGTTAATTTTAGTCATTTTTGTGGGTATAAATGTGATTATGTATTCAGATGAGCTATCTGATTCTAAAGTACAGTTTACTCTATTTGAACTAATAGTTAATTAGACACAGCAACTGAAAACGAGAGCTTTTAATCGTAGGATGATCCTGATGAATACCCCGTAGAAATCAAGATTTTTCTTCTCCAACTATGATTACTTATTTTAAATTAATACTTTAGAAACAATTTAAATCTTCTTATTTTTGTTTGATACGTATATGATATATTTTTTTCCATTCCTAGTAAAATTGTATAATTAACAACAAAAACAGCGTAATTAATTAACATTGACCTGAAGCTTCTTACAATAACAAATTTAATGGGCATGCAAAATCTGTAAAGTTGTGTCATATATTGAGAGGGAAAAATATGTAGCTCAAGAGTAACCCCCCCCCCCTTTTTTTCCCAAATTAACACGGGGATATTGAAGTTCATGATAAACATGGATCAATGAAAAGTCGGCGTATTTGAATGCACGCTTTCTGCAATCTGAAACACGAGGACTAATGTAAAGACAATATAGAAATAGGGGTTAATGACGACATCAACGTAATTTTGCTGTCACAAGAAGCATGATTTAAAAAAAATGGCTCAAAACTTACCTGCATTACGAGAATGTACATGTATATACATACACTGTAATGTTACGGTGCTGATACTTCTAACAGTTTGACTGAGCAATTGCAGTTTGAAAATACTCATACACTTCGTGCATAAATTGATCAGTTAAAAAAATCCATGCCCCCATTATTTGCGAGACTGAACCTGAATAATTAATTCTCAAAATTAATACTTTTACAGTTCAATTTTTTTTTAAAACCAGACTATATAATATTCTGTGTTAAAATAAACTGTCTGTAAATATATACATACAGAAAATAGGATTACATAGATAGAATTACGTTTAATGTCTGACTTTTTAAAATTATTACGATAATAGTTACAGTGTTATGCGTATATGTACCGACTTTTTGGTAAGAAAAAAAAATACGGAGAGAGGGGGGTCATCGAGACATGGAAAACCAAAGAGAGAAAAGTGATTGAGAACGGGGGAAAGCAATAGAATCATTTCATTTCCCATAAGGCCAGAGTTTTTTTATTTTCTGTTTAACGGGAATTTTTAAGAAAAAGTCGGGTCGAGGGGGCTAAATAAAATAAAAATAAAAAGTTCAAAATTTGTCGAGTCGAGACCATAAAAAAAATAAAACCCAAAAATGGTATGAATTTTTTTTATATAAAATGTTGAAAAATGAAAGAAAACACCATAAATTTTGTTTATCATTTATTTGGATTTCAAATATGGAAAATAGATACAACTAACTATGTGCATGTGTCATCCTACTGTGGTTAATTACACTTGTAAATTCTAGTATGAAAGCAAAACAATAAAATCTTATAGTTTGTATTATTATACAGCAAAATAATATTAGATACATGGATAACAGAAAAATCCACACTGCTTAAAAATTTATAGATGTATTCTGGTGGTCATCTCCTACTGTATAAAAATTATAAAAGTAATGATAAGAAATGTTTTAAACTACATATATTATGATTAAACTAAAGTCTTGAGAAAGAGATTGGGTTGATAGCTAACTTGACAATGTGTTCCTAGTATAGGGCTAACACATTCTTGAGGTTCAGAATGGAATTTGTCAGAAGAAATTATTTGATGAACAACAGCAAAGTCATCTTGGAAGTCTTCTGAACTCTTCACAAATGGTTGGGTCTCCACCAAGAAATCAAACTGCACAAAAATTGCAATGTTCCTTTAAGATACTTTATTAATAAAATCAAATACATGTAGTAAATCTTAGAAAGTAGAAGATAAAAAACAGTATTTACATGAGATCTTTTCTTTTCTAAATGAAGATACAGAACATTTTTTAAGAGAGTTTTTGATAATAACACATTTCTTATATAATAAATATAATAATTTTATTCTTTGTTCAATTTGCATTTAAAATATTAAAGAACAAGGTATGGTTTCAATACAAATCTTGCCCTGTGGTTTTCTTAAAAATGAAAGTGATGTAAAAAATTAAAACTCATGCTTTCTGAATCATTGAAATTCCATGCAGAAAGATCTTGCAAATCATTTTTCTCACATGATCTTCTAAATGCAAATTGTGACGTCAGAAATATGTGCATTTTCCCGTATTTTCTTAAAAAGTTGCAGAAGACACCATTTTTCCATAGAAATTTCTTTCAGATAATATTGTCCACAGGCATCGCCCACAAAGATTTTGAGATATGTGATTTTTCAAAGAATTTTACACAACATATCCGAAAATTATAGTGGGCGACGGCTGTGAACACTATTTTCTTAATGAAAATAACCCTTGAAATGGGTCATTTTGAGGCTTTTTCTGTTTAAAACAGAGAAATGCATCAAATTAATGACGTCATATTTCCAGAATGGTACTCTTCCATTCCATATTCTTTCCTGATTTGTCACAGTCATATACTCAACTAATATTTAAGCAAGTTTCAAAACCTTTTGAAGATATTAAATTTTTAGGGCATAATAAAGTCAAAACTGTACCTTCTTCTTGGACAATTTGTTGACTTAATTCTTTCTATCTCTACCTTTCCACAGGAAAATGTGTGCAACTCCAATTAGCTGTCACTTGTCAGCGTTAGTTATATTCTTTTCCAACTCTCGTAATTTTGTTGGAATCCTGGTCTCATTTAATTCAACCAAGCAGACATGGACTTGTATCTAAAATATTTTAATCGTCATTTTAAGTCCCTGATATAGTTAAATACCATTCATCGTAAAATTATATTTTACCGCGAATTTTACCTCAATTTGTTATGTGATCAAATTAAATATACAATATAAACATCTTTATAAGAAGAAAGAAAACGTATTAAAAAATGTTAACCATCGAACAACTGTAACAGAAAATTTATTACTTACCCCCAATTCTTTGGACACAAGTTCCACAGTTCAGTGTGCATATAGTGTATTTAGGTTGTTGATGCCTTCACTCCAATTTCAGAATCTTTTTTGTCTTAATCACCAATGGATTTAATAGCGAGCGCAGCGAGCGGCGCAAAGCGCCGCTCGTCACTGCGAGCTCTAACGACAACGCCTGGGCGAAGAGAAAATTCGGACTACTGCACATTCATTCAATAGAATTTTTTTCCGCAGTAATTCTGACCCACAATGCATCGCTTCTTGTTCTCGCTGCTAACTTCATTCACGCGGTAACAACAACTAAAATTTCACAAAAAATAAACTCACCTTAATTTAATGGATATTGCATGCAGATAGTAGATTAAACGTTCTTTGTTAAAATATGTGCACTTTTAAACTTTGTTTATGGAAATGCAGCTAACATACGTCATGTGACGTCACAGTCTAGACGTTCCAAATGTCTCGTGCGGTTTGAAGAGGCGGATCTTAAAATGAAGTGAACAATGCGCTCGCCCCAACGGTCGCACCGTCAACATATTATTACTATCCCGTCATTTTTATCTATAAATGTCTCGAAATGACATTTTTGTTTGTTGATAGAACCCGCGAAATTGCAATAAACTAGTTCTTTAAACTGGTTACGATATCGTAATCAGCAAGACACTCGTAATAGAGTTTGATTAACACAAGCTATGTCAAACGTTTACATGATTCATTAAAAATATGGTGTTCAACAAACCCGATTTTATTTCAAACCATTAAAAAATGACACAGTCGGCGGACATTTTAAAAATAAAAGTGAGATTGACCTCTTTTATTTTTTTTCGGTATTTTGAAAAAATTGGGTCGGCGCTTCCCGTTAAACAGAAAATAAAAAAAACTCTGGCCTAAATAAATGAAATCATTTATATGCAGGCTTAGTTGCACTTTCACACACAGCGCGGTCAATCGAATTCAGCTTTATAAATGCGCGTGCTACAGAGTACCTAGATAGCATAATCTAATCATGGCTTAAAAATTTAATCAGAAAACAAATCATCAGTATTCTTATGTAAGAAATTTATTCAATTGTAAATTATTTGACAGCGTCTATATTCACTTACTACAGACCCCCTCTCTTTGTAGTATCAACTCTCTCTCTGTCGATTGAAGTCTCGAAGGACGACAATAAATTACACAGATAAAACATACTAATATCTTGCAAATATGCAGTAGGATGTTAAAAGACAAATACTATCTTGTTTAAATTTCGTATATTTATGCGACGTTTTAGCCTAAATAATGATATTTCTTAAAATTTACGCTGCAAAAGACATGATCGGTTATATAAATGTTAGTACTGAATGTACGACTGGGTCTTACTGACGTCATAAGCAAAGGGAGATAAGCCGCGCTAGTTGAAGTTCATTTTTGCAGTCGAGTAATTTTGATCGACTCTGCTGCCGCTAACTTGCATAAAAAATTCAAAATATAATTTCAGGCTTATTAAAGTAGCTCAGATGAACTCATTTCCGTATACAACCCAAAATGCTCTGGACATTGTTTCATATGACCTTTAAAGGAAGCTTGAGTAAACATAAATTTGTAAGAAAAATTGTGTTATCTTTATCCAATTGCCCAGTATGACAAGTTTTAATTGGTTGAATAATGAAGGAATTCGGGCTTGTATACCTCCAACATGGCGACCAAGGGGAAATAACTCTTGCTTAATTCAGGCCGGTCGAAAACTACCTATTGAGATTCAATTCACCCTCCACTATTTCGTTGAATTATCATCTTTTAAACTCTTTTTATCAAAATGTATTTAAGAGCATCTTTCAATAATTGTCTGTTTGCCCTCTCCCGACCGACTGCCTAACATGGCCCAAGTCATTTTTTTTAATCTTACAGAAAACGACTTTCTTTTAGTTCGTTCCGTAATTTTCATTTTCAATAGAATTTGAAAAATCAGCATTGGTGTTGAAAACGTTTGATTTTTTTTCTCTCCTATCTACCTACCCAATTTTTTTCATCCTGAGAGATGGCAAGCAGACATTTTTGTTTTAAACGACCAAACTAACCCGTTTTTCAGACTAATAAATGTGAATTCATAACTGAATGTAGATAACTTTAATAGATCAGTAGTCCTAACGTGTGGATATTGACTTTTTTTATTCACTGCTCACGTTCAATTGTTTAGCTGCAGGTTTGTGGATACATACTCTGCATTGGACAAAAGTGGATTTATTTACATATACACTGTACTATCCTTCAACATCGACCCTTACTCTCCCGTGCAGTTTAATATAGTTTATGCACTTAGTGCAACATACAATCTTTATACTTTTCTCCAAAATAGTATGCATCTTTTGATTCTACGGGACGCAGAAGTAGATTTTTGCAGAAATTATTCAAAAACTGAGAATGGAGAGAAGAAAACTGTTACAGTGGCTTTCAACTCCTCATTTAGATAAACCGACAACGAGTTTTACTAATAAACAATAGTTACCTTCATTCGTATGTCGATTTGATATCTATCGCAACATAATTCTCAGGTCTTTCCGTCCAAATCGTAACAACATCTCGAATGTATATACTTGTACATCACCAGATAATCAAATTTTAAACAAAACGGAGCCGCTTTCTATCAATTTTAGTTCTGGCTAGACAGAGTTGAATACATGTACTTCGTCTGAAGTATATTTAAGGTTATATCCTTGTATTCAATTTGGTATAGCTCCATTTTTCTACAGATAAGAAGTCTCTCTGCATTTATATAAATGGTTTGAAAAAGCAGTTTGTTATAGACCCTAAGTACCGTAATACATTCGAGGCTGTTTTTTCCGCTTGTCGGATAGGTCCAAGAAGTTTCTATTGGACTCGACATATACCAGTAAACTCGAAATTAAAACCACCACAGAGTCTATCACATCTTTGTCATATTTAGATGTTTTACTGACTATAGATGATAATGGCCAAATGACAACAAAACTGTATGACAAAGGAGATGACTGTATATAGTATGCGAATATATCTTGGTATGATTGAAGGAAAACTGAAATTTAATTTCCTTTGTACCACCTATTACAGACTCAAAGAAAAGCTATACTTTGTATATTAGCTGTGATCATGTGTTGTATGTTATGCCCATTTTAGTCCTGATTTACAGTAGTAACACATTCTATTTTGTTCTACTTCCGGTGTAGCGCTCGGGTTTTATCCAATGAACCATAGTGGTATTCTCTATGAGAAGTTCCCGGATGACTTTATCTGGAGCGCAGCCACCGCTGCCTACCAAGTAGAGGGGGCCTGGAATGAAGATGGTAGGCATTTTTTTACCAACAGTTTGCATTATGATTTTCAAATTAAGGCAACTGTATTTTATATAAGGGATTTTGAAGATTTTTTTATTTTATACCGTAATTGATAAATATAGCATCTCCTATGGTTTGTGGTTGGATATGATTTTTCATCCAAGTTGTGTGTTTTTATCCCCGAGACTTGGCGAGGGTATAAAAACAAATAACGAGTTGAATAACCATTAACCTTATCTAACCATAAACCATAGGAGATTCTTTTTATTACGTTTTCACTATTTTATGTTTTACACTGTTTTATACAAATTCACTCAAAAACCATTAAGACGTCACAACCGTGGATATGAAAACGATATCCTACGAGCTATATCCATTATAAAAAGGAGTAAACATGTGATAAACCTCAGTTTTTTACTGAAATTTCAAGTCACACACTCGTAGCACACTGAAGAGTCCACATCATTTACATTTTAAAATCAATAGGTGAAATTGCTTGAATTAAATGAAATTTACTTGTGAAACCAAACTTTTATTTCTCTATGTAATTGGGTATATCTGAATTTTTACACAAATATAGCACTTGAATTGATGTTCAGCAGTAAAAGCAAGCTGAAAATGAATAATATGGCTAATGTTCTTCTCTTTTGTGTAGGGAAGGGGGAGGGAGGGGGCATTCCCAATACTCCATCCGTAGAACGGTCTTCCTACCATTGAAAACTGAATTTCGCCCTTCTAAAGAACGAATAAAAATCAAAGGGTCTAAATAATTTTCAGCCAGAAATGATACACCAAAAACTCTTTTTATAATCAAAGTGTCTTTTTAAGATTTAATAGATTTCCCTTTTTTGAAAAGGGGGAATTTGTTTTTTGGTATACATAGAAGATAATCATGATTGCACTTGAAATGTATATTTTTTTAAATGAATGTTTAAAACAGCTGTAATTAAGTATATCCGCTCCTTAACCATGAAAGACAACTTAAAATTATTATTTAATTATAAAAGTCTCAAATTAAAGCTTGAAATTGTATGAAGTTGACATTTGTAGCCCATAAAAGTACAAAAATAAATACAATTTTAGAGAAATCGAATTTCCTGAAATCTAGCCTTAGATATCAATGTTTATTAGCATGATATGAAATTGATTAACTATAATATTGCTTTGTGTACCATGGGTAAACGCACATTACTTTGAGAATTCAGAGACATTTTTGTGAGCATTTTCAATTACTCAACTCCTGATTTTCAGAACCTGAGGATCGGACTACCTTAACATTATTTTAATTTTTGAACAGGAAGAGGACCCAGCATTTGGGACACATTTTCTCACCTACCTGGTCGTACTTTAAATGGAGACACCGGTGATATAACCTGCGATAGTTACCACAACTATCTCAGAGACGTAGAAATGCTCAAGGAACTTGGGGCAAGTTTAATTTTTTTCTTAGTACTATTTTATTGATCGATTAAATTTTCATCAGGCCCGCTTAAATTCAGGTTATTTAAGCTTCAATTCATCATGCCGTGACACATCCGGTATATTTCAAAACATAACATGATTTAGCATTGAATAAATCAGACAAATTTCATCAATTAAGTGAAAATGGCGGGTTCTTTGATGAAAGATCAAAACTAAAGACAAAAATGTCCTACCTACAGTGCTGTAAAAATAATATTGTAAAATTAATTAATTAATAATGTATAATGGCAATGTCTTACCTACAGTACTGTAAAATATATACTGTAAAATTAATGTCCTACCTTCAGAACTGTAAATATACTGACATATGAAAAAGAATATTTCATTTACATTTTCTAAGCAGTTCACTGCTAAATACGGGACGCTTCTTTTATGCTTGTTGATTTCAAATGGCAAATTGTTAATTGTCTCGATTTTCACCATATATTTCACTAAAATATTTGAAGATTTGAAAGAATTTCTCTACTCGGATTAGAAATACATGTTTGCATCCCATAATATCTAAAATGGACAGTAATATATACAATAATGATTTGTCGTTGAAGAAAAAAATCGTTGAAATTCTGGACCTTTCTTTTATATAACACATATCAGAAAGGAAGTCATCCAATTTCTGAACACTCATTTCTGTGAAATTAAGTTTATTGTACTAATTTATATTTTTGGAGTTGCGTCTCTTGACCTATATTCACAGGTCTCTCATTATCGGTTTTCAATATCTTGGTCCCGGATATTTCCACTGGGAACAGACGAGATGTTCAATCCAAGAGGAGCAGCATACTACCATCGTCTAATAGACGCCTTAAAGGCTTCAGGGATAAAACCCATGGTGACCCTTTACCATTGGGATCTACCACAGGCCCTGGAAAATGAAGGAGGCTGGCTCAATAAAACTACTGTTGACCACTTCGTTAAATATGCGAATTATTGTTTTAATGAATATGGAAGCAAGGTTAAAATCAGATTCTTTAAGTTTATCCTTTTCATCTAATATCCAATACTTTATTGAATATTATATGACTATATGATGTTGTACAAATTACTAGTTTTATGTATTGTCAAACTCAGGTAAAACACTGGATAACATTTAACGAACCTTGGGTAGTGGCATGGCTCGGGTATGGCGGAGGTAACATGGCACCTGGTTTGAACGAACCAGCTGAGAAACCTTATATAGCAGCTCATAACATTATTCGTGCACACGGCCACACTTACCAGATATATAAAAAAGATTACAAGAGAAGTCAAAAGGGCCAGGTTGGTATTACCCTCAACATCGGTTGGGCTCAGCCTAAAAACACATCGGATCCCACTCATAGGGCTGCTTCTGATCGAGCTGTCCAGTTTGAATTAGGATGGTTTGCACACCCGATTTTGTTGAATGGCGATTACCCTCAAGTAATGAAAGATCAAATTGGAAACAAAAGTCAGGCACAGGGATACTCACATTCAAGGCTACCTACATTTACGAAGGAAGATAAAGCTGCCATTACTGGTAAATAGGCGATAAGAATAATAAACTTTTTTTTTCATTCTCTTGACAATAGTAAGAGTTGGTAACAGTCAGATGATTACAGTAATGTAATGTGCGAATGTTTATAAACAGGTTCTGCAGATTTCTTGGGAATGAATCATTACACAACTAGTTTGGTATCCCCCATTAAAATTCCACCGGAAGTAAAGAGTTATGATGCTGATAAAGATGTGCGATCGGAAGCGGATCCATCATGGGCACGGTAAATATATTGTCAGCAACTTATAATGTGTAGGTAGATCAATTGTAGAAGTCTTAATGTTTATGTCGTTCTCCTTGAGCCAATACAATTATTTTGTTGAATGTATTTTGTTTCTTTTCGAAACCACTCTTGCCAAACAAGATAATTTATATTATATTATCATGTTTTTTTTTCTCCCTAAGCAATTACAGAAAAAAGTCGGGATTTTTAATTTTTATTGCCTTTGTGATCAGATCTGGTTCTGAATGGTTAAAAGTAGTCCCTTATGGAATGAGGATGATACTAAACTGGATAAAGAAGCAGTACCCCAAGACACCCGTCATAATCACAGAGAACGGCGTGTCCGATAATAACGGTTCTTTAGTGGATACGTGGAGGATAAATTATTACCGGTTATACATCAACGAGGTATTAAAAGGTAAAAATTGGAAGATCTATTCAAACATTTGATTGTTGTATACTAGGAGAAAGAGAGAGAGAGAGAGGGGGGGGGGGGAGAGGGTACTATATCACTTTGGAAATAATGTATTGTTGTAGCTATACATCTTGATGGATGCAACGTCAAGGGCTACACAGCCTGGTCACTTATGGACAATTTTGAATGGCCAAGAGGATTTAGTGAAAAATTTGGTCTTTATAATGTCAATTTTACTGATCCAAAACGAACCAGAACGCCGAAAGCTTCTGCACGATTTTACAAACAACTTATCCAGGAGAACGGATTCCAGCCAGGTTACACCGGTAAAGGGGGACGTGGTATCGCTCCTGCACACGAGAACGGGATTTTTTATGACACGGTTCCGGAAGATTTTGCATGGATCACGGCAACAGCTGCTTATCAGGTTGAGGGAGCATGGGATGAAGATGGTAAGGGAATGTTTGCGTTCACAAAAAATAAAGTTCAAAGAAAGAAATGTAATTGTCAAGATTTCCTTCATCTTCACTAACAGTTGCGATTTGCTAGAATGAGAGGTGTTCATCGGAAAATCCCTTGCAAAGATAGATGGTCTAACGTTGATGATATGTATTAAGTGAACACTTGTATTTGTAGGGCGAGGGCTAAGTATTTGGGATGTAGCAGCCCACCAGAAAGATTATATCTATAATAATGACAATGGTGATATAGCTTGTGACAGTTACCATAGATACAAAGAGGATGTCCGTCTTCTAAAGGAACTGGGAGTAAGTTATTTCGTCAAAGCAATTGTAATGCTTGATAATGAACATCGAAGGCTAAATCTACTAATGAGATACTAATGTCGCATATTTTAGATGATTTTGCATCCCATCATGATTTTTCTTTTATGAAGAACCATGTTAGCAGCTTATTATATAAATTATAAAGCTAATTACTCAATTTATAATAAAGAAGTTGTTTTTGAATAAGTGAATGAATGCCAAAATATAAGACAATATTTTTGGATTTTTACCAAATATTATAAATTAAAAAAAATTTATGCTTCTTTCAAAATTTACACGTATTAAACAACAGGTCTCACACTACCGGTTCTCCATTTCTTGGCCAAGAGTATTTCCCAACGGCACGAAAGAAAGTAAAAATCCACTGGGCGTGAAGTATTATCACAACCTGATAGACGAACTGCAAAAAGCTGGTATAGAACCAATGATCACACTCTATCACTGGGATCTTCCCCAGGCCCTGGAAGAAAAAGAGGGAGGATGGATGAACGAATCTATCGTGAACCGCTTCCGAGACTACGCTGACTTTTGCTTCAGTGAATATGGAAACAAGGTACAAATACTTATGATAATGATCCCTGTGTATAGCTGTCGAATATACAATAATTTTATATTTTAGACCAAACTATGGATTACATTCAATGAACCATGGATCGTCTCCTACCTTGGTTACGGTGTCGGAACATTTCCACCAGGAAAAAAGGGTCCAGGAAGTAACACGTATATAACAGCACATAACATTATACAGGCCCACGCCGAAGCCTACCATGTGTACAACACCAAATACAGACCAAGTCAAAAAGGTATCTTCTAGCCGGATTTGTGGAGGCAAAAATTTTGTTAAAGAAAGATACACATCTTTTTGTTTAAAAACTGCAAGTACATAAAGAAACGTTTTAGAGATACATGTAGCCACATGTATGTGGCTGTTGCTTCCCCGTGACTTTAACGTCTCTTAATTATTTTCTCTCTATTACATTGTGTGAAATAAAATACATTTAATTTTCTCAATCCTAAGGGGAAAAACTAAATGACTATAATTTCATTGTAAGCAATATAAATTTTCTTTGGCTAGATTCCATGGTAAGTGACTTAAGTATATGTTTTTTTTTTTAAATCATCTAATTCTGAGAGCCCCCTCCTACTGATCATCTTTGTCAGATCTTTTTCGAAAGGCTAGAGGCGGACTTGTTCTCAGTTTATTTTCAAACACAAAGATATCCATGTTGTTCCAAGTTAAAAATTTGTTCCTATAAAAAAATTCTACAGGAAAAGTTGGGATCACGCTGAATGTTGGGTGGGCAGAGCCTGAAGATCCGTACAACCCAGATCATCTTGAAGCATCTGAAAGAGACATCCAGTTTAACTTTGGATGGTTTGCTCATCCAATTTTGGTGAACGGGAATTATCCACAAGTCATGATTGATAGAATAGCAAACAATAGTGATGGTACAAGCAGATTACCTGAATTTGAAGAGCCAGCGAAAATAAATGGTAAATAAACTGAGCACATGTATTTAAAATTTGAAAAAGCTACTTTATATTATCATGTTATGATAATTATAATGAAATAGTCAATACTGTATATAAATAATTGCCGAGAACAATTATATTAATAACAGGTACGGCAGATTTTCTGGGACTGAACTTTTATACATCAAGTCTGGTGCGACCTGACGAATCCAGAACAGATCGTAGTTTCGAAGACGACAAAGGAACCTCGTCAAAAGAAGATCCTTCTTGGATCGGGTAAACTCTGAATCAGTTAATGCATATTTTGTATATTTTGCTCTTAATGCTATTGTTAACTATAAAATTATTATTGCGATTTGAAAGTTTTAAAAGCAAGAGAATTAATCTACATGTATCTTGTCTGGGTTTTTTTCTATGTAAGTTTCTTATGTATATATCTATAATGACGGTTTATTTAAGTACATATATCTTGAATTGGTACCGTGTAATAAAAACTTAAAGTTTTCGTTCCAATATTTTACTGATGATGGTATATAGTTCTATAACGGACGAAACGGGCTAAATGATATTGTAAAGCCCACAGTTCTTCAGACCACTTAATCCGACTGACAAAACTAGGGGTATATAAAATAAAGGTGTGGCACCCATCAGATAGGGTATCCATTTCGCCAATGAAATACTAATAAATCAAATGACTTAAAATTAAACTTTCTATTCATATCGACTCACATATGAATAAACTACATTATTCAATATATAGACTTTAACAAATTTCAATGATTAGAATGTTTATGTATATATATCATAAAAAAGAAGACATTTTTTAAGATTTGATGACTTTAATTTCAAAACATGGTCTAGAGTTTGCAATTAAATAAACCTCTGAAACATTCGACGGATACTTAAAAGTTATTTTACGTGTTGCTTTCTTCTGTCTAATTTAAAAAGATAATATTTCTAAATTTAAAAACTGAGAAGTAAAATTGGAAGAGAAAATGTTTCAAGCGAAAATACAACTTTTCTCCATTATGTCTACACCAGTATAGCGATTTGGTTTCATCATATATCTGGTTTGTTGTAGATCTGGATCGGACTGGCTAAAGGTAACGCCGTTTGGTCTCCGAAAAATGTTGAACTGGATTAAGACTCACTATAACAATTTCCCTGTCTATATAACCGAAAATGGTGTGTCGGATAACAACGGATCTTTAGCGGATCTTCACCGAATTCATTACTACAGAACCTATATAAATGAAATGCTGAAAGGCAAGAAACTGCATTAAATATAAGTTGTTGCACTTCAACATTTTGCTTTATCAAGTAATACGCCATGATTCATTAAATCTTTAAATTAAAAAAAATATTTTATGCCATATTTGATTTTTAATTTGTAGCTATGAAATTAGACAAATGCAATGTAAAAGGATATACGGCCTGGTCGTTAATGGATAACTTTGAATGGCGGAGAGGATATGCTGAACGTTTCGGGCTTCATTACGTTAATTTTTCTGACCCAAACAAAACAAGAACTCCTAAAGCATCTGCAAGATTTTACAAAGAGCTCGTGCGTGAGAAAGGTTATAAACCTGGATACACAAGTGTTGGAGGACGGGGAACAGCACCAGCTCTAGAGAGTGAGTTTTATTACGACACGTTTCCCGAAGGATTTGTTTGGAGTGCAGCCACTGCAGCATACCAAGTAGAGGGTGGATGGAACGAGGGAGGTACAAAACTTTATTATGCTAATAAAAATACAAACATGTTAAAAAAAGACTTTAGAAATCAAATTTCAATATACGGTTCGTTGCAAGCAGTCATGCAGGTGTTTTTTTTAAATACAGTTATTGAAACGTGTTATTATGAAAGCGCAAAGTCTCTACTTTATATTGATATTTGAAATTGGACATTGGATCTTTGCCAGTTAATTGGTATATGGACATGGTCATTTTACGGATTAGGTGAATCTAAGCTCTTTATATTTCATCAGGACGAGGGCCAAGTGTATGGGATACGTGGGTTCATGAATACAAACATGTGGAGAAAAATGACACTGGTGACGTAGCTTGTGACAGTTACCACAAATACAAAGAGGATGTACAGCTACTAAGAAACCTTGGGGTAATATTTAAGAAACGAAATAAAACAGATATTTTCGACCTTTTAAAAATTTTTCTTGAAATCTCAAATTGTATCCAAAACAAACCAATCTTTATTTGGATGGATTTATATGAACATGAGTTAAATTAAGTTAAAGGTTCAAATTGGCAGTTTTCGGTATTCAATCAAACCTGCCTTTGTCAATCTATCATAAACTTAAATAGTACATAATTTATTTTTCTATTCAAAAAACATTTGAGCTCTACAAAGATCGTCTTAAAATTGATAGTTTGCTTTTTATACTTATGATGAGTCTTAATCTCGGTGGGAAATAAATCAGTCTACAATCTCCGTGAAAAAAAGAAGCTTTTTTAAAAAAATTCTGAATGAATATAGAGAAAGAAAGTAAATCTGGAATGATTTACTTCATTATAATTATAGGTTTCCCACTACCGTTTTTCCATCTCTTGGCCACGGATATTTCCTGATGGTACAAAGGAGAGTCTCAATCAAGAAGGGATCAACTACTATAACAATCTGATCAACGAACTTATCAAATATAACATTACACCCATGGTAACCTTATTCCACTGGGATCTACCCCAGGCATTGGAAGACGATGGAGGTTGGCTGAACGAAAGCACCGTCTATCACTTTAGAGATTACGCAGAAGTATGTTTTAGGGAGTTTGGCGACAGGGTAAGTTAGAGAGAAATAGAAATCTTGCTTAATAATTGTACATTTATTGATGATGATAACCTATTTGCATTGGAAAAAGAATAGTATCACAGTGATAATAGGTATATGTAGTTATAATTACAGATGACTAATTTTTTTTGTTTATATAATTGTTCTATGATGTTTTCATGTTAATCCAAACCTTTATTTTGAACTCAAACAGTGCACATTTTCTCTTACCTATCAATGTCTGATTTGTATATTTTCAAAAGTTAAATAAAAGTAGAATAATAATTTGAATAGGTAAGATTATGGATTTCCTTTAATGAACCTGGATTAACTGCTTGGACTTGTTATGGAAATGGTGGAATGGCACCGGGCCGAAGTGGCCACCCGGGCACATACCCATACATAGTGACACGAAACATCATTCTAGCCCACGCTGAAGGATATCATGTACTCAAAGACAAATTCGCCCACCAGAATGGTATTTCTTTGAATTCTCATACACTTAAGCTGTTGTAATAAATTACAGTGACAATTATTTTCTTTATACCTTTTATAGACTATTTAAAAATACCTTCATCCAATTGTCTGTAGGTCAATATGGAATCACGTACAGCATAGGATGGGCGGAACCTTTGGATCCTTTTAACCCTGATGACATTGAAGCCTCGGAGAGAAGGCTTCAGTTCGATGCTGGATGGTTTCTTAATCCAATATACGTGAATGGCAACTACCCTGACATAATGGTACAGAAGGTAGCAGAGAAGAGCAGAGCTCAGAACCTCTCAGAGTCACGTCTACCTAGGTTCTCAGAGGAGGAAAAACAGAGGATCAATCGTATGAACCTATTTAAGAATTTAAGGAGTAATGCTACACCAAAATTAATTTTTTTTTTTTGAAAATAAAATGATTTTTACATTTTCTTTGAAAAAATAACAAAAAAAAAAAATAAAATAAAATAAAATAATAAAAAAGCTAATATAAATCTTTCCATGCTAAAACCGTGTTTCAAAAGATATGTTTTACCCAGCCATTAAATAAAATTTTGAAGTATTCTACCTTACATGGTTTAAAATAAAAAAAAATGACAAAAAAGCCCGTGATTGTTAAATAAAGGGGATTTTGTTTTATTTTTTTTCTTTTCTACCTACGTTTCCAAACAGCTAAGGCAAACAATTGAATTATATATGAATGTATAATAAATCAAACTTTTTATAGGACGGAACAGCACAAAAAGGCATAAGATGATTTGTACAAGATATAAGAATAAAAGAATTTTAACTGATAAAAATATAAAACATTTGTCTTCTGATTTGAAAGTATTGCTTATTTATTAATCTTTGACCCTTTGTTCCATTGAATTAGCATGAATTTTAGATTCATCAATACAAATACTGATGAATTAAACCATCAAACACAGCCATTTCATTTCTGGATTTAATATATTTATTTACAGAAAGGAAATGTAGTTTTTAAGATTTTTATTCCATATCTCTTATTCATGTCTCATTCAGAAACGGCAGATTTCTTTGGTCTTAACCACTATTCTTCATCTTATACCTTTCCCCAAAAGAACGATATTAGCGACATTTCTTATTGGGCGGATCAAGATATTGGAAGTAAGAACGACCCAAAGTGGCTAGGGTAAGCAAATCTTGTTTTGTTTTTTTTTTGTAATTTAGATACCTGTCTTTAGGACAGATTGGAAATTATATTTAGGATATGTTACTAAAAGATGTGAGGTAGAGTTAAAAAAAATTCTCGACATTGAGATATCAAAATAGCATGGATCGTAAATTTAAATATTAATTTTGACACTTAAACGCTTTCATTCCTATAAAGCAATCATGTATTGTATTAAATGGTTATCTTTAGTTAGTGCACTGATTTCGTCGGGACAAATTACTAGTCAAGTGGCATTAAAGCTACGTGATGCATGCTTTGGCGTCATTTACGCTTCTTTTTCAAAGCTATGCTATACATGTATACATGCATACATATTAAACAAAATTATATATATAAAAAATGAGTTTACAATTATAATTTACAAATAACTAGCAAATTTTAAAAATTGAGAAAAATGACTTAGAGAGACGAATTGAAGACAGTGACCTCGAAATAAACCTATGTGTATATAGAATATCTTATATTAATTCATAAAATCAAATCATAAAAAACTTGCCAGTACCGATACCTTGTATACATCTGAATTTTTGTCTTCAGTAAATATATGTTATGAAAATACCTAACAGTAGCTTGTATAAAACAATTATTCTTGTTTCGAACATATTTGACTAGACATTTAGCGAGATTTATGAGCCTAGTGTTTGAAAATCATTATAACAATGTACAATCCGTTTTTTCCAGTATAATAATTTCACTATCTGCTGTTAGTTTTAATAAAATGATGGATTTATTAAAAAAAAACATTAAAAATTGTGATAGAAGTTCTTTTGATAAAGCAGCTGAAATAAAAACTTTTATTATTTCCTACAAAATTTTTGTTTCTTATTTTATACATTTAAGTATACTTTTTCAAAAATGTTTAGGTTCCGATAAAAAAATTAATTCATAGAGAGAGGAATAGTTTTATGCTACTGGTAGTACGTTGTAATATTTAAATGAATTTCACTTAAATTCTTCTGCTTCAGGTTGAAGTATCTTAAACCTACTTCTCACGGAGAAACTTAAAATGAATAAAAGAATACACTACACTTTTCACCTTGTAGTTCTGGGTCTTCATGGCTTTTTGTAACTCCATTTGGTCTCAGGAAGGTATTAAACTGGGTCAAAAATACATATAATAATATTCCTGTATACATCACGGAAAATGGAGTCTCTGATAGAAACGGGTCACTAGAAGATTACAACCGTGTATATTTCTATAGAAACTACATAAACGAGATGCTGAAAGGTAAGATCTAAATAGACAATTACCTTTTTTTATCATTTGACTTTAAACGTTTTGCACATGGGTACAAGGTTTGTTCATTTCATTTTTTCCTTGTAGCTATAAGACTGGACGGCTGCAACGTCAAGGGATATACAGCATGGTCATTTATGGACAACTTTGAATGGAACACGGGTTATGCTGAAAAGTTTGGTATGCATTATGTGAATTTTAGCGATCCATCTCGACCACGAACACCTAAGCTGTCTGCTGTATTCTACAACAACTTAATCAATGACAATGGGTTTTTGGAGGATGCAGCCACCTCGCCTACAAAAGGAAAAGAATTAGGAGTGTATAGAGAACTACCTTACGCAAACACGTTCTACAATGGAAAATTCCCTGATGGATTCAAATGGGGAGCATCTACTTCCGCATATCAAGTAGAGGGGGCTTGGAACAAAGATGGTGACATGTCAACAATAATTATAAGTATTTCTTTACTTTTAAGCTTAAAATTACGCTGAACTTATCTAAAATGATTTGTCTCTTTACAGGAAAAGGAATTAGCAATATCGATAATTTTGTTCACAGTGACTTTGATTCTACTCTTGGAGACATTGCATGTGACAGTTATCATAACTTTAACGATGATGTGAGGATTCTTAAAGAAACAAATGTAAATAACTGTTTTATACAAATTTCGTTTGAGTCTCAGTATATTTTCTCAAAATGAAATAAATGTACATGTAACAATTCTACATGTGTATACTAAATGTACCTACAGGTTACCCATTTTCGCTTCTCTATATCCTGGAGCCGAATACTGCCCAGGGGTAATGCAAGTGAGATAAACCTTCTCGGAGTTCAATATTACCGAAACCTTACTGACGCCCTTATTGATGCTGGTATTACCCCTGTAGTTACAATGCATTACTTTGACATGCCAGAGATTTTGTACAATCAAGGTGGCTGGAAAAATTCAACGATGACACAGCTGTTTGTGGATTATGCTAGAGTTCTTTTTACAGAATTTGGATATCGGGTATTTAGTACAGTAGATACATGTAGATGTATTATAAACTTTTCTCTTTGGAATATAAGTAGTTCAGTTAATTAATATATATGTACTTTTAAACTAATGTCATTTTAGGTGAAGTACTGGATAACAATAAATGACCCTTATACAGTGTCTGTTGGTTTGCCCGGTGAAGATACGTATTATAGAGATCCATATATTATTGGACATAACTTAATTAAAGCACACGCTCTTGTATACAAGCTCTACCAGAGTGAATTCAAGGACACACAGAAAGGTAAGTTAGAAAAGATAAAAAAAAAATACTTCTCTAACAGGGTTTTTTGATCGACATGATTGCCTTAGGATGAATGACACTCCAAAAAAGAAGTGACTTTCTTTTACATAATTTTCAGTTTTGATTTGTCTTACATTTTGATCTGTTTGGAGTATCAAAGTTGCTTTTATTTAAAGTTCATCTTATGAAGAATCCTCATTAAAAAAGAAAAGAAATCAAGTTAACTAAGTATAAAAGAGTCGTTGTGTCCTAAAGAGATGTGGACTTGGTTAAACAATACATTGGTTTTGTTACTGCGGTTTAGGTTTTGTTGGAATTTCACTGAGTGCCGATTGGTTTGAACCGAATACCCCAACTGATCCTGCAGATATTGATTCTAACAGAAGAGAAATGGAACATTCTCTCGGTTGGTTTGCCAACCCCATATTTATCGACGGTGATTATTCGACTCTTCATAAAGCAATGTTGCATAAGAAACAACGATCTTTGCCAACGTTTACAGATTATGAAACAACCTGGATAAAAGGTTGGTGATATCATAGTTAAACGTTAATGTTTATTCAAGGAGCTCTCGCCTTTTCAGCCGAAAAAATGTAAACTTTACTCACACTTTGAACCTGTTGTGGTCTTGTATTCAATTTTTTTTTTTCAAAGGACAGTGTCTAATATTTTCTAACTCAATTATGACAAACATGTTTCAATTATGACACATCTAAATATTTGTAGGTTCATCAGACTTTCTGGGTTTGAATTTTCGATCTACGTTAAAAGTAAAAAATAGAGAGAACAATGAAGAAGGATTCAAATTTGAAACGGATACGGAGATCAGCTTCAATTCCTCGTGGATTAAGTATATACAGTTACATGTAAATAGAAATTATACAAATATACTCTCCTGGCAACAAACCCAAATATTATTATCATGAAATCTTTTATATTATTTTTGTAGAAGCAGCAAAGACGCCATAAGATTTGCACCTTTTGGGTTGAGGAAGGTATTAAACTGGATAAAGGACAACTACCAAAATGCACCTGTATATATAACAGAGGTCGGATTTCCTGATGATACAGGAACTCTGCAGGACAATATAAGGACCAAGTTCTATAAAGAATATATTGATGAAGTTCTGAAAGGTATATCTCAAAATATCATACAATATCCAAAAATTACCTTAATATACTAATCAAAACTTCTAACCCGCCACCCTATTTTTTTCAATAGCTTTTGTCGTATACGGTACTACAATACCAACATTTACTAAAGATTTCTATCAGTAACACTCGATTATTTAAGATCAAGAAAATCGCTCAAAAAATCTATTTATCGATTTTATCATAAAAGGAGAACTCTTGCTCGTGCATTGTAATAAGAAAATTTTTCTTTGATTTTTGTTTTCGGTTCTTTAAACAGGTCTTTTGCCGAAAAACACGAAACATTTTGAATAAAATGCAGCGTATGCTCACAGAGGAGAGAGCGAGAGCCATTAGTATAATGCAAGATGGTTGCAGCATAAAGGAGATTAGTTTTTGCAATATTATCTGCAGTTATCGCCATTTTTGTTACCATGAGAAATTTTTGGTTACAATTAATTTCGCATTTATTCACAAATAAAAAGATTTCCAGGTTGCTAGCCAGGCAATTTCATCGTCATTATTAAGGTGTCAATGTATTGTACCGGACGTTTCAAGTGACCCGAAGTGAGGCTGACTTGAATTGTCAATAGTTAAGACATTGGGTAACCACTGCTCTTTAAGATAGTTAATGACGATTTCGCGTACGAGAAATCTGGATTTAAGCTGTCGAAAAAATTATTTGTGGTCATTTGCAGAATAAGGCTCTTCCATTAATTTCATCATTAATTCAACCAAAATCAAATAGCGATGTTAAAAATGCAATAAATTATAATGATAAAATAAGAATTACATGTGAGTGTATTGAAACAATTTTTAGATGTGACAGCTAGCTACATAGCATAATTGCAAGACTACACTGCTACATGAACATGTTCATTAGACAAACTGGTTAGAAGTTTTGATTAGTATATAATATTTTGATCTTAAAAAAATATTAATGTCAACACAACCTAAACAGTGTTCATTTGATTTTGAATGGAACAAAGTTGTTGACTCTCTAACGAAGTACTAGTATTTCAGTAATTCCTTTATTGCCTTTCCATAATGGAGATTTAGTCAACAGACGAACAAGGTTCACTTCGGGCCTTTTTTGGCGCTGTGAATTTCTGAAAAACTGAAACTGCTTAGTTTTAGTTGACAGTGCATTAAATTTCATTTAGATATTTGGCGATTGCGAATCTACCAAAAATGACGTAATTTTCTGGCTAGTCAATGCATTATGACGTCATGAAATGCGTCATTTTCCTCATATTCTGAACAATTCTACAAAAACAGCCAATTTTTAAAGCTATTTTTTCGATATTTAATATAGAGCGCAACCTCTGATCTAAAATATGCAATTATTTACTGATAGAACCCTTTCTGAGGATTACAAAACATGTTTTATTTTCTTAGATCAGAGGGTGCGTTCATATTATTTTTCTTCTCTGAAAGTACTTAAATATACCTGTTTTCCTTAAAATTCAAGAACATTGCAATTCCATAAAGCTTGTTTTCCATGACTTGGACTTAAAGGAGAAAATTTTTAATTAGGAAATGATAGCACTTAGTCTCTACTTTATCTTGATGTTTATGGAACATAAGGTGTTAGTCAATAAATTGGTATATCTACAGGGCCATTTTATGCATAAAGTGAACCTAGCTCTTTGGAAATATTGCTTCTTTGATCAATAAGACATTGTTATTATAATCCTATTTGTTTGCGTGTTAAAAATATTGTCAATGTAACATTTAATTTTAAAAGTGAAAGACAAAAAGGGATATATTTGCTTGTACGTCATGCTTATTGAAAGTAGATTTTAGAATCAATGTATTTGTAGCTGATATCATACCAGACTAATGACAGTGTACTACATAGGTTATTCTATCTTATTAATATTACCATTCTATTGAAAGCTTGCACTTTTTTGGCAATTACAAGAATACATTTGCTTCACAAAGAAACTCTCAAACAAGGACGTATGCTGTACATTTTGAACTTAGTGTAAGACTAAGCATAAGGAAAGTCGTAATTTTTACGTGGTAAAGTGAATGCTAACTTTTTATGACTAATAGGTAAAATTTACCTCTTTTTACCGTCTTTCAGCAATACCAGTAAGTCCAAATGCCAGTTGGGATGTCTGAAAAAAATATTTTCTAAAAGTTATCACAACTCTTTCATGATTAAAGATACACGACTTCGCCATTTTTTGTGTTTTATATAAAAATTAAGTAGAGTATATTTTATTTTAAGTACATTAATTGAAGTAACTATATACCACTTTAACTTTTTAGCAATAAGATTGGACGATTGCAACGTAACTGGGTTCAGCGTTAAAAGTTTAATGGATGATGTAGACTACACAGGAAACATCAAGCACAAATATGGAATATATCACGTGGACTTCAACGACCCTGCCAGACCACGCACTAGAAAGTCTTCAGCGAGGTTTTACACAGAGGTCATCAAAGACAACGGCTTCAAGAAGGGGAAACCACACACCGTACCGCCAGAGTCTGAAGAATTTAATCCGAATTATCCCTACAGACCCTTGCCACAGGAGCACGAAATGTACCATGGTTCCTTCCCAAATGGATTTGCCTGGAGTACAGCCACAGCTGCATACCAGGTAGAAGGAGGATGGAACGCAGATGGTATTCAATGAATAACATATATAGTTTGCAAAATCGTCAAAAAAAATTTAGGTAGAAATACAAAATGTAATCATTAAGGATGGACATACCTCCCTTTAGTAGATATTTTGCTGAGAATATTTTTAATATCTTTTATTATATTATAAATTTGTGAAGATTCTTAGTGAGCATGAGGTTGGTCGAGAAGGTATTAAATTTGACCCTTTTTACACTATAATTTAGCTTTCGTCTTATTGACATGAACCTATACAGTCAGTCATTTCAAGAATTAAATTTCAAGTAAGCATCTAGCTAGAATAACAATAATTAAATCTAGCGATTCAAATGAAGCTAAATTACCATTTTTGAAATTTCTGAACCCATAACGTAAAAGGATAAAAATATCTTTAAAATTCAGAAGAAGTTTTGAGGTAAGGAGAAATATAATTTTAGATTTATTTTTCTTCTTATATGATAGTTCGTATCCTTTTGTATACATGTATATTATGTATATTCAATTCTATTCAGGAGTGTATTCTCGTAACGTGTTCGGATAAGGTCGTGGGTTCAAGCCCCGACCGCGACAGACCTTAGTTGATAAAAAATAGGTAGCAACTGTTCCTCCAGCATTTGCTCGGCAATTCTAAGTGAAAATTGTCTTTTGAATGACAGTTTCAAAACCGAGGCCCTGTCACGGTAGGTGTTGGCACGATTAAGATCCCTAGCTGCAAAAAGGTCCTGAGAGCTGAGAAAAGGTCTAAATTTGAAGCAATTCACCGGTATGTGGTGACGTCTCTATATGAGTAAAAAATTCTCGAATGGGACGTAAAACGAAATACAATCAATCAAGCTTTACGTGTTTGAATACTGGCAAGCCAATCCAAAACACAATGAAAGTGTAAATTCTTTACACTTTTAGCTAGTTCGTCCTGAAAAGCTTACGTCACAAAATACTGTGTCTTTAAAACCTGTGTTTTAACGTTATATATTTTCCGAATGGATGAAAAAATTATTTAAAATCCCCTGTCAAGAAAAAAAAAACTGAAGTCTGATGTGTAACCTACCTTTAACATTACAAGCATAAAGAATATCATAAACTTGATTCCCTGCGGAAAAAATGATTAGCAAACACAATTCATTATCTTTGAATGTTAATGAATGGGGAAAAAATCAGCAATAAAATTTAAGGTAAAGTTTAATTTTTGATATACTTAGGGAAGGGACTCAGCATATGGGATGTTTTTACTCAACAACCTGGTCATATTGATAATAATGACACGGGGAATGTTGCCTGTGACAGTTATCATAAATACAAAGAAGATGTCCAACTTCTAAAAAATATAAAGGTATGTAATTAAAATCATCCTAATCAAGTGTAAATTGATGTTAAGTGTAACAAGGTCCCATATAGAAAGATTCTTTTCAATCTTTTAAATCTTGACATGAATAAAATAATGTATATTTTCCAAATAGTATTTGAAATTGAAAGAGATGATGAAATTAAAACAGAGATCAAAGTTTTGTAAACGTATTTATTTCCTTTTTAGGTCACCTGAGTCACTCAGGTGACCTATTGCTATTCGTTTTCGTCCGTCGTCGTGCGACGTGCGTTAACATTTAAACATTTTTAGCTTTTCCTCTGAAACTACTCAACCAATTTCAACCAAATTTATTATATAGCATCTATGGGTAAAGGGGAACAAAAATTGTGAATTTCATGGTCCCTGCCCCTCTGGGGCCTGACGGGTGGGGCTAAAACCACCAAAATTAATGCAATCTTTAAAAATCTTCTTCTTTACTCCTGGACATCAAGCAGTCAAACTGTTGGCATGATTGTAATAACCAATGAGCCATCTACCAAAATTATGAAATTCATGGCCCCAGGGTCAGGGGTTCTCGTGCTAGGACAGGGCTACATAGATCATATAGTGAAAGTGCATTATTTCTTTGAAAATCTTCTTCTCTGCTCCTGGGTATCAAATAAAGTAACTAAGTACATAGTTATGAAGAGCAAGAGTGTCTCTACCAAAATTGTGAATTTCATGGCCCCAGGGTCAGGGGTTCTGGTGTTAGCGCGGGGCTCTATTGATTATATAGTGAAAATGCATTAATTCTTTGAAAATCTTCTTCTCTGCTCCTGGGTATTAAATAAAGTAAATAAGTACATAGTTATGATGAGCAAGAGTGCCTCTTCCAAAATTGTGAACTTCATGGCCCCAGGGTCAGGGGTTCTGGTGAAGGGGGGGGGGCTCTATTGATTATATAGTGAAAATGCATTAATTTTTTGAAAATCTTCTTCTCTGTTCCTTGGTATTAAATAAACTAACCAAGTACATAGTTATGAAGAGCAAGAGTGTCTCTACCAAAATTGTGAATTTCATGGCCCCAGGGTCAGGGGTTCTGGTGTTAGCGCGGGGCTCTATTGATTATATCGTGAAAATGCATTAATTCATTGAAAAATCTTCTTCTGTGCTCCAGGGTATTAAATAAAGTAACTAATTACATAGTTATGATGAGCAAAAGTGCCTCTTCCAAAATTGTGAACTTCATGGCCCCAGGGTCAGGGGTTCTGGTGAAGGGGGGGGGGGGCTCTATTGATTATATAGTGAAAATGCATTAATTCTTTGAAAACCTTTTTCTCTGTACCTGGGTATTAAATAAAGTAACTAATTACATAGTTATGATGAGCAAGAGTACCTCTTCCAAAATAGTGAAATTCATGGCCCAAGGATCAGGGGTTCTGGCGAATGGGGGAGGGGCTCTATTGATTATATAGTGAAAATGTATTAATTCTTTGAAAATCTTCTTCTCTGCACCTGGATATCACATAAACTAACCAAGTATATAGTTATGATGAGCAAGAGTGCCTCTTCCAAAATTGTGAATTTCCTGGTCCCAGGGTCAGGGGTTCTGGCGAAGAGGGGGGGGGGGGGCTCTTTTGATTATATAGTGAAAATGTATTAATTCTTTGAAAATCTTCTTCTTCTGTACCTGGGTATTAAATAAACTAACCAAGTATATAGTTATGATGAGCAAGAGTGCCTCTTTCAAAATTCTGAAGTTCATGGCCCAAGGGTCAGCGGTTCTGATGTTAAAGTCGGGCTCTATTGATTATATAGTGAAAATGCATTAAGTTTTTGAAAATCTTCTTTTGTGCTCCTGGGTATTAAATAAAGTAACTAAGTACATAGTTATGATGAGCAAGAGTGCCTCTTCCAAAATTGTGAACTTCATTGCCCCAGGGTCAAGGGTTCTGGCGAAGTGGGGGGGGGGGAGCTCTATTGATTATATAGTGAAAATGTATTAATTCTTTGAAAACCTTCTTCTCTGTATCTGGGTATTAAATAAACTAACCAAGTATATAGTTATGATGAGCAAGAGTGCCTCTTCCAAAATTGTGAATTTCGTGGCCCCAGGGTCAGGGCTTCTTGTTTAAGGGCGGGGGCTCTGTTGATTATATAGTGAAAATGCATTAATTCTTTGAAAATCTTCTTCTCTGCTCCTGGGTATTAAATAAAGTAACTAATTACATAGTTATGATGAGCAAGAGTGCCTCTTCCAAAATTGTGAATTTCATGGCCCCAGGGTCATGGGTTCAGGTGTTATGGTGGGGCTCTATTGATTATTTGCATTAATTCTTTAAAAATCTTCTTCTCTGCTCCTGGTATTAAATAAACTAACTTAGTGCATAGTTATGATAAGCATGGTCACCTCTTCTAAAATTATGAATTTCATGGCCCCAGGGTCAGGGGTTCTGGTTTTAGGGTGGGGCTCAATTGATATATAGTGAAAATGCCATATTTCTTTGAAAATCTTCTATCTCCTGGATATTAAATTAACTAGTAAGTACATAAATGTAGTTATAATGAGCATGGCTGCCTCCTCAGAAATTGTTAATTTCGTTGCACCTGGGTGAAGGGTTCTGGTGTTAGGGCGGGGCTCTACTGATTATATATAGGACAATGCATGAATTCTTTCAAAATCTTCTTCTCTGCTGCTGGGTAATATTCAAACATATGAAGAATGCGTCTTCCAAAATTGTGAAATTCATGGCCCCTGGGTCAGGGGTTCTGGTGAAGGGGGCGGGCTGTATTGATTTTATAGTGAAAATGCATAATTTCTTTCAAAATATTTTTTCTACTACTGGTAATAAAGCAAAGAAAGAAGTATATAGTTAATATGATGAGCAAAGTTCTTCTTCCAGAATTGTGAGTTCATGGCCCCTGGGTAAGATGTTCTGGTGTAAGGGGGGGGGGGACTTTATTTATTCAATAATATAGTGAACATGCATTTCTTTGAAAATCTTTTATGCTTCTGAGCATATTTGAGGCAAACAGAGTAAATGTTTTAATATGCAAGGGTATTTTTACCACAATTTTGAACACCTGGATTATTAAGTCAAGTGTTCTGGTCCTGGCGAGGGCTCTATGAACTTGTATTCTGCTGAGCAAAGTTTTTCCCCTTTACCATTCACCTTTGATAATTAATCACTGTAAATAATGTATTTGAACGGTTAATAGAATAAGAGAATTATGCAAGAATATTTATTGTATAATATAAAAAGTACTTTCATAGTTTTAATGATCAGGTAGACTTGGAAATAATAGATGAATAAAAGTGAGGCAAAAATAACTTATCTTTTTTAATGTTCTTCAATTAGGCCAAGAGAGACCAATGTGAGAAGTAGTAATATGGGTTTAAAAATTTTGTTAATAGTCTGCATGGTAATAGTGATAAATGGGGGACAGATAGATACTAGACCAGTTATTTTGTTTATGCTTATCATACTATTTTTCTTGCTTTTGGGCAACAAAGCTTCATTTATCAGTTTATGGATCCTCTAAATTGTTGTATTGTACTCAGGTGACCGTTAAGGCCCTTGGACCTCTTGTTTTATAAAGATATTTGTTTCATTCAATATTTCAGACTTTCATAGTCATTACTTATTTTCTGAATTTCAGTAGCATTTCTCCTTTTTCATTGTGTTTACAGTTTATGTTCTGTTTAAGCATTACTTAAATTCTGAATTTGTTGTTAGGGGAGTATGAATTTATTTATCTGAGTCTTTATTTACTCCAAAGTTTCAAAGATTACCAAAAATACACCCAATTTATAATCAAACAAACAAAAAGTGGTTGAAAAAACTCCCCTTATATAAATTTTGTACAATTTACGAATTAGGTAACACACTATAGATTCTCAATATCGTGGTCACGAGTACTACCAGTAGGAACCCTACAGGTGATCAACCAGCCTGGCGTAGATTACTACAATAACCTGATAGACGCCCTTTTGGAGGCTGACGTTGTGCCAATGGTAACGTTATATCACTGGGATCTTCCAGAGGCATTTAATAGCAGTGGAGGCTGGCAGAATGAAAGTATTGCTGACCATTTTGCCAACTATGCTAAATTTTGTTTCCAGAAATATGGCGACAGGGTAAGATAATGGATGTATAATGACGGGGTTATTAATGGTTTCAAATTATGTAAGATTATGCGTGGTATATATATATATATATATATATATATATATATATATATATATATATATATGCAAACTATACATTTCACAGGTTAAGTTTTGGATTACTTTAAATGAACCTTTCGTTGTCTCCAACCAAGGATACGAGTTAGGTGTCATGGCGCCAGGTCTAAAAGGAAAAGGAGACCGTACCTATATCGTCAGCCATAACCTTATCAAGGCTCATGCAAAAGCCTACCGTGTTTATGAGAATGAATTCAAAACTAAGCAAAAAGGTATATTTTAGGCAAATATGTAACCATAGGGTAATTTTTGCTGAAGTACACTATATTTTGTTTTGATAGTATAATACTGGTATACTTATATATAAGTCCATTAAGATCACAAAAGCCAGTGGCAGCTAACACACTTGCTATATGTATTATAAAAAAGCACTTTCGGATAAATTTATCCTTGGAGATGTTTAGAATATACTTCAAGTAAGGAAAAATCAGTTTTTTTTACAATCAGCTAAAATTATAATAGGAATTTGGTTATTTTATTCCTGTTTATAATTTTTTGTTCCCTTCATTTTGTCTTTTTTAATTTTTAACATCAATCATTCTTAGGTCAAGTTGGCATTACACTCAATACGGATTGGCAGGTCCCGAAGAATTCAGAGAGCCTAGCGGATTTGGAGGCATCAGAGCGAGCCATTAATTTTATGCTTGGGTGGTTTTTAAATCCAGTGATGAGGGGAGATTACCCAAAGGTGATAAAGGATCAGGTGGATAGAAAAAGTCGAGAACAGGGTCTACCTATCAGCAGATTACCGAAATTTACAGAATCTGAAAAAAATTATGTCAAAGGTAATCATCATGATAAGTGAATTTTTATAATTCAATCAACCATCTCTTTTCTTGGTTGATTGATCAAATTCCATAAATTAATTTAACTTTTATTCACCTTTCTTAGCTGCTTATACTTGACTAATATTCAATTACCTTCTCTGTAAAAATACATAGAAGGAAGTCCTGAATATTGTTATACTTCAAATGGGTTTCTGTTCCAGGTTCTTATGATTTTCTTGGAATGAATTTTTATACGTCTAATATCGTAACCAATGTCAAATCGAGCACTCAGAGTTTCAATGGAGACCAAGACCTGCAGTACACCAAAGATCCATCCTGGCGAAAGTAGGTAAAATTTGTAATGTAAAAAGATACCAATAATCTCCATTTATTTGTTTTATGCTTTTTGAGTATCGATTTGAACGTAAAGTATAATTTTATTCATTCGGTTTTTATCAAACAAAATGTTTAGTTTATTGGTACGCCGTTTTCATTTTTGAAATTAATTGAAATATGCACAATATTTTGAAAATCATAAGTGATGTAAAACTAACATGCGAATTAATCTAACAGGTCTGGATCAAGCTGGTTAAGAGTTACTCCTGTTGGAATTCGGAGAATGTTGAACTGGATAAAATATACCTACGGTGATTTTCCTATCTACATAACAGAAAATGGCGTGTCTGATAAGAATGGGTCTTTGAAAGACGAAAATAGAATATACTACTACAAAAACTACATCAATAACGTTCTAAAAGGTAAACATTAATTATAATTAATTGTTTTCTTGATAAAAATGTTGAAAAGCGTCTATTTAAAGAATGTTTATATTTTGCTGTCAAAGCAATACGTCTAGACGGTGTAAACGTTAGAGGGTACACTGCATGGTCATTGATGGATAACTTTGAGTGGGCGCGTGGATACTCGGAACGTTTTGGACTTCATTATGTCAACTTTAGCGACCCTGCCAGATCACGCACACCTAAAGCAAGTGCTCATTTTTACTCAACAATCATTGAAAACAACGGTTTCCCTAGCGAAAATTCAATGTACTCGTTTCCATTTACTTCCAAACCTGTGCATCCTGAAAATAATCCGTACAGAAAGCTCTACAAGGAAGACGAGTTCTACTACAATACCTTCCCTGAGGATTTTGCGTGGAGCACAGCGACTGCCTCATACCAAATAGAAGGGGCATGGAATCTAGATGGTAAAATATACAAAAGAAATTAGAATATTTCATTTATGATTTATATCATATATATGTATATATGATTTTTTTTATTGTTGAATATATGAACAATTACGGATGACTATTAAAGATTCAGCATGACTATTTTAATACACAAATTTGCCTTGGAGAAAAATATAAATTGAATTAAATCACTAGGATATTGATACACATGACACAAAAGGATAGAGAAAGATAAAAACACAGCCAGTCTTTTTCGAAGTTGAACTAGAAATTAGATTTCCATTTAAAGAAGCTGATTTCTACATTTGCAGGGAAAGGACTTGGTATTTGGGATGAATTTAGCCACTCTCCAGGCAATATAGTCAACAATGACACTGGTGATATTGCTTGTGATAGTTATCATAAGTTCCACGAGGATGTCAAACTTCTGAAAAATATAAAGGTTCAAATTACTTTGCATAATAATTTTTTTTACCTTTTTGCAATCACAAAATGTCATTTTTCTAGCATTAAAAATTTATCAAGCAATTATTTAAACGTCTTAGGATTTTACTAAATTTAAGCAGAATGGCCAAAGTTATATCCAGAAAAGAAAATTTAACGTTGGGGTATGTGATTTAAAGTTTAAGATATTATTTGAAAAGTTTTAATTTTAAGCTAAATGTGGGCTATTTTTCTGGACTTCAGCAATTTATTCGCCAGAATAATATGATAAACGAAATTATAACAGTTAATTAAAATATATAATTTGGGACAAGTAAAAAAATATCTCACTGCACAAAATAATTCTCTAGCTCTGTAGCCTGCGTGGAAAAATTGGAATTAGCTTAACAGTACTTTTAATACTTTTAAAGAGAAATATTGATCAAGTTCTTCTAAAATTCTTCAAAATATCGTTTCTCCCTAAATGCTTTTTCAATGAAATTTAAATAGAAATAGAGGTCTAGACAAAAATCTGCTCAAAAACTCAGGATCGAACCTCAAACCCTTAAGTGAAAACTTTTTTAAAGATAAGATTTAATTGTATAAAAATTAGTGCCACAGCAGGAGATATGATAAACATTCAAATAAAAAAAATATATATTTTGATCAGAAATGTAAGCTTTTAGTTAAAATAAGATAAAAACGACCAAATATGGGAGTGGTGCACAAAATTTGTCAAATAAGTAATATAAGTCAAATCCATGAGAAATGTTTATGAGAATAACCAGTGTGACAATTAGATATATTGATAAAAATACCCATTCCCATTTAGTATAAATAAAAGTTCATATTTCGTTAAGTCATTAACCATGGAACTAGGGTGGGTCCATTTAAGGAGGACAAAGGTAGATACACAGGGAAATATAAATTACTTTTAAAAATCTGATGAAGAGGAACAGTATCGAAATAAGTTGAATTGATTCACAACCATTGCCATTCGGTGTACATTTTGTTATAGATCATGTCATTGTCCCTGAAGTCAAGGTGACTAGGAGGGTCTTTTTTTATTGCATGGAATTACAATGTCATAAGAAAAAGTTCTGTCTTTAAATATTCTCCTCTCAAAAACAAAGGGACTAATCTGAGTGTTTTGTCCCCTGGGCCTGTTCCTTTTATCATTATTATTTACTGTAGCAGTACATTAATGAAAGTTGCTTCGGGGTGAATATTACCATAATACTTTTCCACTTCATTGAGAGAAAAAAATCCTTGGAAATAGTGTAAAATTTATTCTGTAAAGAAGTTTTTTTTAATACATTAATGACTATTTTGAATTGTATGAAATAATCGGAATGCATATATATTGTACAGCTAGATTTATTTAATTTATAAGAAATGTTTTCTCTCCTCTAGGTTACTCATTACAGATTTTCGATTTCTTGGCCCCGGATATTACCGAATGGTACCCTGGAATCTGTCAATCGCCTGGGCATTCAGTACTATAACAACCTGATAGACGCCGTGATTGATGCTGGAATCGTTCCTATGGTTACACTTTATCATTGGGATCTTCCACAAGCATTAATGAAATATGGCGGCTGGCAGAGCGAACAAACAGCTGAATACTTCGCAGACTATGCCAGACTCTGTTTCACACATTTTGGCGATAGGGTATCTATGAGATTAAAAAAATATATTTCCTTATACATGTATATTTCATCAATCGAATTCAGATAGTTATAGAATTATCTTTATTGTACGAGTATTTTAAATTGAATTTAATTCTTCAATTCCCAAGTTGATATCTATCACAGTAAAAGAGACTAAAATATAATATGTTCTGTTAATAGGTTAAGTTTTGGATTACACTAAATGAACCATTTGTCGTATCCAACCATGGGTATGAAATCGGTGTCATGGCACCCGGCTTGACAGGAAAGGGCGATCGAATTTACAAAGCTGGTCATAATTTATTGAAGGGGCATGCCAAAGCTTACCACATTTATCAGAATGAGTTTAAAAAATCTCAGGATGGTCAGTCATTTTAAACGTGTTTTCATAAGTATTTGATTTTATTGCAGATGCTTTTTTGAGTGAAATTAATGCAATTATTAGATTAATATACGATTACAGTTTGTGTTTATCTTTGAATTCGATTTGCATAAGCATAGTCTAAGGTATATATCTGAGGTAAAGATAACTAAAAACATGTATGCTACACTAAAGGAGCATTTTATTTTTTCCTCGTATTAGGTATAATTGGAATAACATTAAACACAGACTGGCAAGTACCGAAAAACCCCAGGGATGAGAAAGACTTACAAGCATCAGATCGTGCCATTAATTTTATGTTTGGTTGGTTTTTAAACTCTGTCATGAAAGGAGATTACCCAGGAGTCATGAAGGACCAAGTAGACAGAAAAAGTCGCGCGCAAGGATATAGCCGAAGTAGACTTCCGGAATTTTCAGCGAAAGAGAAAGCGTTTATCAAAGGTTTAATATTTCCCTTTTTGATTGTGCAAATACACAGTGTCTGTTAGATTTTCCTCACTGAATTATTTTACAATGGTTATGAATTGAATATTCTTTGTAATATATATGCTTTTCTATGTATTGTATAACATTTTAGGAACATACGACTTTCTTGGGATGAATTTTTACACGTCAAACTTGGTTTCTTCAATAAGTGACAAAACACAGAGCTACTCGGGAGACCAAGATCTTAATGCTACCAAAGATCCGTCGTGGTTAGGGTGTGGATTTAAGATATTTTGTTAACTTTAAGAAGTTTGTAGACTTTAAAAACATATATCAGCGGCAATATGTCACCGTTGGGCAATACAAGTGATTTTACCTCACTTTATAATTTAACTTAAGAGTTCCATTACTGGTTAATGTCATGCAAAATTATCATCAGTTTCAGTCATTTTTAATTTGAAATAATAACTTTCAGATCGGGATCTTCTTGGCTTAAGGTGACACCGACTGGAATACGCCGAATGCTTAACTGGGTGAAATATACATACGGAGATTTCCCGATATACATAACAGAAAATGGTGTCTCGGACACCAATGGAACTCTTAAGGATGACCACAGAATATTCTATTATAAACATTATATTAACAACGTACTCAAAGGTAAGGCATTCATCGTGTTAAAATTTCAAAACGATATAACCCTTCTCAAACCACAAAATGCAGTCTCTTCGACCCAGCATTTTTTTCTTTAAAAAAAACCCCCCAAAATTTGACCCAATGAAATTATTGTACGATTTTAAAGTATAATTTTAGTTGCACAATGTGTATTATTTTAGTTACTTGATTTTTATTCCTATGATTAAACTCAAAGCGTACATGTGTACATATTTAAACTGTATTTTTGCAGCTTTACGATTGGATGGCGTTGACATTCGCGGATACACAGCGTGGTCATTAATGGATAATTTTGAGTGGGCGCGTGGATATTCAGAACGCTTCGGCCTTCATTATGTTAACTTCAGTGATCCTGCCAGACCACGCACACCAAAAGCAAGTGCGCGATATTATACATCAATCATAGAAAATAATGGGTTTAAGCGACAGTATACCCCTGAAGGCACCACACATGCCACTGATACACAACATACCACCCGCAGTCCAGTAAGCTCTGGGGCTCGGAAGACAGTTTTATCTTTCTATATATGCTTCTTAATCAAAGTAATGTATACTTTGATATCATGATTGGATGTCCCATATCATATCGATTTATGCACATGTACATAATACGTGTAGTCCCACATGTTTGTTTCCCACTCAAAGAGAATTTTGCTGAACAACTTTTCCTGTAAATATGGTGTGTATGATAGTTGTCACATTGCATTGTTTTTTTTATTTGTAAATGGTTTACTACATTTTAGTGTATCAAAACCTAGCCTTGTACATTTTGTTAAAGAAAATCATAAAATTATAAAATAACGCTCTGGTTTGTAAAAATATTCTAATAATGATGAGGGAAAGTAAAACAGCTGAATCCTATGTGAAACAAATATTCTGCGAGTATTGTTTTTGTATCCTCAAAGACCCAAAAAAGAAATGCAATTTCATAGATCTGATACTGGATACATGTACTATATATATGAGAATTCAAAGTTCGCTAGCTAGCACTATAGGAAACTGTCACATCGAGCCTTGGAGGATAAAATGAAAACAAGCATCCCCCAACTTGCTTAAAGGCAGAGGTTTTTTACCAAGTGGTAAATTACAGGTGAGGGAGGGGCTTATTTTGTACAGGTTTGAGTGACTTGAGGGCTAGCCTAGCAGTCTACTTGTGGTCGTTTGTCTCCTAATTCCTATACACAGGAAGTGATTTAATACATAGTAGAGTACCCAAGAAGTCAAACTTTACCTGTGTTGGGATTTTTAGATGATTTTAAATCAGAAATAAAAAGATGTAAGTAAAGTTTAATCTCAATAATTTTTATTAATTTGTAATTGAATGTGTGTCAAAGAATCCCCACCCATTAAAAACATATTGTTATTCAAAGTATTTGTTGGGATTTGAAAAAAGTTATACCAAATTTTGATATATATTATCATAATGAATATCATAATTATTTCAAATACTAAAAGTATATATATATATATATATATATATATATATATATATATATATATATATATATATATATATATATATATATATATATATATCAAGCTAAACATTCCGTAGTAATACAGCTTCTCTATTGTTTATACCATGTATGGTAAATATCAAAGGATCAGAAGTTAATTTGAAGGTCACCACGAGTGCCAAATAAGGTGTACAGGGTATACACTGGAACTAGTAAGTAAATGTCAATCAAGTTCTAGCACCCAATGATGTACCTTAATGTGCTTTGTCTGATTGACAGGGGTACACAGACCAGATATTTTTAAGGTGGTGCTTAAAATCTCTGCCTTTAATCTACTGCCAATAAGATAATAACTGTGAGGGGGAAAATCCTTCTAGACATTTTCTGAATCATTAGTTTAACAGTGTCTCAACTTGCATAAAAGTACAATAAAATTCAAGCAGCCAAGAAGAATTTCTGAAACAAAAAATTCATGACGATTAAACATGGCAAGAATTCAATTAACGTAAACAATTACTGTGGAATCATCAAAATTCGTGGGGGTCAATTTTAGTGGATTGTCTAAATGTTACAGGTTCGAGGGGGCGTAATTTCTTGCATTCACTCATATCTACAAAAGGAAAGATGACGCTTAAAACCCCAGTTATTAATTCGATTAGGATGTGAATTCGTGGATACAGGGTACCCACGAATATTGAGTCTACACGATATCTAATAATTCTACAGTAATATCTATTATGTAATATACTAAAAATTAATATTGATTTTTGAAAGTTTAACCTGAAAATAATCCTTTCGATTTTCAATTAATAAAGGGCAAATATAATTTTTATGCCCCCTTTTGAAGAAGGGGAGCTTATTGCTTTGCTACTGTCTGTCGGTCTGTCTGCCTGTCGGTCCACTAACAGTTTCCGTTCATTTTCTTTGCAGAGGCTGCACATACTGAAATGAACTTTAGTATACAGATTTATCATAAAAGTATCTAGGTCATGTTCTGTTTTGGGTACGATCGAGCAATTTTTGACAGAGTTATGCCCCCTTGACTTAGAAAAATCCCAATTATTTGCAGTTTCCGTTAAATTTATTTGCAGAGGTTGCACATACTGAAATGTTGACCGTTCACGGTAGCTCAGTCGGTAGTACGCTCGCTCCGTGATCGGGAGGTCGTGAGTTCAAATCTGACCTAAGTCGATAAAAATGGGTAGCAACTGTTCCTTTGCCATGCGCTCGGCACTTTGAAGTGCATGAAAGTTGCGGGTACTTTGGATGAGACCTTAAAAACCGAGGCCCCGTGTCATGGCAGGCGTTGGCACGATAAAGATCCCTCACTGCTCAATGGCCTTGAGCGCCAAGTAAAGGTCAAAATTTGAAGCCCTTCACCGGTATACCATGACGTCTCTATATGAGTGAAAAATTCTCGAATGGGACGTAAAACAACATACAATCAATCATATTGAAATGAAATTTGGTATACAGATTTATCATAAGAATATCCAGGTCAGGTTCTGTTTTGGGTACGATCGAGCAATTTTTGACAAAGTTATGTTCCTTGGACTTAGAAAAAAAATCCATTTATTTGCAGTTTCCGTTCATTTTCTTTGCAGAGGTTGCACATACTGAAATGAAATTTGGTATACTGATTTAGCATAAAAAAAAAATTTAGTTCTGTTTTGGGTACCATCGAGCAATTTTTGAAAGAGTTACCCTTGGACTTAGAAAAATTCCAATTATTTGGGGGGGGGGGGGGGGTCACAAACATCTTTCGTTTTTCTAAAACGCCGATGATACGAAGCAACTCTACCGCACCTGCACAGTAGTGTATCTTATCTTGATTAATCTTATCAGTTCTATAGATACGTTATCTATATGACTGATCAGAGCTCTCAAGACTGATTAAAAATGAAAATTGAAAGTAGAATCTATTTTTAGTATATGAATGAACATAATCCCAATGAATAGCGTAAAATTAAAATCCCATCAATTTCAAGCCTGGTATTCAACTATTCTATACAGAAAAGCGTAGTAACTTACACTGCAATTTAGAAGTGAGACTATTCCATTTTATATAAAATACTTTTTCAAAATGTTTTAACGAGGCCGAGATAAGTTATTTCTACCCTAGATATTTTATTAAATTTTCTTGAATGAATTTTTACTATTATATTAATTATTTTGAGATAAAAAAAATCAAATGCTTACAATTAATTCCGATTTCTTAGGGGGCCATCTCAAAAGTTGTCAAATTTTACTATTAGACCCTATGGGAATTTGTTGGAAAAGCGCCAAATTATAAAATTTTTCCTATATTTTTTGTATATCTGCCCTAGGGATTTCCTTTTCAATCAAATACATGAAAGCTATTGTAAAAAGTCATCAAATGGTGAAAATTCGAAAAAGTTGACCATCTGGTTTGGTCTAATATTATTACAAAGTTATTTTGTTTTGGTTTTGGGTTTTTTCCCCAATGCCCAATACCTCTAAATTTGCCCATTTTATTTATATCGGCGCAGGTGAATTATTTCGGAAAAAAGAATAACAATGTTTAGATTGCTGGTATGTTTCTTTTGATGTTCTTTGATGTTCTTTCAACAGTTGAGCCGTCACGGTAGCTCAGTCGTTAGAGAGCTCGCTCCGTGATCGGAAAGCCTTGAGTTCGAATCTCGGCAGCGACTGACTTAAGTCGGTAAAAAAAAATAGGTAGCAACTGTTCCTTCGCTAGGCGCTCGGCACCTTGAAGTGAAAGTTGCGGGTCCTTCGGATGAGACCTTAAAATCCGAGCCCCGTGTCACTGCAGGCGTTGGCACGATAAAGAATGGCCCCGAGAGCCGAGTAGAGGTCTAAATTTGAAGGCATTCACCGGTATATGGAGATGTCTCTATATGAGTGAAAAATTCTCGAATGAGACGTTAAACAACATACAATCAATCAATCTTTAAAAAGTTTTAAATAAAATGTCCATGGACGTCTTGTTTACTCAAGCGAGTTATGCGCCATTCTTCAGCGTCATGCATTGCTTACAGAACCGAAACGGTGACGTCGTGAAAGCCATTTCAGCGTTTATTCCTAATTCTTGTCTTAAAAACAGAATGTTTATCTCTTTTCTGTCAAAAATTACTAAATCAAAAAAACCAAAATCCCATGAAATTTAGAACTTTTTTGTGTTTCACTATGTGCATCAGCTTATCAAGTTTTAATATCGAATATATCAAAGTTTTACCCCCATCCACCCCCTCCTCTATGATGTTGCAGATTTTTTTTGATTCATCGGGGAATTATGGCCTTAATTCCAAGGAAATTGTCGAAACTTGATGATCAATTCTTTTGCATGAAACAGTGTTATCAAACTACAGCATAGAGCATCAAAATTAAAATCCAGACATCTTGTGGATAACAACATTGACAGATAGAACTACATGTAGTAAACGGAGAAAAAGATTGGGGGAAAAGTACTAGTCCCACGGTTTCACCGAAAGGAGACAAAAAATGACGGAAGAGTCCATAAGCTTACCAAACTGCAAAGGTACGAGTTATTTTTAATTTTTTCTATGAATGCAATTTCCGGTGTTTATGGATAAATGGAACCAAATATCAGCCATAAATTTTATATACTGGAGCCAAATGAAAGAGTTCATAAACATTATGCGTGAGTTTAGATTTTAGCTCTCATTATTATTTAATTACATGTCAAAATAAAGCACATGGAACAATATTGTCGGTATGTGAATTTATTTCACAGTGTTCCGACAGTTAAACGGATTGTTGTCCTTGAACACATCAAGCAACTAATAAAAATTCACAGCTTTATGGGTCAAAATTAAAAACAATTTACTAAAATGATGATATTCTGTTTAAATATGTGAATATTTTAACTAACAATTTTTTTCAATGTGTTTTAAAGATGTAGATAAAATTTATAATGGACAGAAACTCCATGAGAACCTATATTTCAACATAATTTCTGATAATATGAAAAATTCGTACTATAAAACCGTGTTGTTGTGTGTGCCTATTCCATAAATTGTCAATATTAATAGATACATGTAATCTCCAAAAATGGCTTAATAGAAGCATAAAACAGGAATACATATTTACGCTTTAAAAAAAGCATAACTGTATATAGTCGCAGATCTGTAGCTCTCTGGTCCAAATAATTGAGATGGACGACCAGAGAGGTACATTATATCTTATATATATTTAAATACATATATGTAATGTGCGGAATTACATTTATAGCGTCAAGTTCAGGTTACATGTATTTAAATGATTGTCGAGAAAAAAAATATAATTTCTATTTTAGAATTTATTTATTTGCACTGTTAGATAATGTAAACTTCAAGTCAACATATCTTAAAGCCAAGTTTGTATTTCAGTGCATGCTTTTAAAGGTTTTCACAAGTTTTTTTTTTTTTTTTTTTTTTTTTTTTTTTGCACAATTATCAAGAAAGGGGATTAAAGTACTTAAAAGATTGAATTTTGTTTTACATTTATTGTATGCCTGCTTGCTTTGCAAGGTTGTCAGAACATTTCAGTTTGAGAGTAATTAGTTAATTTTTAAATTTGCATGTTTTGTAAAACACTGTGTACTTTTGTTGACAAGTTCTCTTGTACTTTCGCGAAAAATTGTAATTTGAAAGAAATAATCATGGATTTTCAACTGAATTGAATTAAATTAATCCGTTTTGTTTCTGTACTTTTTTAAAAATCTCTCTTCAATCTTTTTTATCTTAGACTAATTTATACAGCCAGTCTTAAGCAAAATCTGATGCGATAAAATTTATTCATAGAAAGGTACTAATACATTGTACGTATACACCAAGTGAAAAGACTATATTGACTTCAACATGCAATATATATCGGAGACAAAAGTTTGTGTTGTCCTTTCACAGGTTTTTATTTGCAAGTAAAATTTGTTGATGTTTTGAAATATTCATTACATCAAATTTTACTCTTAAATAAAAAAAAAATGTGGGAGGACAGCATAGAAATTAAGCACATTTTTTTCCTTTGAATTCCTTTTTGAGAAGTACTTGGATAAAATAGTAACACGTACCTGTTACGTTTTATTTACACCTCTTTGGAATAGGATAATTATGATTCCATGGATGTACCAAGACTTCGATAAAGATCATAGTCTACATGTATACTAAAAGTTTTAATGTTAAAATGTTTTTTTATTAAAAAAAAAAAAGGGGGAGGGGGTCTTGACATCCTCGACATAAAATCGAATAAACATTGAAAGAATATGACTTTATTTCTGAAATTTTGTAATTTAAAGATAACGATAATCTTTAAATATTGGTCAATTTTGTATTCAATTTGATCGACAGAGGAAATAAAGAGTTTTAATAGGGAAAACTATGATTCTTGTATGGCTTGAATTTCAGTGGTTGACATTTTCCATACGTTAAAAATCAATTTCATCTCATTGAGTCATACTTGTTGACCCATAATAGTACTTCTTTTGCTTAAAATTATTTATTGATGTCTACGTGTATTCCGATACATTTATTTTAATTATTATAAAAGAATTATGAATCTTGTTACTTGGATTAAGTAATTCGAAACTTAGATTTTAATCTAAACTCTGTCAAATTTCAGTCTGTAAAATACTTCTGAATTGTAATGTGTGCAGGTGTAAACTGAAACTCAAAAAACTTTAGTGACGTAATATACATTATAAAAGATTCAATTGCTGACTCCCTGTCATTCTAGTGCAATATGTATTATTCTGACAGAATTCTAAGTTGGTTCTTGGTTCCCTAGCAATTCTTACAGAATCTTTAATTATTAGAGAGGCAATATTTTCTCTTCTTTTTATAAAAAAGGATTTAAAGAACATTAAATATTTAAAGTTTTTAAAATGTTGCTGATACTTTAAAATTGCAGAGTACACAGATTATAAAATCAAGAGAATTCATAGTATCTTATTAGGAAAATTGCAACCTCTCTAATTATAACCGTAACCAAGGTGTTGTCTTGACACTTGACATACACAAATGGAAAGTTTAAATCCGTCTAATAGCAAAAAGTCGTACACCCGATATGCCCATAATCTGGTAATTAGACACTTTTCATAAACTTTCATGGGTGGAAGACAACGTAACCCAAACATCGGTCAGACTAATTAACGGAAATCTTTGATCTACCTAGTGACAATAACATGTGATGGGTGGGTGGCAGTATTTATATATTGTAGTACCTGTCCAAGTTGTGTAAACTAAAATGGAGGTACCAACGATAGCTTCACTTGTCCTCTTCATTCTGTTTGACATTGGTAAGTTACAGGTTTTATCACTGATTGGCAAGTTAATGCTCCGTAAAATGTTTTGTCTTAAAAAATCATTTATTTATTATCATGAATATTAAGTTTTTGAGCACATTGTAAACCATGATTTGAGTTAAATTCTACTAATACACAAACATGATAATGTTTTTGCTTCTTTTGAATTTTGCAGCGTTTGGACAGAATTGTGTCGGACGTGTAGATGGCGTTTATGATGCCGGTTGCCGCGCGTACACAACTTGTAAAGGTGGCGTAGGCACTATAACAGAATGCAAACAACCTAATGTGTTCAACAGAGACACCAATCGATGCGATGAGTGAGTAATATTAAGTAGGATTTGCAAATTAGCAAAGATTTACCCGCAAATAATCTCTTGTCTGTGTATATGGGAAGTAATCGTAGACATCATAATTTGTTTCTTAATCTTCTTCTTAATAACATCCCTGTTTAAAATCTCTGCTATTAGTATACAGGTATTAATGTACAACACAAGATATTGTTATACCTTTGAAAATTGTTTCCTCTAAATTTTGAGGTCCGTGTTTGCTCTGCTCGAAATTTGTATCGTTTCATTGGACTTTCGAGATTGAACACTGTTCGTTATCTTCATATTTCTTTCCTATATAAAACTATACTTAAAAAGTCTAACATTTCCAATGTTTTACTGAGCGGTTCAAAAACTCTAATCTATGTTAGACCGCAAAGCGAGATGTTGGACCTGTCGATGAGATATTGGATCGCTTACGTCACACTGTGGGCGGGATCAGCTTTATCTTGCATGTATTTACATGCGTTGGAGTTCGACAGTCACGGAATCGACCGAGATATAACCGTAGTGCGAGTAAACGAAAGTTACATCATGAAAGCCAGCACAAGATATGTCAAAAAAGGAAAAAGGTATAACAAAACATTTCTTGACTGGTTTCGAGGGCAAAATGCGTTTTGCCGAACCCTCGAAACAATCGGTTTGCCTGAAGCCGTTTGTTTCGTGGGTCCGATAAAACGCGTGTTGTCCTCGAACCCAGTCAATAAATGCATAGGATACTGGAAGATGATTCTAAAGCTTAATTTTAGCTGTATTTACTCAAAGGTATGCTGTGGTTATTTCTTTTATAAAGAGTCATTAATCTAAGACATCGTAAACTAAGACATCATAGTTTGAAAATGTTTGTACAGCCAACCATTCAATCACACCGGTACGCATGTTCTTCAAAAGATTTGAAATTTTTAAATGGTTAGCTGTGTATAAGGAATTACACACCACTGTTTCCTAATTTTGCATTATCTTTACTCAGAAATTATAATGAAGTTTTCAGTACATCATAATTTCAAAGACACATGTGTACCTAGAAAGAAAAACATTTTTTTTGTAAAGGAGTATGAAGGTTTAAGAAATTTTAGATTGGTTGAAATATGTGTTAAGTTACCTTTGCACGTTTTCATAGCCAAAAAATGCTTATTTGCAAAATAATGCGTTCTAAAAAATCACCCAGACAACAATGCAGCAAGATTTTCAGTTAAAACATAAGAATGTATATAATAAAAAATAATATAGAAGAGTGCGATGTAAGTCGTACCTTGTGAATGGCCTCATGTCCTTAAATTATTATTTTAAGATGCTAGTCATTCATCTTTTTATAACAGTATTATTTAAAATATTAGTCATAATCTGCCATTGCTAAGTACATGTATGCACATAATGTTGTTTTCAAAACACTGCAATAGTTAGAAAATAATACCCTTTGTCTTTCAGTCCTGCAAATGTCCACGAAATTTGCGGCACTTTTCGAGACTGTGATGGACGTGATGATGGGAGATACCCAGATGTCGACCGGAAATGCCAATATTATTTCACGTGCTTTGCAGGAAAATTTATGGGACACAACCCTTGTCCAGCATCATTAGTTTTTAACTATGCACTGCAAACATGTGATTATATCACAGATATGGGGCCACCATGTGGCGTTAACCCTAACATGACATCGAGTCCTCTAGGTCTTGTCGGATGATCCGAATAAGAATTACATTAACTTGCATTTTCCAGTATTTCTCTTTGACGTTCTTAGGTTTTACTCGTTTGTAATAAACTGTGTTTAATTTTAATGAGACATTGTTAATTATTCTTACATTATATCAAAGAACGACATTATATTAGTTTTATTTCTATCTTTAAACTCTGTGTCTCCAGTTTTTAAATTAATGTTATATTTTGTGTTATACATAAGATGCATTCAAATTGAAAAAAAGTATTAACGACTTCATTTTTTTTTTTTACAGTTTGTTAAATGTCTGCTTTGTTATATTTTTAAGAAATGAACTTTAACTTTATTTTTTTTCTAAAAGTAACAATTTCAGCGATTTGTCAATGTCTTGGATAGGGGCGTAATTTATAGGTGAATGCGCAATGCAAATGACACGATTTTTTAAATCTGTCACCTTCTTTCCTATTCGGTAAAAATTGTAACTTTGGTTTGATGAGATGCGTGCTTCAAAGGACAATTGACAATTCGTCAAATTAAGATAGATAGATTAAGGCACGCCAATTGAATACTTATAAAATTGATCAATAACAGGTGCTACAGAACGCTGTTCCTGATACGACCAGTAATGGTTGTGTAATCTTAATTGTACAGAGGATTTATGCTTGGTTTTCACGAAGATCAAGGTCTCGGTCATGGCGGTGACCTCTTTTTTTACTGAATGTTTTTTAAAATAAATCAGGTCATGTAATTTTGCATATTTCTGACTATGTGATTTAAATAAATATAGGTTTTTATTTATGTTAACATGTTAATAGTTCTTTCTCAAAAATAAAAAAATCGCGTTCATTTTGACATTCTTTTGTGAAATACCATGCAAAGAGCATGTTTATTGAGAATCTTTTATCGAAGGACTTCGAATGAGAACCTTTGATATCCTACATGTACCTACGATTATAGGTGAAACTTGCCCACTTGCAACACTTTTCGGCACAGAATATTCTTTTAATATCGTAGATATCCAAATACACTTCTGTTCACTTTGTTCTTCAAATTACCAGGCATTGCTTCTTTCTACATATCTACAGATGTAAGGTCTGCATTTTGCTTTTAATTTTATTCAATTTCCCCCTTTTCAACGAGATCCGAGGTTTCAAAAATGGCTATTTTAAAGAAATCACTTTGACTAAAAAGTTCGTAAAAAAACATTTGTATGATAAGCATTTCCTTTGTTATCAATAAATATGAAAAGATGTGGACTGTTTCACTTAATAGCTTTTCTATGTACAAACACAGTCACATTGTTTGCCACATCTGCTTCATATTTGTATGTTTTTTTTCTGATATAGACGGCAATGACCAACTAATAGCTAAACTGTATGACGAACGGGATGACTTCAGCTTTCTATCGTCACCTCCCTTATATACGTAATAATATATCAACATCACCTGCATATGGAGCTTATGTTTCTCAACTGATTAGATACGCAAAAGCATGCTCTGAGTTCTATGAATTTTTAAACCGAAGCAGGCTACTGACAAATAAGTATTTATTACAAAGATTTCGACAACTCCGTATTATAAGTCGGCTTTTTGCAAATTCTGCGGTCGTTATAATGACCTTGTTTGTAAATACAGTCTATTGTTCGATCGTATTTTGTCTGCTATGTTTCATACCATTTGTTAGGTCATGGATTTTATACTAAATTTGTCTACGGGGTACTCTGTCTACCTGATAAATATACAAAACTCACGACGGGTATGATCGGTCGACGGGGATGCTTTCTCCTTCAAGTCATCTGATCTCAACTCTAGTGCATCCAGGGGTCCGTGTTATTGCCCTATTCACGATTAGTTTTGTTTACTGTATTTATGATATTGATATAATTATTGATCACTGTTCGTTATCTTCACCTTTTACATCGTAAGAAAACATCATAAAACGGGATGAAGATTGATGATCATTTCACCAAATTTCATTTTCTAATTCAATTTAATGAGAGACGATTTATAAGATTTCGACATGTGAGAAAAAAAGTTTGATCCATTTAAGGGGTAAATATGGACACAGAATTGCAGTTTATAACCTTCAAAATTTTCTGTAGATATTCATGGTTTACATATTGCAGGAGTGTTTCAAACCGATATATTTTGAAAACCTGTTTAGCAGCTACATGTACGGGTATCTGAAAATTATCAAAATTACGAATTTCGGGCGTGCTTGATTGTCATATATCTATGCTCTTTCATGAACTAAAACTTTTTTTTATATTCAAGGAAAGTGGGAAAACTGAGATGTATTAATAACAAATATAAAAACTGTGATAAAAAAAAAGGAAAAAAAAAAAAAAAAAAAAAAAAAAAAAAAAAAAAAAGGGAAAAAAGAAGAAGAACGCAAAACCGACGAAACATTGGCCAGTGATGGTCTTACACCCGTAAAAACATAAACATTAACAAAAAAAAGATCATGCCAATGTTTACAAAACCAGTCAGATTTTGGTGTAATATTATAAAGAATGTCGTTTTCATCGAGTATTAAGAATTTTCATGCAAGTTCAAATCATTAAACTGAATATATTTTTCAGATGAAAATAGATAATCAAAATTGTAAACAAAACAGCAATGCAAGTGTGTCAATGCCCCTTCCAAATGAGAAAACATACATGTACATTTAATTCTATAGAAAAATTCTTTGATAATTAATAAAAAAAAGTTTAAAGAATGCTTAAGGATATTTACGAAGGTGCTGCACTAAGTGACAATTTTCGCCCATTTAATCTTAATTGCTAGTCACTACAAAACACCAAAGTGCATTTTAACGCAAAAACTCATAAATGCATTGAACTTTTTTTTGTTTTTTGTTTTAATTTATGCATGTGCTACTACCTGGCATTATTAGACGATAATGGAAAAACATAGAATTTGACATGCAACAATAACAATGATGCAGCAGAAAAATGCAAGATAAACGGCTCATGACATGCCATCGGTCTTTCTTTTTTTTTCCATATACTCTTTCGTTTAATTTTTTCCTATTGTATTATATAAGGACGTACTTAGATTTCTGGCTATTTGTCTATTGTCTGATATTCCCCTCGAATAAAATATATCGCTTATTCTGAGACGCCACCAATTACCGGGGGAAAGCTGTACTTGGCACCTTAGCATCAGTGAGGAATTTTTATCATACCGTCACAAATTACGAGGCGGAACCTCGCTTAATACCTCCTCGTCCAAGGTAGAAGATTTCCAAATAAGAATGAGTTATAAAAATTTTCTTGTGATCAAACAGTGCATCTGGTACTTTTAGGAACCTGATACCATCAGTTATTCTAATCAACTACAGGAAATCTTGGCGTTTTTTTTTCTTTCTGAAAAGTAAGAAATCGAATACAATCATGGCTGTTTGGCTACAAGACCTCAGGCAAGTCAATCACTAGAAACTATGTCAACAAAGTCAATCAATTAAAAAGAATTTCTGAACTGCATTTTTAATTACTCAATTTGTGCAAAAGATTTTAATGTTTTATCTACTTGTCATTTTACATGGCTGAAAAAAAGACAGTGATCGATTAGAAGAACGACGTGGTAGAAATCCAAAATAAATGAATTTGACTGTGATATGGACGAGAACTGTTTTTAATATTCCTTTCTCCAGTTCCAAAGATTTCAAACAAGCTTTTATTTATGAAAGAGGAGAGGATCACGAAGAGTTGTTGATATTAAAAAAAAACGTACAATGGAATATGAAGATAACGAAAAGTATTAAATCTCGAAAGTCCAATGAAGCGATACAAATTTGGAGCAGAGCAAACACGGACCTCCCAAACATCAGAGGTGGGATCAGGTGCCATGGAGGAGTGAGCATCCCCTGCCGAACGGTCACACCCGCAGTGTGCTCCATGTCATGATCGAAAAAAACGGAAAATTTCGTTGACAGCTCAGTGTATAAGTAACGGCCTAAGAATTAGTATGAAAAAACATCAGTCAGCATTTGACTTAATGACAGGTTGTATGTGCTGACAAGGTCATTGTATCGACCGTAAGATCGACTTGCGAAATGATGACTTCAAACGAGACTGTTGATATCCTTGTTTCATCAGCTTGTTTGTCAATAGTTTGCCTCGTTTTAGAAATTGTTCATATGTAGAGTATGCTCTTGCGTATCAAATCAACTGAGAGACATAAACCCCATATGCAGGTGATAAGGGTATATTGCTACATAAGTAAGGGAAACTGACAAATGAAAAGGTGAAGTCATCACGTTTATTGTTAGGTTACCATTAACATATTTTTCTTGTAAAACAGCAAGTGTTTTCTTCTTCTCATGTAGAAGTTTTTGAATAAATTCTGCTTCATATGAATGCAAAAACAGGTCTGCTAATAAGGGGGTGCAATTGGTACCCATGGGAATTCCAACAGATTGCTGGAAGACCTGATCTCCAAAATCTACATAGATTTTGTCAATCAGAAACAATACCAATCTGTGACCAAAGAGAAACACGGACCCCCGGAAATTTCAGGAAAGGGATCAGATGCTAAGGAGAAATGAGCATCCCCTGCCGACCAGTCACATTTGCAATGAGCCCTATGTATTAATCAGGTAAAAGTAATATTCCGTATAGTCAAATGTGGTATAAAAGCAATTAAAGGCCTTACATTTGGTATGAAATATGTCAGACAAAAAAAAGGACCCAGTGATAGGTTATGTATTTTACAAAGAATTTAAGAAATGCTGACTTTAAACGAGAGAAAAGAAAAATTGTAGAAATCCATGTAACACCAACTTATCTGCCAGTAGCCTGCATTTGTTTAAAACTCGATCGTACTTAGAGCATGTTCTGAAGAATCAAATAAGTTATGAGAAATAATCATCATAAGTAGGTGAAAGCGGAATATTACTTCATAAATAAGGAAAGTTGACGATGGAAAAGCTGAAGTCATCTTTTATGTCATACGATTTAGATGTTAGTTGGCCTTTATCGTCTATAGTCAAAAAAAGTTCAATGTGAGGCAGATGTGGCAGAATCTGAGGTGTCTTTAATTTTGATTTCACTTGGATTTCCCTGGGATATCTCATAATTCACGTATACTTTCCTTTCACTGTATATAGTCTTTTATGTAATTCTAGTTTCAAAACTTTATCTTTATAAGAATTAATACAGAACTAATTATCATTTTACCTAATAGTAGGAGTAACAAATATATGTTAATTCTTTAATATAATTATAATGTCAGTTATTTATTAGACCAATTTACATAAGACAATCATAAATATTTGTGCAGACATTCTCAAAGAATTCAGACGAGAGGTAAATATTCATTGTACTTAAATACAAGGAAATTTTGGAGTGATTCCCATTTATGCTTCTCTTTCGTTCAAATGACTTTTATCCTTCAATTTTAAGCTGGGTTTCTTTTTGATATGAATTAGGTGAAGGCATTTGTTATAGAATGACAGTATAACCTCCTTTTAAATTGAAGTATTTTCGTAAATTAGCATGTAGAAAGGCACCAATAACAAAAAAAGTCTTATTTTTGAAGTTAAATGTATAACGATTATATCTTTACGAATGTAATGATTTTTGTTTGTAATTCCTCTACATTGCGCTTTAGTAACCAGAAATTATTTTTTGAAAGTCTACAATGAGAGGATGACTTTGCATCCAACAATGACATAATTTTTCTCATATGGATACTATGTGTTTCAGTGCCCATACAGTCATTTTTTTTTCTTTCCCCCTTCTTTACTTTTGATTTTCTAAATAAAGCTGAAGCTTCCAAAATAAGCTATAATTGTTACCTACCAGTTTTTCTCGAAGCTCCCGTTACTGATTTTTTTAAATAGTCAAAAGACAATCGACAAACCCAATATCCTCTGACAAATTAAAGGATTAAGGAAATTAAGAGAGTTGACGAAAAATCAGTGGATAATAAGCACAAGTTTTGTTGGTTGATTCTAGTTTTGAGTCCCTTGCAAGATTATTTCACTCTTTTGAGACGTCGCAGATGCAAGCCAAGGGATTCAAATTTAGATCTTTGCTCGGCACTCAGGGCAATTGAGCAGTGAGATATTAAAGGATCTTTATTGTTCTAACGCCTGCGTCGGTTTTTAAGGTCTCATTCAAAAGTCCTTAACTTTCACTTCAAACTGCCGAGCGTTTTGCGAAGAAACAGTTGCTACCTATTTTTCTATTTTATTTCCACTTTGTTTTTTCGTGACCGAGGCTTGAACCCCGGACCTTCTGTTCACAGAGCGCAAGCTCTACCGACTGAGATACCATGACAGTTACATTTTTTAAAAAATACATTTATATAATTGTATCATAAGTGGGACATTATGCGAATAGTGGCAAAGACGGTGGTTGATGATTTAAGCAGGAAATTAATGTAAATATCGATATTGCATTTAAATATCATTAATGGTAATTATAACTACAGTGCACTATACTTTGAAGCTAAAAATTGAAACGCATATTAATTAAATAAATTCAATGAAATGCATTGGTAATGAAGATTGCTTTTTAAAATCATGTTTCGAAATCACTGTTAATTTATGCACTAACGTCAGTGTTACATTGATATTTCGTATTATAAGTTTTATATGCAGACTACCAAATAGTAAGCAGATATGTATTCCCTTTTCCCACACATTTATTGCAAACTTCATCCCGATGCATTTTGAGCTCCGTTTTCATAAATAAAAGAGCTTGCTGGTTATATTCCAATATGAAGTATTTTACATGTATGTCTTTTTTTCCTTTCTGTCAGTTTGCTGGTCGAAATGTATCTTGAATATATATCATTGTTTTCTTTCAGACATTATAAAAATTAATCTAAAACACCCCATACAATATATTTTTTATCAAAAGATGCTTGAATGTCAAGATTCGAATTTCCCGAATAGGAAGGGTATTTGTATATCCTATTTACTAGTACTTTAACATACTAATGCCATATGTGTTTAGATTCTTTCTTGTGTGATTCAGCTCGATATCAAGGTTGTGCTAATTTGATCAAATTGCTGATAAATATATGTATATTTGCTATGAAAAAAGATGGAATCTTTAAAATACATTGTTACATGCTTATTTAGTAAGTAGCAGGAGAAGGTAAAATTTTGAGATACAAAAAAAAAAAAAAAAAAAAAATTAAGAAATTGATGATAATTTTTCATTTTGAAATGAAGTGTCCAAAGGAACAATTTTTTTCGTCTTGAAATTGAGATGTACAGCTGTCTATATGCAGAACATGTGATTTATTTCTCTGTAAACTGGATAGGTGCAAACTATACTGTATTACATGTAAATCTAAAATTTTGATTTTTCACTGTTAGCAATGCTTGTCAAAACAATATAACTGATTCATTTTAAAGCAACGTTAATTCAAAATTGAGGTGTTTCGCTGGACAACAAATTACCCAACAGGTCCACCTTAAAATATGAAATATGATTTTTTATTTCTAGCCAAAATATGATAAATGTATTCATCAGTTATACGGAATTTAAAAAATAAATATAAAAACAAAAGACGAACAATTGGTATGAAATATGTCAATCAAAACTCGACCCAATGATAGGTCAAATTTGCTAAAGTCATTATAACAACCAAAGAATTTACAAAATGTCTACTTTTAAGGAGATCGTTGAAATCCCTTTAGCATCAACTTATCTGCCAGTAGCCTGCCTCGGTTCAAAAATCGATCGTATTTCGAACATGGTCTTGAGTATTGAATAAGTTTGGGAGACATTAACACCATTTGCAGGTGATAGTGGAATATTAATACATAAATAAGAAAAGTTGACGATGGAAAAGCTGAAATCATCTTGTTTGTCCCACAGTTTAGTTGTTAGTTGGCCCTTATCGTCTATAGTCAGTACAACATACAAATATGAATTAGATGTGGCAGACTCTAATGTGTCTTTTATTTCGAGTTCACTGGGACATAACAAGTCGATATATGAATGGAAGTAACAATTGTTAATTGCTAAAAAGTTGTCGATATATCCGAATGTTGAAGGTCACAGCGTTTTTTCTTCTTATCATAGAGAAGTTTTTTGTAAATAAATACCGATCAATATGAATATACAAAGAGGTCGGTATAAAAGAGCACAATTTGTTCCCATCCTTATTCCAACAAATTGTAGGAAGACTTGGTCTCCAAACACTACACAGATATTGTCAATGAGGAACTCCTGCATTTTTTAATATCAATTTCAGAGTACTTGTGTGTAGAATCAGAATGATTCAACAAAGTACTTTTTAGTGACCAATCACAAGATATCAATATTTCATAGTTCATTTTTATTAAAGAAACAGTTGTCCATGATATCAAAAAGCCTAGTTTTTAATTTATCAGTATGGAAAAGTTATAAGTTTTGATGTTACTGACTTTGAAAAAAAATAACTATGATTTTAAATTATCTAAAAGTTCTTTGGAGTTTTTCAAAATCCATAATTGATTAACACCACTTCTGGTACATGCTGTAGAACAGTACCTCTAAAGTATCTCCTTTACAACAGTTAATATTTTTGTAACGAGTAAAGATAAGGTTACGTTTTAGTAAAGCACTAGCTAGACCCGGCAATGCATCTTTGTCTGTTGGGATTTTTATAAAATTTAGGAATCCAGTGGAACCATACTAATTGTAATTGATTTGTCAAATGAAATCTTTTATTATGTTGCATTCACATTTTGTAAAATGATATAACTTCATAGCTGATATACAGCATTAATATAGTCAGCAAATTCTAATGTTACTTCTTAGACAGGGCATCAATTGATAATAAATGTTAAACTTTAATGTGCTTTCTTAATGAGGAGCGATACAAATTGTCAGAGGATTTATTAAATCGATTATTGTTCGTTATCTTCAGTATTCTCATATCCTTTTTCAAAGGCATTGAAATCTACACGGGTGATTGACATCGATTTTCTCTATCATCACGGGGTTTGAGGTACATATAGCTTGTGGACTCAAAACTGTGGTTTGCGACGATGTGAAATCTCCTCAGTGTAAAGCTCTTCTAAATTGTAAATAAGAAATAAGATAAAAATCTTAAAAATTAGTATAATTAATCATAGAATTAAGCATTGACAAATCACCGACGAACCAAATCCCAGAGAGCGAAAAGGTAAAACGATTGGAAATTTAAAACATGCAAATGAATTCATGAAACCAATTAATGATTATTACCGTTAAAGGTCAGACGAAAACCGCACGATAACTACAAAGAACAGAGTTTCTTGCTTTCCTGTCAAAGTTCTCCAAGTTTTAACAATACAAAATTGCCAATTCTCGAGACAAATAGTTGAGTGACATCTGTCATGCGGGTCTGCTATGAATGCCCCTATTTACCATAATTTTATAAATACTGTAGAAGTTTTTGTCTTTTGATTATGCAAACTAGTTTATATATAAAATGTCTTGCTTGTCCATACCAATTACATATAACAACTTTTTGTTTGATAGAAACCGGGTGTCTAATTCTACAAAAGAACTTTGCATCTGTACTTGAAAACAATTCCCTTTACTACTTTGAGTATGGACAGAACAAGCTTTAATTTCGGTTGAAGTTTAGTCAATGTTGCGTGTTTGTGTTGAATCTGCAGGTTAGTCCTTAACAAGCTGATGACAATGTTTATATACACAATATTTAGTGCGATTTGTGGACTCTCTATAGTGACAGCTTATTATCAAGGTATGTAAATTTTACACACAATTTTACACTTTTCCTCCTCTCCTAGTTATTTCTGATATGAAAAAAATACAATATCTTGAATTACGTACGGATTGCAATCCACTTTGTCCTTGAAATTTTTTTCCCCTCGTCCATGTTTCGTTCTTGTTTATAACGCTTTCAGCCCCTTTGTTTAGGTTATGTTCAGCGCCTTAAAGAAATAAAAACTTGAATTTACAATTACACGGTAATCATTTACACTTTGCACACGTACGTACCGATGTGGTAGAATTGATCAATGAACTTTATTCAAATCATTATTGCAAAGAACTTTCAATAATTTATAACAAAAAAATTAATGATGTAATTTTTTTAAATAAATAAATTTGTTATAAAAGATTTTAAAAATCCTGTTACAAACATATAACTATATATGTATAATTATTTGATTTTGATTTATGATTAGAGTGCAATGATTTTATAAAGTTTTTAAATTTTTTTCCTTTAAACTATCCTGCAATTTTATGCACAGATTTGCATTCCAAATTTACCATTGCATGATAATCAAAATGTAACTAGAAATCGGAAAAATGTAAATACTAGTATTTTATAAAATATATATATATATATATATATATATATATATATATATATATATATATATATATATATATATATATATATATATATATATATATATATATATATATAGGTCAAAAGTAACTTTTGCTCTAGACAAAACAAGTGATTTATCTATTTCTACAGCTTGTACTTTAATATGATTGATGTTCAGTCATAATGTAACCTATTGATCAAAGATAAATATTTTGGCAATTATGTCAATAAAAATAATAAGGTGTCAAAATATGTCGTGAAATCTCTTTACATTGAAGCAGAGAAGGGTAATATATCCTATATCGCTGTAATGACAATATTATAATTAATAAATAGTTTGTGGTTGCATTTCATAAGTAATAAATAAGCATGTTTCCTTAAAAAATGTTTAACTTACAGTTTTACACTCCTCCATTGAATTCCCCGGAAAAAACCTTGGAATAATCATGCACCTATTTGTTGTCAAAAACGCATTTCAAAAGTTCATAAGCATTTTCTCAGAAAGTGATAATATAAAAAGGGAAAAACTTTAAAGAATATACTTAACAGAGAAAAGATACGAGGGTTGTCCCAGAAAAACGAGAACATTTTCAATATTTTTTGTTTCACCAATATTATAAAATTAAAAATTGGCATGCAAAAAATTCATCATTTTTAAAATAATTCACAGTTTCAGTGAATATTTCTATAAATAATATTTTTCTCTTTGGTAAACGAATCATTCAAAATAACTTCCGGCACAACATCGACGACGTCAAAACGTAGCTCGTGGAGTTTTTCAATTTGTTCAGGAATCGTGCGTCTTTAAAAAAAATTGTTCGAAGCATAAATTCGACACTGCATTTTATTTTCTTTTAGTTACCTAATTATTCATTCAGAATAAATCAAGGAATATATTCTTTTAATAGACAATTTCCCAACCCCAATTATAAACCTAATTGCTCGAATACTTAACGGTGGTCTCCATGTATGACTTCCATCTCTAGCCTTTTCAGTTTGTCGTCATTTTTGTTGGTCTACAAACTTCTTCCAACAAATACTTAATCCATTCATCTTTGAACCTCTTTAACTATGTATATACCTGTGATCAATACATGTATTTATGTTGTTCCATCGTTCCCAGCTCTTTCTCTAAAAAAAAACTACCTTTTCCACATTAATTTTGGAAGCTATCGCGAAGCAATCATGTTAATTATTTTAACATACTTTTATTTCTTTTACCATAGTGCAATTGTGTTGACTGTCAACATGTAAGATAGGAAAGCTGTACTAAAAATATAACTAAGAAAGGTCACATAAAGATGTTTAAATTGACATAGAATATACATATAAGCTTTTGTGTTTCTGTCTTTAGTTGGAAAAATAAAATAGCCTTGTAGTAACAGTCAAGAGCTTACCACGCTTATTTTTTTTCTTTGTGTGAAGGAAACTTCAGCTTTTAAAATGATTTTTTTTGTATCGTGGAACGTCGGAAATTAATTATTTATCATAACAAGTACATGTACAATTGCCACAGCAGCTTACATTAATTAATAACGATATCTACTGTTAAAAATCCAAAAACCATTTCCAAAAATCTGCGTCACAACTAAGCAGCTAATTCTTGTTTCATCTCTGAATGTTGGAAATATAAAAAAAAATCATGAATTTGAATATGTTGCACTTGATTGTGAAAAATTGACGGTTGATATGAAATTCAATGCAAAACACAACCTTCAAGGAAGTTAAACCATAAAAGCATTGAAAGATCGACATTTATGCAATAAAGATGTACATATTAATTTGTTCTTTTTTTAGTTTTCAATTTAATCAGGAACTATATCAGAAAAATGATAACTATTCCTAATCTGATCATCATCATTTCTGAAGAAAAAAGATCACTGATCAATTTTATAGGAACCTATGGAATATTTTTGTTTACATATAGTTTGGTTGCGTTAACAGATAGCAAAGGGTTATACGAGCAATTAAAGGTTATTTTGAACAAAGCAAATATACACATGTCTGTTTTAAGCAGATATTTATATATATCAAATACCAAATATATTAGTATATTTGATATTTTTGTTTCTTAAAAAATATATATAGTACATTACAAAGTAACAAAAAAAAAAATATACATTTTTAGCTCACTTAGCCCAGATGGCAACGTTCGGTTATGCCATCACTTTACACCCATCGCCTTTAAACTATCCTCTGAACCACTGAGTATAATTTTTACTGATACTTTACAAGTGAGAATTGTCCTCTGCAATTGATTCACTTTTCAATTTTATCTTATAAAAACAAGGCCGCTGCGACTATACATAAAAAATAGGATGACGTACTAACTTTATAACAGAGAAACAAAGCAGTAAAGAAAATCTGATGGGGATGACAAACTAGTTAGGATGCCAAGATCTAGCTTCTTAGCAACTTTGCTCCAAAATTTGAAATATCTTATAAATGTTAAACTCTTCTGATATTTGCCGTTCTGACTATTGTCTTAAAAACAAATGGAGATTTATGATAAGTGGAAAGTTAAATAACATAACGAGATCTGTCTGTATGTGTATCAAATTCCAAAAATTTTAGACCCCGAATGTTGTAGTTAGAGACCCTAAATCATGATATTTGTGCAGCTTTTGGCCTTTTATTTCAAATTTATATAGGGACAGATGAAAAGGGTAAGAAGCAAAAATGATCACCTGAACAATTTTTGTCACGTACATTATCTTTTAATCTCTTGGAAATCGTCCATAATAATAATTATTATTATTATATCAGTCACTTGATGATCAATTATTTGTAACATCTCAGCATCCATGACCAAAGATATTGAAAGGTTTAACATTCATATTTTTTCAAAGTGCAGAAAAGTATTGAGTTTTTTTTTTTTAATTTGCTTTGATCGGGTGAGCAATTCAGACTTCTGAGAGCCTCTTGTTAAAATATGTATTTATTAAACTGTTTTGAATAAAAGTAACTGAACAATTTTTAATTGTATCAACATATATTTGTATATTTTCAACACATTTTCTGGTTTTTATTTCTGTGCCCTACATATGTACTATGTCCTACTTTATTTCAAGAGTAAAAATTAAAATGGTTGTGAAGACAATTAAGAAAAACATTCCGGTGTACATTACCATGTCTTTAGAGTTATGTTAAGAGACAGTAATTTGGCTGTTAATTAATAAACTAACACACGGAAACATCTTCTTCATCGAAAAATGACAAATTACAAGTAAGTACGTGACAATGTCAGGGCGACAGACAATTGATGGTTTCTATCGAAAAAGGAAGTAATGGTATTAAAAAACTTAATTATTTTACCTTAATTATAAAAAAAATGATAACATCTTTCAATCAAAATTAAAATTTCCAATAGATGATTAATTCATTTATATGCCAGGAAGGTATATAGTTTGTATATAACTAATTATTGAATATTATTTCCTACTTTTTCACGTTTCATGTCAATCACGAAAAAAATAATTAAAACAGAACGTAATTTCTTCATGTGGAGGAGGCATCCCGTACTATATTTATACATTCAAAGATTCAAAATAGGATCTAGAAGGTCAACTATTGGATATGTTAGAAACAAGTCTTTTCAGTCCGAATGTTTCTCATTTACATGGGAAATGATAATGTTCCACTATAAATTAGAAAGTTGAGTGCATTGTTTAATATGTAAAAAGCTTAATTTGTAATATACATCGCACCGATTTATTCTAAGCACGAAACACATGTTATTTAGGTTGATATAAATATAAATTTCTACAAACATGTAACATATATAAACCTTTACCATTGAATCTTGAAAGTTACTATTGTTGAATATTGTCCGGACAATTTTTTTATATACACTATTCAATCAAAATTTATTTCTCCTAAATTAATACATGTACACTGAATATGAATTTAATTTATTTCATTAGCAAACTACTGTATATATTTACTTTTTAAAACTACAGTGGAGCCTCATTTATCCGGACGCTTTGGTTCTCAGTCAATTTGTCCGGATATGTGAAGCGTCCGGATACCTGAATTGCGCTGATTTTAGTTATATGGCCTTTCATACCATTTTCAATAGTAAAGAATGTTGCTTTTTATCAATATGTTTTATTGTTTAAATACTTTAATATAAGTTAGTACTACTCAATACTTGTTTAATTAAATAAAAAAGTAAATTTGTCATTGGAAAAAAACGTGTTTATATGGTCACATTAATTATTTCTACTTCCCAGTGTTTAATGAATCTACTTCTCCTAGTAGCCATGTCGGTACGGTACTGTCGATAGAGTCTTATTTAATATGAACGCCCATCAATGCTAAATGTGACATAATCTGCATATGTATACGAACGGTAATCGTAATAATCCAATGCGAGATCGTATTAACGATTGTGTAATTTTGAAAGTGATTTTATAAATGTCATCAAATCATAGAATGCGTTTTGCGCACAAAATACTGTGCATAAAAAACTCCGATGTCATGTCTATAAATACATAAAACCATGTTACGACTGTATTTTAACAGTAAAAGAAATATATTTGCCGACTACGAAAAATTATCCTAGACTTAAAAAAAATTATTTTCCTTAATTAATACGTATCAAAACCATGTTAGTGAACCGAGAGTCTTCTGCGTACCTATCGAACTACAATTAACCTTGCCGCAAGCCATTGATAACAGGTCGCAGGTGATCATCTTTTAAAACAAACAGACCAGTGTTTTTACAACAATTAACACCCAGATCAAGAAATTTGAGCAGACTTGACAGACCTGTTAAAAAATTATCGTCCGGATAAATGAACCAAAATATAACGTAAGAATTCATTATGTGGTGAGAAAATACCGGATACGGAACGCGGAATTCCGGTTAAACGAGACAAAATAACGTTAAAAAATTTCGTTCCCATAAAAAATAGTCCGGAAACTGAAGCGTCCGGATATCTGGCGTCCGGATATCTGAAGGTCCACTGTATATTGCGAGCATGCCAAGACTTATTATTATCATATGTTTATGTATTCAAGCTAACATGTGAAATTAACTTTTAGGAAATTGATCATTTTGCCATTGCAGAGTCCGGGATCGATGACGTTTGCTTAGGAAGGCAAAATATGATTTATGCCAGAACGTGTAAAACTTATATAAAATGTGTGAATGGAACATCGACAAAAGTGAACTGTGATAAATACATGGTGTTTAATACAGATACCATTAAATGTGAATAGTAAGTAACAATAATTTAATTTCAACAAAAAAATTGAAAGATTATTTTCTTTTTATCTTCTTGATATTTAGCATTAAAGGTTTTTCATTGAGTGTTAGGCTAACTGACCTAATGGTATTGATTTAAAGCTTGTTTTAAGAATTTTTTGGAAAAATTGAAAGTAAAAGAAATGAAAACTTTCATAAATTAGATTTCGTTGAATGATACCTTTTAGTGTTTTTAACGTCCAATCTCCTTGTGGAGTGTTCCGGGATTGTTCCAAGCTTCCAGACGGTCACTTCCCTGACACAGAACAGAAGTGTATGCGATTCTACACCTGCTGGAAAGGAAATTTCCTTGGATTTACCGATTGCACTCTGGGTAGGAGAAAAACATACACGAAAAAAATCCATGTTTATGCAAGATTATTTGTAAAAGAATTACATCATTGTCTAAATTCACTAAAACTGTATTTTTCAAATCACAAAATAAATCAAAACGGTTGTTCGAGGGAAATCAATAAATTTTTTGATACATGCAACCTACTACCCAATCCAATACTCACAAAACCTTAATCATATTTTGTTTAAATTAATAGGAAGAAGGGGTCAAACCTTTAGCCTGACAATGTGTATTGGATAGTTGTACCGTTTCTGAAAAAATGACATAAAAGTTTTTCACAATATGTCAGAAATAGAAGATAATTTTTCAGTCTATATCATAAACCATCGATTGCTCCTAAGCAAAATATTTCCTGTTGAATGTTTCTTTCCTTTTTTTTTAAATTTTCACCGATACTTTAGTTAACTCACTGATTTTTTTTCGTTATTTACAGGTCTGGTTTTTAATGTCAGAAAGCAAGTCTGTGACTGGCCATTCAACGTAATGCCGCCATGCGGAATCAGGTGACGAACAAATCAAAACCTTGCTACCTTCTTCTGCAACACAGCTACCTCTCACCTTCAGCGTTATTTGTATCGTTCTACACCTCAATAAACTTCTTATATTTACTAAAGCGTATCTTTGTCCTTTTCTTCTCATCTTCTACTGATTCCAATGCCAATATTTTAAAAGTAAAGATTCATTTCTTTGGTACTTATTTCTTTCAGTTTCATCTCTTAATGGTTTGTTTATTAGTTCGTCTACATTGACAATTAAAAAAAAACACTTTACGTTGATATAAAAATATATTTTCTAGCTTCTCTTTCGTTAAAATCTTATAGAGACTTCATATTTTCAATTTTTCCCCATTTTCATTACTCTTTCCAAAATATTCTACAACTTATATTTAATGCTTTTCATGAGAAGCAATACTTTGTACAATTGTGATCAGATTGATTGATTGATTGATTGATTATATGTTGTTTTTACGTCCCACTCGAGAATTTTTCACTCATATAGAGACGTCACCATAAACCGGTGAAGGGCTTCTGTAATCAATTTTTGACCTTTACTCGGTAGTCAGGGCCATTGAGCAGTGCCAACGCCTGCCGTGACACGGTGCCTCGGTTTTTAAGGTCTCATCCGAAGGACCCGCAACTTTCACTTCAAAGTGCCGAGCGCATGGCGAAGGAACAGTTGCTACCCATTTTTATCGACTTAGGTCAGTCGCGGCCGAGATTCGAACTCACGACCTCCCGATCACGAAGCTAGCGCTCTTCCGACTGAGCTACCGTGAACGGTAAATTGTGATCAGAAAATACACTACAGAGTGCATTTTAGAGTTAAAGAGTCACTTTTAAAAATGCAACTGTTATAGGAGGTTAGATTACGATATTTTAAAGTTTCAATTTACATCATCAATATCAATATATGATCGCCAATTTCAAAACTACTACTCGATGCAGATAATTATTTACACGTTTATAAGGTTATTGTCACAAAGCAATAAAATGTATTTACAGAGATTCTGATGCATAGATCTAAAGCATGGCCCTTTATTGCGAACAATGTACAAGTTCAAAATTTTACTTACTTTAAAAGCGGTTCATAAATTAAAACTGCATGTTTTGATGAAGAACATGTAGAACTGTTTAATTAATCTTATAGATGCATAATCGTAGACAACGCGTTTTTTTTTTTTTTTTTTTTTTTTTTTTTTTTGTTGTTGTTTGTTTTGTTTTTGTTGTTTTTGTTTTTTTGAAAATAATGTAGTAAAGACTAAGCTGATACTTTCATCAAATGGTTTTTAATCATTGTTGAGTATATTCTTATTTTAAAAATAAGAATAAGAATTTTATTACACTTAAATGTACAGAGGGTTTGGTTCTACGGCGCACGACCAAAAATTCAAATTTTCATCAGGGATTAGGCGGTTATTAATTCGAAATTAAAGTATTAAATATATATCGTTAAGGTAAAAAAATTTATATTTTTAAGATGCCATCTTTTATGTCGATATTTAGAAAATTTCAAGGCATTTCCTTAATTTTCGGCAGTTTCCCGAGTATTTGAAATGTGAAGTGGTTAACACAAGAAAAAAAAGATGTTTGATTAAATTATTTACTACTAGTATATATGAGGACAAGTTAATTCGAGTGAAAAATACATTTATTTAATCAATACTGCGATCTAAAAGTTTTGCTACTCTTTCGCTACGGCGTCCAGTTTTATGTTGACTAAGTATTGACGCCTTTACAGACTTTGAATAACAGAAGATATAAAAAAAAATTGAAAACAACATTTTGTGCACAAGTAGAAATGGCGCATTTTAAGCGTAAGCTTTTTTTGTAGAATCCCGGGGTAGAATAACATAAACGGACGAACAGCTACCTGTAAATAAGTTGGTAATATGGAAATAGCGAAAAACCCTTTCATTGCAGATCGTTAGAAAAAAGATAACTATTTAGTTGGATATACTGGACATAAATTCCTAATGCAAATCTTCAGAAGATAATGTATTTTTAACTCGAGTTAACTTGTCCTCGTATATACTAGTATATAATTGTAGGGTAGAGTGGGGTAATTTCGACCACTTCTGCTGATTTGTGGCTTTCAATCCACAAAACACGACTGTTTTCAAATGTACTATTCTAAAAAAGATTCAAAGTGATTGAGATTGATTTTTTCTTCATATTTTTCTGCTTTAGGAGTTAAAAATGCATAAAGAATAATGAATTGGTTTAAAAACAAGTAAGCATATTGCGTGGGTTAATTTCGACCGGCCTCGGGGTAATTTCGACCACAACAAACATCAAAAAGAAAGATAACTCTTGCAATGCAAGTAAACTTTACCTGTCGCACTTTATTCAAAATTTATGGTCCCGTCCGAGAAACTATATTGCCTTATTTAGAAAATACGTGTATCTATCGCTATCTCTCTCAATAAAAAGATTAAAATGGATAAGTACTAGTATCCATACAGTAAAGAAATGGGTTGGGTTACTTAAGCTTTTTTATGCTGTGTTATTGACGTCTTAATTCTTATTCCTTATTCTAAATTCTGCTTTTAATTCGCCAACTCCATATTTTAAAATTGTGATATATATAGTTATGCAAATAGATGAAATTTTCTCAGATTCCACAAATAATTTCTTTGATACGATTTTTAATATGTAAAACCCAAAAGTGATTTTATTTAATATCGTCTTTTCACAACACAATCATTCAGATTGTATATATATGTATAAGGTTTGAGCATAGCATTAGAATTGCGTATATTTTTCTTCATTAATTTTTACCAGTTACACATTCATTTGGAAATCGTTGTATTACGTATTTTACGTGTTTTTTTTAAATTCTGAAGAGATAAATCCTGAGAAATTCGATCAAGTCAATTAAATAAGGATTTACAAAAGCAAAGTCCTCTTAAATCCCCCCCCCCCCCCCCCGAAAAAAAACCAAACTCAAACAAATCATTAATAACGTGTTACATCATAGTGTTTTTTTTTTTATTGTTTTGTTTTTTGTTCCTTTGTTTCAAGATACTTGTGGCTCTTTTGGGTGTTGTTCTGATATTTTGGGTACTATTTGGATTTGTGTACCTGGACTGTGTGATACGATCTTAATACGACTGGTTCGTTGGTTTTTCGATAGCCCCAGTCTTATCCGTCAAAGTTTAGGCATTCGTAATAATGAAAAAAAATTACAAAAACCTTATTTTTTTTTTTTTTTACATACAATTAATATTGCCTGCATCCTCTATTTTGTTAATTTGACGGGTTTGGAAACTTTTGGATTGCTCTCGCCATGTGCTATTTCATAGCCAGTGCCGACTCCGTGTTCTCTTGCACGTCGATTAGTGATGCACCCTCGTGAACGGCCCGGACAATATACTAGTATATAGCTAGGTATGCATATGTTAATTAATCTGACATATTTTTTTTTAAATATAAAAGGTTATAGGTAGATAATATTGTACATATACAGTATAATCTTTTTTCTTTTTTTTTTTTTTTTTGAAGATCTAACTCTGCATTGCATTAAACAGCTGTTAAAGACAATTTACACATATTTCTGAATAAGTGGTCGAATTTACCCCGCGTCCTTAAAATCAGTAGGGGTAATTTCGACCAAAATCAAATGGACGTTTCTTGTGCATTTTGATAGATATCCAAGATAAATTTGTACAATTCTGCAACTTAAAGATATTCCAAGAAAAAATAAAACAATTTTAATTTAATTCATGCTGTAGACTGTTGAACAAGGTTAAAATTAAAAAGAGGTTGTACGAGTTGTCTCTCTTGCATTTCCTTGATAAATCAAGCGCATTGAAGACGGGGACTTCGAACGTCAAACTGGAGACATAAATAATAGTAAAAATATTATTTATATCACTGATCAAGCCATATTTGCGATGAATAATTACACTAGGACACACAATTTGAAGAAAAGTTTTCTATAATTCCGAATAAATTAAACATGTCTCAACATTTCCGTAGATCTTCGTGTAGTGTTGTGTTCCTGTGGTCGAAATTAAACGGTGGTCGAAATTACCCTGACTTACCCTACTTAGAATTCAAGCCCTGTTGGTTTGGTAAATGTAATACAGAAGATCTTCGGCAATATAAAAAATATTCCTTAAAAGGGCATCATTAAAATACATTTGATTCAAGGGGTCTGATATTAAGAATATACCTTTAGTCTGTTATTATATAATTAGAAGTATTTGAATCTAAAGAAATATAATTTAGCAAAATCTATATATGAAAAACCAACCAGACACAAAGTACTTTTACAAACCAGTTGTCACTCTTGGGCTCAACATCTTAATTTCTCCCTACCTTCATTAATTATTTTTCAAATTATATATGACAACAGACAAATGTCCCAGTGCAGAAAAATTAGCTTTAACATATGCTAAAAGCTTGGATCAACAGTTTGAAATGACATATTATTTATTTAATTTGCCCTCCATATGCCAATTAGATACATGTATGAAACTATTCTGCATAGATTAACTAAAAATAAAGAACGTCTGAGAATCTTAATTTGCTCTTTTATTTACATGTATGAAATATATGGAGATAACGAACAGTATTCAAGCTCAAAAGTCCATTATACAATACAAAATAGGAGCAGAGCAAACACGGACCTCCAAACATCAGAGGCGGGATCAGGTGCCATGGAGGAGTGAGCATCCCCTGCCGACCGGTCACACCCGCCGTGTGCTCCTTGTCATGATCGGGAAATAACGGAGAAATCCGTCGACAATTCAGTGTGTAAATAATGGCCTAACAATTAGTATGAAAAACGTCATCAGCATTTGACTCAATGATAAATTGTATTTGCTGACGAGGTCATTGTATCGACCATAGAACTTACGAAATGATGACTTTAGACGAGACAGCTGATATTCTTGTTTCATCAACTTATTTGTCAATAATTTACCTCGTTTTAGAAATTGTACATACGTAGAGCATGCTCTTGCGTATCGAATCAACTGAGAGAGATATATCCCGTATGCAGGTGATGAAGGTATATTGCTGCATAAGTAAGGGAAGTTGACGATTGAAAAGTTAAAGTCATCACGTTTATCATAAAGCTTGGTTGTTAGATTACCATTAACGTTTTTTT